AATTTGCTCGCTTCGATCCACCACTGTTTGTGGGGGGGGGGGGGGGGGGGGTGGGACGCTGCTGTGCGCCGTCGGCTGCCCGCAAAGCACACGGTCACTCCACTTTGCGGTATATATTCTAGGAGGCGCTTTCAGACGTCTCGAAGATGTGAGGTCCCACCTGAAAACCTGCCTTTTCGGCCGTGTTCACGGTCACCTGCCCCCACCCCCACGCCACCACCCCACAGGCCCCCCCCCCCACCACTCACCCACCCACCCACCCACCCGGCTCGGAGTCAGGCTCCGCCACTGTTAAGCTCTCTGAGACATTACCTTGCGTAGAGGGCGCTTTATCAAATGCAAGGATTATGATGATGGTGGTGATGGTGATGATGATGATGAGCCTGGGGTGAGAAGGTGACCAGTTAGTCCAGGCTGCCAGGATTCCAGCCACACAGCGAAAGTTACTGGTTGCCGGTCCGTCGATGTTATCGCGTTGGTTTCAGTGCGAGCAGCCAACTCTCTTCCGGTGACTCACAGGCTGTTCAGACTCGCTGGGAATCACTCGCTGCGAAATAGAACGTGTACAGTTTATCCGGGTTTCGGTGACCTGGTTTCGTTGAGCGTCAGAGTCTTGGGAACCTGCTGGAGGAAACGTGAGCGAGGGTCCATCCAATCCAATTCTCCTTCATCACCATCCTGGCAGTCGCTTGCACGGCTCACGTCCCCAAACTGTACACTGTACGGTTTATCTGCTGTTTACGTACAAACTTTACACTGACCCTGACTCCGATTAACGCAGCCTTGAACTCCTCACCTTCCTGTCCTCGCTGCTCAATCGGCGTTTTAAGCTGCTTGAAAGCGTACCCGGGTTGGCTTTGCGAGCGCATCGAAATGGGCTCCAAACTGGAGGAAATGGGCTCCAAACAGTGTAAATGATCCCCTTCCCCACCTGTGGCTGAGAAGCTGGGAGCGGACGGATGGGAGCAATTCTTCAGCCTCACCTTTTTAACGGGGTGATTGACGCCCCCTCGCTCTTGCCCACCCACCCTCAAGGGCAAGTGGTAGCAGCCTGATAACGATTTATATTCCCGCTGCTCACACAGCAAGGAATTGTTTGACCATCAAGTCTGGCTTTTAGCTTGAAGTGTCAACAGGAGCCGAGTGAGAAGAAATCCCCTCTCTTTCTCTCTCTCTCTCTCTCTCTCTCCCACCAACCCCACCCGCCCCCGACACCGTCCTCAGTGACTGGAGTTAATTCAACCAAGAAAGGCCATTAAGCGACGCCGCAAAACATGACCGCAGTTTCTTGGGGTGTCCCATGAGGAGAGGGCAATGGAGGAGAGGGCACGTGAACACCTCAAACATGTTAAATCTTCTGTGTTCCACCCAAACTACTGTCATTACAGCTTCAGCGACATGTCTGGACTTAGCCAATGGCCAAGTCACTGAGAGGTTGAGCTGTAGCGCCGGTAGTTTGGGTGCAACGCAGAAGATTTAACAATAAATGGTTGGTGGTTTGGCTATTTTTTTGTTTGAAGGGAGGGGCTGCGGCTGCGGCTGGGGGTGGCGGTGGGGGTCAATCTTTCACCCGCACCTCCCAGTCTCAAGCATTTCCCATGCGTCCGAAGACAGTAACACTGACAAGAAACTGAGGTCACGTTTGGGGCTCGAAACACAGCTCACAAAAAACAACTAACCCTTCTCATTCGAACGGAGGGACAGACAGCAGAGGGCAGCAGACGACGTCGATTCCCAGCTGCTTGTCACCCACCACCTCGGAGACCCCAAATTCCACCGAGTCTTCGCCTGTCGGTCCGTTCCGCCTTCAAAAATTCAAGACCCCAAAGACTGACGGAAACGTCTTCAACTTCATCCGAATGCTTCTTTCCGCTGTTCTTAACATTAAAACACCCTCCCTCCTCAGTATTAATAACAACAACAACAATAATAATAATAATGCGGAGTCCTGTAGCACAGTGGTGTTAGAGCACTCGCCTCGCAAGTGAGAAGACCTGGGTTCTATTTATGCGCCGGGCGAAACCTTAGTCAAGTTTCCTTACCCCACACGCATGCCTCTGGTTACCCGGTTGTTAGTCGATTGGCGGATCGCTCTCTGGGGGTAATAATCGCTTTAAAAAATGATAATAACTTGGGCACTTCGCACCACGGCTGTTTGTGGGGGACGCTGCTGCGCGCAATTGGCTGTCGGGTTTCGCCCACAACACACGCAGTCAATTCACTTTACAGTAGATTCTGTGAAGCGCTTTGAGACGTCTCGAAGACGTGACAAGGCGCCCACACCAAATGAAAGGATTATTATAGTTATAATTATTATTATGACATCAGGGCGGCCCTCATACACTGCGAATATATCTCTTAAACACATAATGCAAAATCTCTGAAGTTTCATTTGCAGGTCTCAACACGTCTTAGGAGCACCTGTGAACCGATATTCTGAATATTTCCCATGAAGTCATTATTGTTCGCTACACAGCCTTAGGTTATGGATCAGGAACTTGACAAAAAAAAAATTGGATCGTTATGGAAATGCGGTGAACATCGTTAGAGATGTATTTTCTCACGGAATCGAAACCTATTTATTTTGGGCCTCATGTTTGCGGTGTGAATACTTCGATAGGGAATCTGACACTCTCCCATGAGTTCAAAGTCCCGAGATGAATGTGCTTGGGCTCACAACAGTATAACAATAATCCTTGTATTTCACGTAACAGGTTATCACGTCGTCGAGACGTCTCAAAGCGCTTCACGGGATACGCTGTAAAGCGTAGTGACTGTGTACTTTTCCTGGGAGAAGCACGGCAGCCAAGTGCGCGCGGTAGCGTCCCACAAACAGCCGTGGATTGAGTGACCAAATTCTTCTTCCGATTTTGTTTTCTGAAGGGTTTATAATCCCCGGGAAAAGCCATTCCGCCAGTCGACGTAACAACCGCTGGGTAACCAGAGGCGCGTGTGTGGAGTAAGGAAATTGGCCTAACGTTTCGTCCCGACCGGGAGTCAAGCCCAGGTCCTCTCGTTTCCATTGCAGGTGCTCCAGCCACTGAGCTACTGTAGACCAATGTCATTTAAGGCCGTCCATGTGATGAGGCCGGCCTCACGTTGATTGCGCCGCCTCACACATCTGACTTCTATTTGAAGATCAGAAATACTCTGGCATTCCCGACCAGAGAGAGAGAGAGAGAGAGGGAGAGAGGGGGTCAAACACCTTCCGTGTGGTGACTGCAGGCTCTATTTTTAACCCACTGATAAAAGCGTGGCAGAAACAGGACAGTGGATCTCAGCAAAGGTCAAAGCCAGAGAGGACGCACGCCCCCACAATGTGCTCAGCTCCCCGGCCTCTGCCTGTGGGGTCGAGGTAGGAGAAACAAACGGTGAGCACTTTTTCCTCCGTTCAAACGTTTCACGAGTTTGCCAACGGCGTTAAGGGCTCAGCGATTCCTCCCCTGATCGGTTTACTTCCGAGGCTATTTCAGAGGTGAATGAAAGTGCGGTGTGTTTTGATGACTATTGTACTCAGATCTCCGGGGCCCAGGTCTTTTAGAGCCGTTGATCTAGAAAAATACAAACTTAGAAAACAGGAGGGAGGCCATTCAGCCCCTCGAGCCTGTTCTGACATTCTATAAGATCGTGGCTGATCTGTACCTCAAGGCTAATTACCCGCCTTTGCCCCACGTCCCTCAATATCCTGACCGAACAAGTATCTGCTGAAAATTCAAGTGAAAAATACTGGAAAAAAGGGCACGAAACTGCGCACAGACTGGACCTCGGTTTCACGTGTCATCCGAAGGACGGCACCTACGACAATGCAACCCCCCCACCCCCACCTTCCCTCCCCCCAGCACCCATGTGGTGGCTTGAACCCACCACCTTCTGACCCAGAGGCGAGAGAGAGAGAGAGAGCCAGGCTGACGCACGCACAACAACCACAACAACTTGCATTTAGACAGCAGCCCTTCACGTGGGGTAGAATCCCGGAGAGCTCGAATGCAAGTCACCGGTTGCGTTCACTCACAGGGACAGTCACTACTCCTGTGGGTAGTAATTGCCCACGAATGGGGAGGGTGTTTAAACGGGAGGAGCTGCCTTCCTTTTTCCCCCCAAAAAACCCCCCAAACTATTTTGTGTGAGTTTCAGACATGGCTGATTTGGGTTACGACCTGCCTCAGTGTGAAAGGGACTGGGCTTTGTTTGATAACGTAACGGAGGTCTGCGACAGCGACAGCGTTCAGCGCCCGACGCTGGTGATGTCCGAAGATTCCGATCTGAGCGACAACTCGGAGAAGCTGCTGCGGGAACACCAGCGGAGGAGCAGGAAGGTCAACGTCGGGAGATGCCTCCAAGGCCTGGGGAGCCGGGACCCGAACCCAGCTCAGGTCGGGAGGTGGAAAGGGAGGGGAGCGCCGGGCGGGACGTTCTGCGGCACGGCTCGGATGGCCTTCGACGACTGCTTGAGCCGCGGCTACGAAGTCTTCAGCGGAGAGGACGTCCTGTCCGCCAGCGAGGACGAGCTGGACCTCGAGATCGTCAATCAGTTCCTCTCGGCCAGAAGCCAGGTGATGTCCGACGAGGGTGGCTCCGTGAACCAGCCCTGCTTTCTGATGCCGGGCGATAAACTGCTTCCTTCCAGGTACCAGCCATGCCTCCTGGTTTCCCGGGCGGGAGATGGTGCCGGAGCTGCCCACCGTCCCAGGATCTCGGAGGTCCACACACTTAGACACCGCTGGCCACGGGATGATGAGAGCCTTGTGGGATCGGAAGAGAAGCTGGAGGTTGAGAGCCAGCACCGTGACCACTTCCCCGCGCTCTGCTTCGGGGAAGGACGCCTGGACACATCCCGGGAGGGTTTGGCAATGCCGGGATTTGCCACCGCCGCAACCTACGGACAGATTGCGTCAAGCGGAAGGTCGCCAACTCCTTCCGCCTCGCTGGTGCCGGCCGTGGAAGATTATTCCATCTCGGTGCCCGAAGTCTACGAGTATTTTTACGCCGACTCGGACCCCGACGATGATCAGAACACTTTCCTGTTCATGAGGATTCCTCTCGCCTCCGCTGGCCCTCACTTTGCCTCGGGAAACAGTGTGCTCACATCCATTGGGTCTTTGGTGAGGGATTGCCTGGACCCAACGAGGCAGGGTTCCGAAGGACAGGTGTCCGTCTGGGACCCGGTTGGCTACGGTGTCAGTGAGGGGGAATCGCCTGCTGGAGCTTGGGGTGACAGCTCGATTATGCCCTGGGACGGGGCGAGCGAGGGGCTGGAGCTCAGACCCCAGGCACCTGACACTGGAGGTAATTCATTTGTGAATGAACTCACGTCGGTACCCCGGGGGGGGGGGGGGCGCGCGGCCCTCTGTCCAGGGGTCGAGAGCGCGGTGTGGGCTGGACCAGGTGGTGCATGGCTACATTTACAAAGGCTACGTCTTTGGTCGCGATCTAAAACAGGGGAAGGCGGAGGGATTGGGGGAGGAGAGAGCTCCAAAGCTTGGGGGCAGAGTGGCTGAAGGCCTCGGCCACCGATGGAGGAGCGGAGGGGACGCAGGGACAAGCAGGAGCTCCAGAGCCAGCCGAGCGGAGGCAGCGGGGGCACGGAGTGGGGAGAAAGTAGGTCAGAAAGGTAGGGCGCGCGCTCGCTCTCTCTCTCTCTCTGATTTCGCTGTGAAATAAAGTGTAAGCCTTTCTCTCCCACACCCAGGAACAGGACGTTGCTGTCTATATCTCCAGAGGAAAGATATCTGCTTGCTCTGCTTGGCCTGTGCATCCTGGGCGATGAAATGTCTGAGCTCCCAGTCAGACATGTGGAAAGCAGGTGAGAATTAGTCACTGAGAGTGGGAAGAGCGTTCAAGGGGCGGACTTAAGGACGTTCTCTTCGGGGTTGCTTTACCCCATTTCTAAAGCGATCTCCATTAATTTCTCACTTTCGCTAAATCAATGAAAATAATACATTTGGGAAGAAACTAGTTGAGGATCTCAGCTATCAATGAACCTTCGCCAGTGACAATAATAATAATATTAATCCTTGCATTTGATATAGTGCCCTATCAAGTCTTTCCGAGACGTCTCAAAGGGCTCGGTGATGAGCACCAACCCACCCGTAGTGGTGTTTCATACTGCTAGCTCCTAGCATTGTATGTTCGGAGCTCTTTGAGATGCCCTCCCGAAAACAAAAGGACCTATTGTAATTGTAAGCTCTATTGTATTTGTGTTGTTTGCAGCTTTGCTGGTGAACTTCAGCGCCATCTCTGCAGTCAGATACTTCAGACAACACGTGACAAAAGAGAAAAGCAAATGTCTTCCGGGTTCCTGGACGTCTGTTGAACAGCCACGAAAATAACAACCGTCGCAAGACCCTAACGCCACGCACCCATTGTCATCTCTCTCTGGTAACACAACTGTTATCAGGTTGGGGGTAGGGCAGAAAAGCTGCTAGTTATTTGCTGTAAATGCTTTGAGATTGTGGGTTCAAGCGAGTGAAATCATCATCACTCGAGCGCAATAGTGAGTGGGTGGATGACGGGGAGAGAGGAGGCATTGCTGTACTGTCTGAGGATCTCTCCGTGGGAGACAGTTCACCCAATGAATGTGGTAAGTGTTTGGGAGGTTGGTTGGGTTTGAACACCCCCTCACTCTGGACTTTCACTCGTACGTTACGTTAACAAAGTCGCTTAAGTGAGATGTTGGGCAAATCACTTACAGCTCAAGCCCATTTCAGGAGAGGAAGGCAGAATGAGCAGAGAAAGGATTCCAGGTCTACGGAAAAGATCAGACCTGCATATTGGGGTCTTAATTTAGGCAAGACATCTTAACGGGATGGATTCCTTAATAAATCGAGCTGCAAAAAAAAGGGGAAAACCTCCTTCCGGGTATCTGACTTCGCATCGATCCACGGGAATTCTGCTCTAAGCGTGATCGACTTCGAACAGGATTAAAAGCGGGTTAAAGAAGGCTGCACGTCAGAGCCAGTTTTTCCCCCCCCTCCCAAAACCTTTTCAGGTGAGGACCGAGCGAGCACCAGGGCAAGCAGTAACTGCACTCAGCCACGCTACATCATTACACTCCATCGATTAACTAAACCGTGAGCTGCTCACGTAACACAATCAAATTCCACGCCCGGTGACCCTGTGGAATAGATGTTGAAATCAGCGATACACAGAGGCACAAGAGAGAGACACACACACACACACACACACAGAGAGAGGAAAACCCTCTAATCTGTCCTCACATTTCTGCCGTTGAGAGTGCCGCAGTTTAGGCCCAGTGGCGCTGGGCTGGAAACGGGAGGTGAACAGATACTCTGATCTCCTAATCCCTCTTTCTTCCCAGAATAGTGCATTGAAACAGTTTCCTGACAATCACTGACCGACTGACTCATACGATAGGTGATGAGCTCAGCCGAGCTTGAGTCAGCGACGACGGGAGAGAAATAACACGCAGTAAAACTCCTGCTATCTCAACCCTGGCTTAACTTGTCACTACCGCTTAAGTCCATCATACTGTTAATCTCTGTTTACCCAGCAGTAAGTAGGACTAACCCGGTTGTTGGTCAATTGATGGATCAGTTTCCAGGAGTAATAATCCTTCCCCTGAAAAATAATAATTTGGTGACTGAATCCACGGCTGTTTGTGCGACGCTGCGCAATCGGCTCTGCGTTCACCCACAAGTATACAGTCAATTCACTTTACAGTATATGCTGTGAAGCGCGTTGAGACGTCTCGAAGGCGTGAGAAGGCGTCATATCAAATGCAAGGATTATTATTGTGGTTGCATTATTTATGTATTTATACATATGCCTAACTGGCCACTCTGGATAACTAGTCACGGCCCACCTTCTTCCCTTCGAGTGATGAGTTATCAGGAATTTGCCACAGTCTGAACAGGATTATGGGGGCGTCGCCCCCCCCCCCCCCCTCACCCCAGTCACTCAGACATTTGATGTCAAATGGTTACGAACGACAACTTCAAAATAAAACTAGTTTTTAATAGCAACGAAAACCCCAAAGAGAGTGGATTGTATCACGAACCAAGTACATTTTATTTAACGGTAAAAAGTTTTTTTTAAAAAAAACACACAAAGACACATAAGAGGCGACACAACACAAGACAGACAGTTCAATACTGAGAATAAATCTTTGGACCATCATTAACTTCATGGGGAAATCGCGTGCAATATGCACAACTCTGGAAAAGTTTGTTACAAACAGGAAACTTTTAAGATGCACCGTATGCACTCAGGAAGTTAACTCAATCCCTTTTCGCGCTCTCTCTCACATTTAGGACGTCAAATGCACAGTTAGCCGTTCCAAAGCAAATACTTTAATAGGTTATTAATAGTTCATTTAATAAAGTCCTAATAAAATTGGAAGCGATTGACTCAAGACCTGCTCACGCCATATCCTACCGCCTCCCCACCACCCCCCCAATATTGCGATTAATATACTGTTCTACCCAGCCCCCACCATTAGACAAAGAAATTCCCTTTCACTCACTCGCGTGATAAATTAAACGTCACCACTGAAACACAGCCCATGAAACGCGCACATTGAAACCCTCGACCGTCAAAATCGTCAAAACTCAAAAGAAATTAAGTGCAAAAAAAATCCACACACACACCGATCAAGTTGCTCCTTTCAGCACAGGTCATAAACTCACGATGAAAGCTACTCCACCCAAAAAACATACCCTCGCTGCAGCGAAGGATTAACTGTGCGTGGGTGGGGTGGGGTGGGGGGGGGGTGCTGAGCACCACATAACGTACGACAAAACATGTGCTGATCAGGGGGACAAGGTGTTAAACCAGTGCAGTTAAAGCCTAAGTCTCTGAGGCGAGCCTTCACCAGCCGACTGCAATCCTTTCCAAAAGAAAAAAAATAATATATTTTTTTGCAGTTGTGAATTTCGAAGATCAATAATGAGAGTCAGTGACAAACTAAAGAGGAACTCCAAACGCCGACAACTCAGTCGGAGAGAATGACTTTTAAAGAAAAGAAAATAGGTGAATGAATGGGATGCACTGTGCTCTCAGACCAGGAGAGTTCTGGATTGCCAGTATTGCCCAAACCAGGAATTCGCCCTCATTTGACGCACGGGATTTCACTGTAAAGTGTAGTGACTGCGCACTTTGGAGGCGAGATTTCACAATCTGGGGAAGAATCGTGGCTCAGAAACCAGGAGAAGAGATAAACGTCAACACAAAATGACTGGGGCATAAAACACCCACCCTTCTACACCCTCTGACTGGAGTGTTAACCTGTGTTAAAGTGCAATATAATCGCACGTTCCCCCGATCTTGCCACGAAGACAAGACTTCAGACAGACCCTGTGACATGCCCTGTATTTGCACGCAGCGTACAGTACAGTAACACTTGACGTGATGCCTTATTGCGTCGTCAAGGCATCTCGTGGCACGTTTACTGTTCAGTGTAGTGACTGCGTGTTTGTAGGCAAACGGGGGCAGCCTAAACTAGGGGATGCGGGGGGGGGGGGGAAATAAATCAAACCCACAACCCGGAGAGAAAAATCTGTATTTACAGCGGGAGTGGGCTTGGGTGGGGGAGGTGGTGGGGAAGGGTACCTAAGTTTGCACACGACGTGCAATACGCCTGCGTTTGCACACACCATTCACCTGGGCCAATAAATAAGACACCGACGTCCCACCAGAAGGGCTCTGGGCGGTGGGGGTTATGGTCTGTTTGAGGAGCTGCTGCTGAGAACCGAGTTAGGACCATCTGTTGACCTGTAGCCTGGAGTCCCTCGCTCCCCGCTGACACAGCCGGCTGAGGGAGGCGGGCGAAAGGTGAGGAATCACTTGCTGCTTCACGTCGGAGTCGCCGATGGCCTCGGCCCAGCCCCCCGGGAGGTGTTGCACCCCCACATAGTCGTGTTCGGACGAAGTGAAGGACAACCTGCTGCTGTCGCTGTACATGCTGTCGGCTTTGCCTGTGACGGAGAACAAAACGAGTTTATAATGATAATAAACAGCATTTTGATAGAGCGTCGTATCGTGTGGAGTAAGGATAATTGCCCAATGTTTTGCCCTGTTGCCCAGGAATCGAACCCGGGGCTTTCTCACTTGCGAAGCGAGCGCTCTAACCACTGAGCTACAGTCCCAAAAAAAGGAAAGAGGGTACAGAAAGGTGTACCCCACCTCACGAGCATCAAGTTTGTGCGGGAATTCAATTTCGGAGCCAACCTCACCTGATCTGTAGGTGTCAAGAAGATCTATGATTGCGTCATATTCAGAGACGTGGTCTGCAGAGAGAGAGAGAGAAAATAAATAGAATTAAAACGGATTTAATGTATAAAACATTGAGATTCATCATGATGCCACCCCACCCCCCCCTCCAACAAACAAACATTGGTCAAAACCGAGCTGTCATTCAATACATTCCATTTTGAGGAACGGCCGAGAGATTGAGGTTTGAAAAGGTTTTTCCTGTTAAACTGGTTTAAAGTTTATCAAGTTGTAGCATAAGTTTCGATCCCTCTCGCTCCACGGTGATGCCACAGGCCAAGCCAATAACTCAGAAAGTCTTTGCTATTAACAAGCTGGTATCATGTTAACCACTAGTCATAGAAACAGGAGGAGGCCATTCAGACCCTCGAGCCTGTTCCACCATTATACAAGACCAGGGCTGATCTGTGACTCAACTCCAATTACCTACCTTGGCCCCGTATCCCTTGATACCCTGACCAATATATTCATACGATGGGGAGAGAGAAAGGAGGACAGACAATTGAGGGTGGACTGAGAGATAAAGCTACAGACAGGCAGACAAATACACAAGACCAAAGGAGTGTGAATGAAGGAGTGGAATGCACACAGGACAAAGAGCACGACGTGTTATGTACCTCTTGAGCAATGGTTAGGCAAATCAGAACTTCCCTTTAGCGAAACTTCCTGTAAAGAGAGGAGGGAGGGTTGAGATCAATAGTTTCTGGAAGGTGTGAACTCTAATTAATGCATTAGATGATAATAATAATAATCCTTGTGTTTGATACAGCGCCCTATCAAGTCTTCGAGACGTCTCAAAGCGCCTCACAGGATACACTGTAAAGTGAATTGACTGCATTTTGGGGGTGAAACGCGGCAGCCAATTGCGCACAGCAGCGTCCAGCACACAACGCACATTGACAGACTACTTTATAGAGTAACCAGTTAGAGAGTTATATCACGCTGCAGAAGGTATTTATTTATCATTGAGGTTCCTATTAAGAGGGAAGGCCAATAAGCAAGTCATTGACATTAACGAGTGTGATAGTGTAAAGTCTCAAAGAAAGCTTATGTTTTTTTTCTTTGACGGGTACAGATCCCAGGTTGAGACCTAGTTATGTCTGAAAAGGAGGGATATAATAAGTGGGGTTTATTTCAGATTGTCTTGGCTTAGGGTGAATCGTTGCGCTGAACTGATTGAAGGATTAGACGAATGATAATCCGTTACACTTCGCGTCAGGAGGGAGCCTCAAAGCGCTTCACGGGATTTACAGAGAAGTGCAGTGACTTGTGTATTTTGTGGGTGCGATGGAAGACACACAATGCGAAGCCAGAGACCGAGGCAGCAGAAAGAAATAAACCGATGACAGGACAGCGTGTGAGAGGGACTTCAGGAGACATTCCTACATGGCTCTTTGCTTTGGTGACACATCCAGGCCGAGTTTGCAGATGGTGCTAACCATGTGCAAACAAGTGTGTCCACAGAGGGCGTTGTTAAGTATATAAAGTTACTGATTAATTTAATTACAGAAGCAAGTGCCACCTGCAATTCCCTCCGTGCTCAAGGCACATTGGCACATTGCGCAAACTAGACCCCATTGCTGGCAGACTCACTAACCAGTAATCGGAATATTGTTGAAAAAAAAGTTATTTTTTTTCCCCGCAACCACTTCCCTGCCCTCACCACCCCCCCCCCCCACCACCTCCCACCCAACCCGAAAAAAAATCTCCACGTTGCCAAACAGTGCAAGTAGCTAACATTACCCCCCAAACTCCTGAGGTGTAAATGGATACTTACTTGTTTGAGCCAGGAAAGGTTTGGCGGAAGTTCTGGGTGGAAACTCAGAGAGACGTAAGGCTCTGCGTATGTTGGAGAGAACGGCTGTTGCCAGGCATTTTCATCCATGTAGGAGCTCGCGTTACTCTCTTGATTGGAGTCGACCTGCAGCAACAACAAGAACAACGTACATTGGTAAAGCACCTTTCACGTCGGGAGGATGTCCCGAGGCGCTGGACGTTCAGGGAATTTTAGGGAGGGCGGCCGAAGGCACGGCCGAAGAGGAGGGTCTTGAGACGTGCTTTGAAGGAGGCGAGGGAGGGGTGGGTGGGGGGGAGTGAGGTGGAAGGACTGTGGAATGGAGTTCCAAAGGGTGAGGGCAGAGAGGCAGTCGATGATGGGGTAGGCCGGGGAGGGGATGTGGAGCAGGCCATCACAGGAGACAAGATCTCCATGTTATTTTATAGAAGTGATTAACAAGCCATCCCTCTCTCTCTTTCCACACCCTATCAATCTCAAATGAAGCCCCAAATGCAAGTTATTCAACAGTTACTTCTCAAAACATTCCCGCATGTCCCGACACGCTGGTGTGCGGAATTCCGATCCGCACACATTACAGCAAATGTTACGGAGCCAGAAGAAATTCCCTTCTCTTTTTCCTCAAAGAGCTTCACGTCACTCTTAACACCCACCTGAATAGGCACTTGGTTTAAGTGAGCTATCCCAGCCTACAATAGCAAACGCCAAGGTGGGGCTCGATCCCACAACCTCTGACTCGGTCCCAAGATTGATTGACCGAAAATACACGAACGATTTGCAAATCCTTTTTTTTTTTTTTAAAAATATATTTAAAAAAGTCACCACTCACACGCTGATCGGCGAATCCATCTGGAACCAGCTGGGACTTGAGAGCCTTAAAGGGTTCAGCGTACACAGGCGACAAGGGTCTAAAGGACTTGGCCGGAGGCTGGGACAAAGCGAGGGCCTTCCGAATCGATACTCCGGTGATGGAGTCAGACTCCGGTAACGGCGATGAATGGTGTTTGATCGCAGACTGAAGGAACACAAGTGATAGGCATTTGGAGGTTAGAGAAAAGGATGAAACTCCGGCTCAAAGCCGCACAGGACTTTCAACAGCGGCCTTGCATTTCAATAGAGAATCATAGAATGTTACGGCACAGAAGGAGGCGAATCTTTCCGTTTATTGTGCCTGTGCCGGCTCTTTGGAAGAGCTGCCCAATCAGTCCCACTCCCCCACGCGTTCTCTACCCCCCCCCCACCCCAAGCCCCCCACATATTCTGGCAAATTTTTCCTTTTCAAGTATCTATCCAATATAGCACTTTATCACAGCATTGAGACATGTCAAAGTGCTTTATGGGATTATACTGTAAAGTGTATGACTGTGCGTATTTTGCGGGTGAAAGTTGAGGGGGGTGTGGCTGGGGTTGGGGGGGGAAGTTTGCACTAACTTCACTTAGAAAGGTCAGTGCAGATTTTTTTTTCTTTACCCGGCGGGTAATGAACGAGAGGAACAGGTTTCCAGGAATGGTGGTGAACACACACACACACACATAAGGTGATGGGTAGACTGCAGGGTGGATGTTCCTAGAGGGATGAGATCAAATGGACTGAAGGTCCTTCTTAATCCATACCAAGCTCTCCAGGACACTAACCCGAGTGAAGGGCACTACATAAGTTGTTGTTGTTGTTTGACCGTGTGCTCAGACTTTCAACGCCAACGATAAGGTGGGACAATTTACGATCATGAAAAAAAAAAACTACTACTTACTTCACTGAGCCATAAAGGGTTGGCAGGAGGGGCCGGCTGTAACCTCAGGGGGATGTAGGGCTCAGCGTACGTTGGAGAGAGCAGGTCATTACTCAACTCCTCTTCCACCTGCGGGAACGATCTCACGGAGGCAGAGTTGCTGTCGATCGCATTCCCTTGGTTCCCTCGCTTCTTGATGGAAGAGCCCCGATTGCTGAGCAACTGCAATAAAACACAGGGACATCGATCACGTTAATTCATTGCCTGATGGCGATATCGATGGCAAATGAGGTGGTTTGAGCTGGTTCGACTCCCAACTGTTTGGTAGATTTGAGCTGTACTTACATCGACGCCCGGGGAGGGAATGGAATGCGTTTTGGAGAGCGCGAATGGCTCAGCGTATCCTGGCGACATGGGATTGCTGTAGGCGTCCTCGATATACAAACTGGAATGATCTGGGGAAGCGTGACATGGCAGGAATGGCGGCTGGGACAAGGCGAGGGTTTTACGTCCAGACAGTCTGGATTTGGCGTCTTGATCCGGTAAAGGAGATGACTTGTGCTTCACTGCGGACTGAAATTCAACACAAAAAAACATTTATAGCAAATCCCTCTCACATAAACAGCAACGGCAAATGACAATTACACGGCGCTTTTCGCGTCGGGAGGGACGTCCCAAGGCGCTGGGCAGTCAGGGATTTGGACCCGAGCTGTTGGTTGGGATCAGGAGGGTTGGATGGCAGGTAGGGTAGGGGTTGGAGGGTGACTGAAGGCGCAGTCGAAGAGGAGCATCTGGACTTTGACAGTGAAGGCCGAGAGGGATAGATTACCAATAGGCAGTGGATGGCTAATGGTGGAAAGTTTCTTCTTCATTTGAACCTCCTGTGAGCCCTCATTACAAGCACCAACCTCATCCCTCCCCCAACCCCCCCCCCACAGTCACACTCACTTCATTCGTCCTCCCTGGTGCAGTTGGCACTGAGAGCCATGTCTTGGTTGGAGTGTAAGGATCAACGTAGTCAGGAGACAGAGGCTGTCCTGTCTGATCCTTCACCCCCACTGTGGCCCAGCTGCCCTCTGCTTCTCCACTCGTCTTTTCCGGGGTTACGTCGGGAAAGGTAAAGATTTCACGCATGCGTTTGTTCCTTTTGGGCAACGGGGGAGCAACCCCTTGGCCGGCCGACGGCTAAGATCAACGTAAAAAAATAATGTTTAGTGACCTCGAAGCTCAAGCCACTTAAAGCGGGTGTTGGGTCTGTTTTGTGGTGCTGTGAACAGGACTGAATATAATACAGTACCCGGTGTGAAGATTAACAACCTGGGGGCACCGAGTACTGCTGATGTTCACCAATCTCAACCACGTGACCCCCAAAACCTCATCGCTCAACAGAATAGGTCAGAGGAGGGGAATGGGGCAGAGTAGAAAGCAGGACTTTCATATCTACTATTTATTGGGGCAGTAGAAATATACTGATTGAGAACTTGGGGATGTTTCGGTGAGAACGTGTATTGATCAGTGTACAGGAGTCTAATTAACATCCACCGATCACGTTGCTTTCCAACAGGATGCCTTTGGAAAGTCAGTGATTCAGTACATCACAACAACAACTTGCATTTAAATAGGGCCAAGAGCTTGACAGTGGCGGAGTCTGACCCTGAGCCGGGGGAGGGGGGGAAGAGGGAGGGTGAGGGGTTGGTCGGGGGGGGGGGGGGGGGGAGAGAGATGACCGTAAGCACGATCACAGACTCAATCTGCCTTGAACACTGAGCACGTCAAATAGAAGCTCTCGGCAAATCAGTGCGATGCAATTTGCTTTCCCTATTAAACAAAAACCCATTAGAAATCGCAGCACGTGAGCAATTAATTATCCATGAATGGTTTTATGCTCGTCAGCTATCAGCCCGAGGAACCAGAAATCCAGCCCGTTTGCTATACTGCGGGTTACGGTGGAGAAAGTTTATAAATAGCTGCTCGCTTTGATCCAGACCAAGCCCAGTTTGTTAAACACATCATCATCATCATCATAATAATCCTTGTATTTGAAACAGCGCCTTAGCACAGATTCGAGACGCCTCAAAGCGCTTCACAGAATGTACTACGAAGTGAATTGACTGTGGGAGAACGAAACGCAAAGAACACGCGGAGAACACCCCCCCCCCCCCCCCCCGTCAGGATTATTTTGAAAGGGTTCTGGACTGTATAAAGTGACAAGTCAAGACTCCAGCCTGCTCGTAAAACTCTTCACACGTACTCAATACCGACCGGCTACTACAACAACAACAACGTGCATGTTATAGAGCTCCCTCCACCCGCACGGAGCGCTTGAAACGGTATCGGAAAGCAGACTCACACAGAGCTCGCCGCTCGTTCGGGCTTGGGAGGAGTTGACACTCTTGCGATTCAGGTATGTTGGCTTCTCGAGGTAACAAAGCCATTCCTGCACCTCATTCTCACCTGAGCAATGAACTATAATGGGATGGAGAAGAGGACCTGCAAACAAAAGGTGGCAAGTCATTACACATGCTGAATACACGGACTGGCGACACTGCGCAGAAACACAAGAAAAAAAAAAGGTTAATTAATTGGAAACGAAACCCAAATCATGGGGTTGAATGTGGATATGAAGCTGCCAAACTATTAATAGCAATTTTTTCCTGTGCACTTACAAGCCTCAAAAATAATGCTAATCCTTGCATTTGATACAGCGCCTTATCACGTCGTTGGGATGACTCAAAGCGCTTCACGGGACACACTGTAAAGTGTAGTCACTGTGTGTTTTGCGGGAGAAACCCGGAAGCCAATTTGCACCCTGCAGTGTCTCACAAATTGCTATAGAGCGAGTGACCAATTTTATTTGGGGGATTGTTGGCCAGACTCCGGGGAGAGAGGACTCCCTTTTCTTTTCAAATAGCGCCATAGGATCTTTAACATCCACCTGCGCAGGCATTTAATTTTTTTTAATTTAACAGAAAACTGCACCGAGGTCTTGCTCGATCTTTATGAGCATTTAACACCAGTTACTGAGTAACCGCACCCTGTGAATGTCAAAACAGGTTCCCACGGCTGATCACAAGGCTGTAATCTCATCGAGTAGCTCGGATTAGATCATAAACCACAAGACCAAAGTTCAAAGCTCTCTGATTCCTGAGAGCCAACAACAGTCTGAAAATATTAGCTTCTGTCTGTCATCTGATTAACAGCGACAGAAACTGTGGGGTAACCTGGTTTCGCATTCGTTCATGATTCACCAGCGCAGGCCCACTGACTGGGACACACCATTAAAGTGTTAGACAACGAGGGACTGACTCGGACAAAGCGATCACACAGACACTAGATGGGAAAGGGTTCCTCAGTGCAACGACACTACGTACGTTTGTCTATTAGGTCGGCAGGACTTAACAGACAACCCGAAACAATCCAAGCGGTTGCGGACTTTGAATTAAAAATTCCTGGCTTTTACTTCTAAGAAAATTACCCGATAATTACAGCTTCGGGTAATTAACCTAATACATTCGAGAGCGCTGGGTAATTAACCTAATAACAGTTCTCATGAGAGAGTTCCTTGCCGAGACTGCAATCTCCAGTCAGCAAACGAGACGGTTCTCAGTGGAATGGCTGTATAATGGAAACGACTGTGTGTTTTGCGGGCGTTTTGTGGTCAAACACATTTTACAATGAACTTGTGAAGGGCTTGGAGACGTTCTTGACAACGTGATAACGTGTTATGTCTAATGTAAAGATCATTATGAATTATTATTAATTATTAATAGCCAGAAGCTTTAAAAGAGAATGCCTGGGTTATGTCCCCTCTCCACCCTTCTCAGTTTTTTTTTGTGATCAGCCGGGTATTTAACACGCACCGATACCCACCCACTGTCCTTAAGAGCGTCCGATATCGAGAGTTCCACATATGTACACACTCTGGCACTCGGAAATTTCCTTGCGTCTGGAATGAAACGCGCACTCTCTTCCCGGAGGGATGCACCCTCCCTCTCCCCCTCCGCCCCGTTTACCCAATTCCGTAGAGATTCAGGCGCAAGAGCGAAGGCTTAGTGTGTACTGCTGGAGTGTGACCAGCTAAAAATGCACAGCTCGCCATTGAGAGCCTTGTGAGTCAAGCTTCCTGCTGCTTGTCCAGCTAGGACCTGACCGGCCAAGGTGAGAACTGGAATGCTTCATACCTGTAATCTGAAACGTGTGGTCGTCCTCGGATTCACTGCCGCTTCCTATCTGCGCTGTAATCCCTGCCAAGGGGAGCGTGCCCTACGTAGAGAGAACACATGTGTTGAAAGAAAAGAACCTGCATTTTTCATGGCCTCTTATAGACGTGGAGGGATGTGGGGTGCGGGTGGGGGGGGGGGGGGAGACAGAGTTAAAGTTCCATTTACCTCGTGCATGAAGACCTGGGAATCTTTTGAGAGGATGAGCAGGTGGTTTCGGAAGAGCACCAGATAGCGGTCGTTTAAATCCTATTACCACACGGGCAAAAATAATTAGGAGGCATTCCAGAGAAGGGTTAATATCACAGTCCTACAAACGAACATTGATCGAGCTCACTAACGAGTTCATCAGAGTTTTAAACCCGAGCGGTCCTAACAGAAGTAAAGGTCAGATGAGGTGAAATTTCACCCAAGAATTTACAAATAAAAATAATAATAATAATAATCCTGGCATTTGATACAGCCTTATCACATCTTCGAGACGTCTCAAAGCGCTTCACGGGACCCACTGTAAAGCGAATTGGCTGCGTGTTTTGTGGGTGATAAGGAATTGCGTCATGCTGATTGCTGGGAGGTGATGGGATCTACTCTTGCAGCGAGGTCCGCTGGACTTCCTTCCAGTTCTAAGAAGGAGCCCAATTGAAGGAACCCAGTTAGAGAAAAAAAATTGGCTCTCGTTAAATTGCACTGCTCGTGACAGTACTGTATGCTTGTCAGTCATCTTTGCCATCAGGGAGACCGCTTACAGCCCTACATTGGATCCATTTGAAGGTAGAACGACTCCATTTTAAAAAAAAATATATTATGAGAAAAACACGCAATTGATAAACAAATCTGACAAGCAAACAGGTTGAAGTCTGCCGAATTCTTGCAATGGCGTATAATGAAAATGTCTCGACGTTGAACAGGGCCTTACCTGGCAATGCTGGTGGTGAATTTTCACCTGGGAGCAATGGATCATCTCGCCCAACTCTTCCCGGCTCATCCCACTCCTGTGCCATTCCACCAACGGGTTGGAAAGAAGATTGTCAAACAAAGACTCCGTCTTAGGCTGATTTGCTTCCTGAATGGGATTCACCTGTTGGAACACAGCAAAATGCGGAGTGAAATTTCAGGTGGAAAAGGTCATGGGGCAAAGGGAGGATTAAATCCGCTGAACAATAATCCTTGCGTTTGATGTAGGAGCTTATTCCGCCGTTGAGATGTCTCAGTGCGCTTCAGAATATACTTGCCTAAGGTTCTGCCCCCGCCTGGGAATCGACCCTGACTTGCTCCTCTCGTTAACAGCCCTCACGTTAATACTCTGGGTGAGTAGCCCAGCCCGAAGTTACTGTCACGATTCACCGTTGAATAATGACAACTTTAGACAAAGTACCAGAGGGTTTGTGAAACTCGACCCAAAGAAAAGCGGTCGATCCCTTTCACCGGAGGAAAGTGTGGGGCGGGGGGGGGGGGGGCGGGGAAGAGAGATCCGTGGGGAGATCTTGGTACAACAAAAAAAAAAAGGTAGACAGCCCAACATTGACTGGTTGCAACTTTGTACGAAAAATACTTTATGTATTTCACCGGGAGATGTTAACCGAGATCAGAGACTCACCGTGTGGGTTTAGCATCTCTGATAAAACACCTCAACCACACCTTGACACCAACAACTTGCATTTACACAGCGTCCCTTCGCGCTGAAAACGGGGAAGGGGCAAGGCGGAGGGTTAGAGGAAGAGTGTTCCAGAGTTTCAGTGCCTTAGGACGTCCTCCCGACTTGAAAGGCGCTATACAAATATAATTTTGTTGTCGTTATTGTAGCCCAATGTCCTGGAACACCAACTACTCCACATACAGTTTCTCAAATGACTTTATGGGCTGAATATTCCAGGAAAGCCGAGTTTAAAAGCCTGGATTGGGGTCTAACATGGAGGTTGGGCTAATATTTATAGTTCATGGGTCTAACAGCGTCTAAACACATGCATCAACTGATAAGAGATTACAGAATCAACCCTAACCACCCCCCCTCCATTGGTTATTTTGGTATTAAGCAAGACCAGAGGTCTTACTTAACCTTCGTCAGCCACCCAGCTGATCAACAACACAACCCTATGTTCTCTACCGGTTTCTCTTTGCAATGCCATGTGACTGCCGACCAGGTGGTGGAAACAGGCCCCATTTCCTCTCAGAACCATGACTCAGAGCTTCGAGCTGGAGTTTGATCGACAAGATGCAACGATGCGCAAGATTTCGACAGCAAAGGCTCATCTTAAATCAGGATCGTTTTGAAACCTTCCAAAACCCCCAGTGATCCGGTTTCTCGTGTCGGACGTCCCAATTAGTCAACCGTTTGGGACGGAGTCATCATCAGGAACTTCCCTTCCTCCTCCTCTTCCCAGGTCACTAATTGGTAAACTCTGTTAGGATCCGTCAATGTTTCCACCCCCACTTCCCCACGCCCCCCCCCCCACCCCACACACAACACCCCCCCCTCCCCCCAACACAGTCATTTAATTTCCCAAAAGACAATATTGCACACGCACATCACAATAACTTCTTGCATTTGTCAAGACCCTCCTCTTTGACTGTTTCTTTGGCCACCCTCCTACCCCCCCTGCCCTCCTGCCGCCCCCCTGCCCTCCTGCCGCCTCCCCTGTCCCCACCTGCCCCCCCCTGTCCCCACCTGCCCCCCCCTGTCCCCCCTGTCCCCACCTGCCCCCCCTGTCCCCACCTGTCCCCACCTGCCCCCACCTGCCCTCCTGTCCCCACCTGCACTCCTGTCCCCACCTGCCCTCCTGCCCCCACCTGCCCTCCTGCCCCCACCTGCCCTCCTGCCCCTACCCTCCACCGGTTCTGATTCCAACCCCACCCCCCCGCCACCAGCTCAGGGTCCAAATAGAGTAGAATAGGGGAACACACACTTTAAAATATATATTTTTTCTTAATAAATTCTAGCACATGAGAAATAAAAATGAAAACCGACTGAAGGTAAAGAGTTAGCCCATTCAATACACAAAAGGAGAGAGAAAAATTGCTGTGACTCAGATCCGGGGGATGGGGTGGTGGGGGGGGAAGGGGGGGGCAAGGTCACTCGTCTAGAGAAGGTGAATGACTTATTACTGACGTGCTGTATTCAGCAGTGGTTCATACCCTGAGGCCTTATTATATCAGTAATTGCCAGAGCCCAAGGTGCGGCTGTCACTCAGGCAGGCAAGGAAACCGCATCGTTCGACAACCGGTCTGGAGGGAAAAATCCTCTGCAGCTAAACCATCCAACACCGTTCCTGTGGTCCTGGAAATACTCACGGCCCTCAGTCCATTACCTACCACCGCACACAGGCTATCTGATAACCAGGGCAGCTCATAAATACAATGAGCAGGGGTCAGACACTAGTCTCAACCACAGAATAGATCAACGCTCACCCCATTCCACCCCCACCCCCACACCCGCAACCCATTATAATAACAATTATAATAATAATCAGCCTTTGGAAAGTGCACAGGAGTGTATGCCACCACCTTGGCCGGTTCGCTTCTGAAGAAGAGAAAATTCCCCCGATGATGAGATGCTTAACATGCCAGTCGTGCCTGGTGTGTTTTGATGTTAAAACAGAGCTGGCATTCCCTGGTATTGTCTGTTCGGGTTATAACATTGATACAGGTTTTGTGTTTGTGACTTACAGTGTAAACATCTGGAGGAACATCTTACCTTGAGTAGACTTGTCTGGACCTGAACGTTGCGAGTATCTCGAATCAGATCAAACCTCGACTTGCTCGGCTCTCTGGAAAACGTCAACTCTTCTGCCCGCAATTCACTGCAAGAACAGAAACACAAGGAAAGTCAGGGATTTCCAGGAAAATAATTGACTATAGTTTCAGTGCACTACCCACCCATTTTCGCTCCCCTTCCCCTTGAAGGTGCTGGGATAGAATCCAGCAGCCATGCTCAGAAAAGGGAGTTTAATAATAGGAATAATAATACTGGCATTCGATACAAGAACAAATTACATTGTATGGCACATTTGATTCAGAGCCTCATCGGGTTGTCAAGACATCTCAAAAGCGCTTCATAGGATTTCACTGTAAAGTGTGGTGACTGGGCATTTGTAGGCAAGTTTGCTAAACACCTCAACAATAAAAATATTTAGGAGAGGGATGATAATGGTGGCTCTGGCGCAGACAAAACCAGCCCAATGGCCTCTTCCAGGCTGCAAATTTCAAGGACTCCACGTTTCTCCAGTGAATAATAAATAAAATAATAATCCCGGCATTTGATACGGCGCCTTATCACGTCTTCGACACGTCTCAAAGCGCATCACGGGATACACTGTAAAGTGAATTGACTGTATATTTTGTGGGCAAAGCAATTGGCTTCCAAAGCAAAGCAAGACCGAACTTGTGAAATTCTCCACCATTCTGCTCGATCTTACACATTGAGGCAAAGCTGACTCCCAAGTCAGGGTTGCAATCCAGGATTTTCAGAGATCCATTACTGTATGGGATCTCCGGGAATCCAGGCATTAAAATCCCCAAATCCCAGGAAGAGCGCATCCCTGCTCCCAGGCGAAGAGTCGATGGGATTTTGAGCCACGAATGATTTCGTTCGAAATATCAAAGAGAGACAGATTGTCCCATGCGTTTTTTTAAAAAAAATAAAAGCGGTTTAAAAAATGGGGAGCGATCGATAGATGTTAAGTCTGTCTGAACAGCACTGACTCACATTCACTCGCTCTGTGGGACAGTAAATGAATCATGAGCAACTTCCCGTTCCACTCGAGAGCACAAAACGCTGAGAGCAGGTCGATCCGCATTTGACAAAGAAACAATGTTTTTGGGTGTGACCGACCGCTCGTGAGAACTCTACCCTCCCCCACGGAATCATTAACCCACGGCCTTCACGGTCAGCTGCTATTTGTGGGAAGTTCCCGTGTCCGATGATGCTGTCATGTTTGCCTACAAGTACAGTCACTCCATTGCACAATAAGTCCTTGTGAAGCACCTTTGGGTCGTCTTCTTGAAGTGGAAGGCGTGAGACCAGATTCAAAGAAGGACCAAAGTTCTCTTAAGCCTAAAAACCTACCTCTTCGACCCAGTTTACGTTCACTAACGCCCCCCCCCCGCCCCTCCATCTGTGTCTAACTCCATCACCGCGAAGAGCTCTGGAGACCTTTTCCTACATGAAGAAAACTTTATAAATGCAATTTATTGTTGGTGAGGAACCTGTACTACAGAAAAACAGCTTTAAGGTTAAGACTAATTCGGCAACTTGCCAGATTCTGCACTGTCTAGAACGCTATGTTAATAGAGTAAACCTGGACCCAGGAGGATGTCCCACACACTGAGGCTCAGGTTTCATTCAACAAACAGCAATTTGCATTTATATGGGGCCCTTCACACTGAGCATTAAGCGCTTCGAGACGTCTCGAAGAGATAAGGCGCTACATCAAATGCAAGGAATATTATTATTATTTTCATCCCCACCACGCTAAACGCAGTTAAATAAACCGGTTTGCCGATTATTTCCAAGAGGATCGGAAAGATGATTTCTAAAAGCAAACAGTCTTTATTTTTCTTAAAATAATGATTAAAAGTGAAACTCTCGAGGTTTCACACAGGTGTTTGGAAATTTGCGACTTCTGCGCTGAAGCTTAACTCCCGATTGATTAATTAATTAATCCGAATTAATCTGGAAGTCAGAACTGAGATCCGCCTCTCCTTATTAAACCTAGGAATTGCGTACACCAATTGTGCACAACATAACACAACAAATGCACGAATACAGAATAATCCCTGCAAAAAAATGCTAATAAATTGGTCACTTCGATCCGTAAGCACAGTCAAAGAGGAAGGTTTTCAGGCGGGACTAGCAGCGGGGCATAGTGGCTGAAAGCACGACCTCCGACGGTGGGGCGGAGGGTGCGAGGGACGAGCAGGAGGCCAGGGTCGGTCGAGCGGAGGAGCGACCCGGTGGCGGACGGGGGATTGAAGAGGTCGGCGAGGAAGGGAGGTGCCAGAAAGCGAAGGGATTTGAACACGGGCGTGAGTTAACCTGAATCCTTCATTAAATGAATCTCTCCGGTTCCTAAAGAGATAAAACACTACAATATACAAACACACAGCCCTACCCTACTTCCCGCTTTTTTTAAAAAAAATCAGGACAACACGATAACACACCAAATCAAATGCGAGAATTATCATCGCTTTCCGCACTTTTACTTATTTTTTTTTAAAAAAAAGTTTAAATTTACCCCTGAAGTTAAATGTAATCGCGGTTTAAAAAAATATAATGGGACCTCTGCTTCCAGATCTATATCGACATCCATTAGAAACCACAAATGATTTTTCTGGCATTTATTCTGGCATGAAAGGAATTATGCATCAGCTGAAAATTATTACATATAATAATAACACATCAGCCTCAGCCCTGTTTTAGTAGAAGAGTAGAACAGACTCAAATGTTGTTGAATGGCCTATTCCTGTTTCCAGGTTCAAACAACAACAATAACAACAATAATAAACAAGAATACATAATAATAATAATAATAATAATAATAAATAGTGATAAGGCTTTGACTACACAGAAAAAAGACCACGAAGTTAAGGTGAGAACACTGCACTGTAGGAGAGAAACTCAGGACAAGTCTGAGAAAACAATGACCAATTAAGAGACCATCAAAGAACCTAATAGCTGCTTAACCTTCTCTCTCTGTGTCTGTCTCTCTCTGTCTGTCTGTCTCTCTGTCTGTCTATCTGTCTCTGTCTCTCTCTCTCTGTCTGTCTGTCTCTCTCTGTCTGTCTCTCTCTGTCTGTCTGTCTGTCTGTCTCTCTCTGTCTGTCTGTCTGTCTCTCTGTCTCTCTCTCTGTGTGTCTGTCTTTCTCTCTCTGTCTGTCTTTCTCTCTGTGTGTCTGTCTTTCTCTCTCTCTCTGTCTGTCTGTCTCTCTCTGTCTGTCTGTCTGTCTCTCTCTGTCTGTCTGTCTGTCTCTCTCTGTCTGTCTGTCTGTCTGTCTCTCTCTGTCTGTCTGTCTGTCTCTCTCTGTCTGTCTGTCTGTCTCTCTCTGTCTGTCTGTCTGTCTGTCTCTCTCTGTCTGTCTGTCTGTCTCTCTCTCTCTCTGTCTGTCTGTCTCTCTCTGTCTCTTTGTGTGTCTGTCTTTCTCTCTCTCTCTGTCTCTCTCTCTGTCTTTCTCTGTCTGTCTGTCTCTCTCTGTCTGTCTGTCTCTGTCTCTCTTCTCTCTGTCTGTCTCTCTCTCTTCTCTCTGTTTGTCTCTCTCTGTCTGTCTCTCTCTGTCTCTCTGTCTGTCTCTCTCTGTGAAACCAGCTCAGCATTGCCAGGAGTAGGGAATAGCAGTGAAGGGTTGTGCTCTGTGTTGCTCAGTGTGTGAGAGAGAGTAAGTATAAGAGGTCTCTCTCTCTGTCTGTCTGTCTGTCTGTCCTTACCGTCCATGTCTGCTGGATTTTTTCCTTGTGCTGGTTCCCTTGAAGCTCCTGAAGCTCCTGGGCATACAGGAAAGTTTGCTGCCCATTATGTTCTGCCCCAACCAGACCAGTGCTGAGCTGTGTTGTGTGTCCTCTCTCTCTCCCCCCACACACTGCCCCACACACTGCCCCACACACACACACTGACAGTGCACAGCTGTGTGCACTGGGGCTTTAAATGCCCTTCCAGTCTGTCCCTGGTTTCCGCTCTGTCAGGTGAGTGCCTTCAGTGGGTGGGGAGGTTTGAGCTGTGAAACGTGAGTCAAAAGTTAATAGGTTGTGAGTGAATGAGTAAATGTATGTGAGGGTGTGAGTGACAGACAGACAAATATATAAATAAATAAATAATCAGTGAGTGACTGTGTGTATATGAGTGAGTGAGTGTATATGTGTGTGTATGTATATGTGAGTGAGTGTGTATGTATGTCTGTGTGTGTATGTATATATGAGTGAGTGTGTATGTATGTCTGTGTGTGTATGTATATATGAGTGAGTGTGTATGTATGTCTGTGTGTGTATGTATATGTGAGTGAGTATGTACGTGTGAGTGAGTGAGTGCATGAGTATGTATGTGAGTGGGTGTGTATGTGAGTGACTATGTATGTGTGTGAGTATGTATGTGTGTGTATTTGAGTGAGTGTGTGTGTGTGTGCCTGTGTCTGAGAGTCTGTGTGAGTGTGTATGTGTGTGTGTATTTAAGTGAGTGTGTGTATGTGTGTGAGTGCCTGTGTCTGAGAGTCTGTGTGAGTGAGTGTGTATTTAAGTGTGTGTGTGTGTGAGTGAGTGCCTGTGTCTGAGAGTCTGTGTGAGTGAGTGTGTATTTAAGTGTGTGTGTGTGTGAGTGAGTGCCTGTGTCTGAGAGTCTGTGTGAGTGAGTGTGTATTTAAGTGTGTGTGTGTGTGAGTGAGTGCCTGTGTCTGAGAGTCTGTGTGAGTGAGTGTGTATTTAAGTGTGTGTGTGTGTGAGTGAGTGCCTGTGTCTGAGAGTCTGTGTGAGTGAGTGAGTGAGTGAGTGAGTGAGTGAGTGAATGTGTGGCCAAGGTTCCTTCCTTATCCTCTCAGGTAAACCTGAAGTCACCTCAAAATGTGCACCTTATCAAACCTTGAAAGCGATAATAATTAGAATAATCCTTGCATTTGATATAGCGCCTTATCAAGTCGTTCAAACTCCTCAAAGCGTTCCGCAGAACCATATTGTAAAATGGATCTTAAGATAGTAATAATAATAATAAAAAAACAAGGATTATTAACAAGACTGCGTACACAGTTTGGTTAAGGGGGGGGGAGGAGGAGTTTTTTTAAAGTTTTTTTTAAATAAGTGGTGCTTTTCGTCCCCTCAGTGTGCACAAAAACATATACCGTGTCCAGAAAGAGATCCAGCAACGTAGAACTATTATACTAGTAACCCTTGCATTTGATACAACGCCTTTTCATGTCATTCGAGACGTCTCGAAAGCGCTTCACAGAATATACTGTAAAGGGCATTGACCGACCGTTTTGTGGGCGAAACTCGGCCGAAAATTGTGTTTGTAGAAAAATGCGGTGGCTGTTCTGGACGCAGCGAGATTGCCACAAACAGCTACGAGGTGAACGATAATTTTCATTACCTGGGGGATTGTCAGCCAGGACAGGGTGAGAAACTCCATTGACCTTTCAAGTAGCGCCATGGGGTCTTTGACGTCTATCGAAACAGAGGAGATCTCAGTTTAGCATCTCAACTGGAGGACGACACCTCCAACAATGCAGTCCGCCATCCCCCATCCCCCCCCCCCGCCCGCCCGCCCGCCCGGCATCCCCCAACACCGCACTGAAGCGTCAGCCTGGACTACGAGCCCAAGTCCTGACATCGATTTCTATTACATCGTTAAGTTATTGCTCAAAAACTAGACCAGTGTCCTGTCATCAACCTCCCTTCCTGGTGAACTGTCCCAGCTGTTAATTGCTTTGTGTTCCTGGTATCGGTGATCAAATTTCCAGCAACAAGTGGTTAATACAAGCTCTCCTTCTGCTTATACTTTGACCTCCGGCATTATGCAATAAGGTGCAACTACGTTCGTGGTGTGTCAGCCTGGCACAGCGGTAGCGCTCTCTCTCTCTCTCTCTATCTCTCGTCCACCTCTGAGTCAGAAGGTTGTGGGTTCAAGCCCCACGTCAGGACTTGGAATCGCATCGTCTAATATGACGCTCCAAATGCAGCGCTGGGTGGTGGGGGGGTTGTTTTGTTGTCGGATGTGCCGTCCTTCGGGGGAGACGTTAAACCGAGGCCCTGTCTGCCTGGCCAACAATCCCTCCCCAAATACAATTGGTCACTCACTTCATGGCTATTGGCGGGATGCTGCTGTTCGCGAATGGCTGCCACGCTTCGCCCACAAAATACACAGTCACTCCACTTTCCAGTGTACCCTGTGAAGCGCTTCGAGGCGTCTCAACGCTGTGATCAGGCGCGGTATCAAATGCAAGGGTTACTATTAATACTATTGAAAGCTCTTTGGCGAATGCCGAAACTCCATCCTCTCTCCCTCCTGCTCCCCCATTGCCTTTGTGAAGCGCTTGAAGGCATCGACAGGTCACCTGGCCAAAAGAAAATCACAATGCCTCCTTCATCCAAACCTTGTGACAATTTTTATTATTAATAGTAGTATTATTATATCCTCACATAGAGTATATTACCAGACTACCCTGTCGACTCATCCTCCCAGACTACCCTTTGTCCAGCGCCTTGGGACGTCCTCCTGACGTGAAAGGCGCTATGCAAATATAATTTTGTTGTTGTCGTTGTATAGCGCCTTCGCGTGAGGAGGACGTCCCAAAGTGCTTCACGAGATGTGCTGTGAAGTGTTTTGTGGGTGGATCTTGCAACTGTGAACTGCGTCACAGAACAGCATCAGAAAATGCCGCCCTGAGCTAACAAACTCTGGGTCGGTTGTCACCTCCGATCTCACGCACAGCGTTTTTCCATCGAAACCTTACGACACAATGGAACGTGGGCTGTGGCGGTTTCTCACAGTTCTCCTTTAAGTGGATGATCCCAAACAAGCCTGAACAGAGGTCTCGCTCGCTAGTTCTCTGCCTTGTTTACTGAGCGCTCTGATGATTTGTCAGCAGACAGAACCTGACATGTTTTTCTCATCGGCTAAGTGGTTGGTTTCACCTTTCTGCCAGTTGGCTATTTGCAATGCAGCTCAGACGTTCGACGCAACGCTGTATTTTTGTTTCAATTTACATGGTTTTCCTTCCGCTGGCCGGTCGATCCACTTCCTCGTTATCAGAATGATAATAATTAATGCGTAGGACCAACCTTGCGATAATAAAAATAATAACCATTATTAATAGTAGTGTTACATATAATAAATAAATCCTTCAAACTAAATAGAAATAATTTGGGTCACTCAATCCACGACTGTTTGTGGGGACGACGCTGGGCGCAATTGGCGTCGGGTTTTGCCCACGAAACACAGTCACTGCACTTTACAGTATATCCTGTGAAGTGCTTTGAGACATCTCAAGAAATGCAAAGAATATCATTATTACTATTATTATCGTTGTTATTATTGTGCGCCTTGGTTCATTTAGTCTGGCGTACTGGTGATAGTGGAAATAAATAAGCCATTATTCTAAGAATAATTGTCATTATTATCCGTTTATTTGATATGGCGGCTTTCACGCCATCGGGAGGTCACCTCAAAGCGCTTCACAGGATTCACCGTCGAGTGTAGTGACTGTGAATTTCGGCCACAGACAATGTCCTACAACCAGCAGGGTGGTGCTCAAACATCACTGCCTTTTTGGTGAAAGCGCTCAAATTAAGTTACATCCGGGTGCCTTGACTTGTCCACATTTTCCTGTATTGACGTATGTGTTTCTTTGTCTATGAATCCGCGTTTCTCTCTCCCTCTCTCGCTCTCTCTCGTTGAGCGCTCCGAGACGCTGCCCCGCGTGAAGGGCGCTCTATAAATGCAAGTTGCTGTTGTGGCTGTGGTTGGGAGTGTCGGGATGTGGTTGGTTTTGACAGAAGTCAATTGATGGTTTCCACTTCAGAAACTTGTTGAAACCTTCTTGAAGGCTACAGCACAGGATCGGTACTGTCCACGTGAGCCAAGCACGAGACCAGCTCGGGCGAAGAAGATCCTTTGGTCCCATCTGATCTCGTCCCTCCAAGACAACCCCCTCCCCACCCCCACCAACACCCTCCCCCATCAGAGCATCAAACTGCTGTTCAAATAGGTCTAATGTCCCGGCTTCAGCTACCTTTGTCGTCAAATGGTTTCAGTCGGCACTTACCCTTTGAGTAAACAAAAGAAACACCCTATTATATATATTTTTAAAAGCCCTGCTATAAACCTACGTCCTCTTGGTCTGGAGTCTCGGTGCATCCGCACAGTCCAGTCCAGTCCACTCTGCTTCAGCCTCCATTGGAAGATGACGCGCAATATAAACATCAACTCCTCCAGGTAACGGATAAAAAAAAAAACACATTTATTTCCCACGGCAGCTGGTATTGCTTTGTTAGTGTAGTGCAAAAGTCACGAAAAGAATCCACGTGAACACGGTAACATAAATGACTTATAAATAAGTGGTACGTTTCACTCACAGACAATAAAGCAAAACCCAATGGTTTTAAAAAATGGAAATAAAAACCCAATGGTTACTTAGTCCCATCCCATCCGACCCTTTCGTTAATAGCGGCAAAACAAATATCCCCTCAATTGCACTCCTCTCTGCTCCTGGTGCGATATCTATTGGATAAATAATGTAAAACCAAAGACCGACACGTTACGGATATCATATCATTACGAAAAGAGGATCCGCCTGGCCACAAATTCCTCCTAGTCTTAACCTGTAAGACTTCGGATCGGGGCAGAATTGGGGAAAATTGGTAACTGCGAAGCCGTTGCTTTTTTTCTCTCTCCCCCCCCCACCGCCCCCCACCTCCGCAAAACAGACCTCTCGAATTTCGACTACGCTGTGTGAATTTTGACACAGATTCCCAGGATCTTAACGGGAGGTGGAATTCTGTGGGGGTGGGAAGGGCATTGATTTGCACCCCAAAGCTGGTTCGTTCACATTAACTCTGGCGTCTGTTCAGCAGAACCCATTACGGCAAAGATTAATGTCATTATTAATTGTATATTATCATATCTACAATGTAGATGGGCATACGGACGGACGGACGGCAGAGAGAGAGAGAGGTGATGGACATCTCTTGGCCCAGGCAGGTTCAGTGAATCCTTTCGAAGCTGAACGAGCTGGAAGGACGGGAATGCGATAACCTACAACTGAGCCGTGTCCAGAGTCACCAGGACCTAACTCTTTTGGGGTAAACTCGGCTGCGTTTCATAACCCCCTTCCTCGGGTTAATTATGAAACGGCTCAAACTCTAACCCTCGAGGGGGTTGCACCAGATTCAAACCGGTTTAAAGGAGTAAATGTCTCTTAGCGCTCCAAGACCTTTCGATGTGGAATAAATAAGCTTTTTTTACACAAACCCCACCACCCGAACCTTTTGTAAAACTGTTGCTATTATTATTATTATTATTATTCCACATCTTTCAAGCGTTTAAAAAACCAAACAAACTGAAAATAGTCTGGAAAAGGGCCTCCGCAGAGAGTGACGTGGTGTGTTACCCTGCCAGCTTTCTCCCTCTGAGCTGTGCCTTTCGCTGACTTTGACGAGCGTTTGATTGGAAACAAGTCCTGTCTCTCTCTCTCTCTCTCTCTGATCACCTTCTGGTGGGGAGACGGACTCAACATGAGAACATAAGAAACGTGAGATGCAAAAAAGAACAAGGTCTGGTATCTAGTTCGCCTTCCACCTTCCTGCCGGTCTCTTGCACATCTGTCCTGAATTACGTCCGTACAATACCCCCAGAGAGTTATTTCCCCAAAGAAAACTATCCAATCTTAACTTAAAATACACGTAGCTTTAACGTCGAATTAAACTGGTCCGTTCGTTAACACATCAAAAGCCGAATGCACAAAGCCACTTTTAATCATAGAAAATTAAAACGACTGAAAATACTGTGTTTTTACACAGCAGATGAAATTGATGAAAGCACTGTACTAGTGGCACATAATAGGTGTCTTATTACGCGCTGTGTGTAAACCATGTGTAAAATGCACGTGTTTATTACAGTAACGTGTCCTGCAGAGTACTTTTGCACCAGAAAACATGAGGTATGTAATTACTATTTATATTCTTTCGGTCGATTTGTACAAAAGATGTGGAATAATGAGGTTATGGTACGTCCCATATCGAGCCCCTCTTCATTACACTCCCTGGGCATCATCTCTCCGTTACGTCTGGGAATGACAAGCACTCAGTAAAGATTTTCACATGCGATAAAACCTGTAATGCAATGCAGGTTTTTTTTTCTGTGTGTGTGTGTGTGTGTGTGCGTGCGCGCGTGTGTATGGGCGGGGAGAGGATTATAATAATAATAATCCTTGCACTTGACACAGCGCCTTTCCACGTCTTCAGGACGTCTCAAAGCGCTTCACAGAATACACTGCGAAGGGAATTCACTGTATATATTTTGTGGGCGAAACGCGGCAGCCGATTGCGCACACAGCAGCGTCCCCACAAACAGTCGTGGACTGAGTGACCGAATTTTTTTTTTTTTTTAAGGGGTTATTACCCCCCGGAAATTGATCCACCAATAGACTAACAACCGGGTTCCTACTTACTGCTATTGAATGAGAATTTGAATGAGTTTGAGAATGAACAAGGTAGTAAATTGCCGCACATTCGATCCCGTTGTCACCAGTTAATAATAATAAATAATAACAATACTTACAATTGGCATAGCACCTGTCACGTCGTTGAGACGTTTCAAAGCGCTTCACAGGATATACTGTAAAGTGCAGTGACTGTGTGTTTTTGTGGGCCAAACGCGGCAGCCAACTTTGCGCACAGCGCTGCCCCACAAACAGTCGCGGAGCGAGTGAGTGAGCAGTTTTATCTGGGGGTGGGGATTGTTGGACAGAGAGAGAGAGAGAGAGAGAGAGGGAGAGAAACTCCTTTCTCTTTTCCAATCGTGCCACGGGATCCTTAACGTCCACCTGAACAGGCCGACGAGATCTCGGTTTAACTTTCTCTTCGGAAGGACTGAGCCTCCGATAGTGCGACGCCCTCTCAGACACTACATTGGAGCATCAACTTGAGACCATACGAGTACCAAGCACCGATGTGTGTTGGGGTGAGTGGGTGGGAGGGGGGGGAGGGGAGGGGTAGGGCTTGAACCCACAACCTTCTGACTTGGAGGCGAGAGAGCTACCGAGGCTGGCTTTGCAATCAGTGGCGTTCTGAGAGACCCCTGAACACAAACTGCTGGCTCTGATGGGCGGAATCTCACCCTCCAAGCTTCGGGAGGTGTCTCCTGCTGCGGGCAGGTTGTGACGGCAACGTAGTGTATCTGTTGGCCGGCCTCGGCTGGCGCGAGGGGCAAAGGGAGGCGCGATTTAGTACGCTGTCTGTCGCCCTCCGAGCGGGCGGTTGGAGGTGTGGGGGTGGGGGTGGGGTGGTGGGGGGAGACCGAACCTTGGAACGAAAATAAATAATAAGTAAGTAAGGTAAGTCAATCAGTAAATTAATGACCGAGAGAGACCAGCTTGGGCAGGAGGCTGGTGTTGACGGCGGCAGTCTGGTCTTAGAAACGGCGAGTTGTTTGCGATGAGGTAAAGAGCCGGGCGGTTGAGTTCCGAGCCCTAGAGGCTGGTGGACGAGACCGAGAGGGTGGGCGAGGATGGCGGGGGGAAGTTCAGCAGGTCGAGCACTGAGACCCCCACACTGCTCCTCCGTGTGAACATGCACGAGGCAGCCACCCACTTGTTGGTGCGGGGGTTGTACTTCTCGATGGAGTTCAGACTCGAGCTTCCGTCGTTGCCCCCCACTGCGTAAAGCCACCCGTCCATGGCCACCAGGTCGTGGGTGCTCCTGAGAAGAGACAGATGTTAGCAGGCGTCACAAGATAATAATAATAACAATAATAATAATAATCTTTGTATTTGATACAGCGCCTTTTCTGTGTGTGTCTGTGTGTGAGCGTGCGAGAGCGAGCGACCAAGCGAGTGTGTGAGCTCCGACAACCGGGGCTGGGATCTGGGACTCTCTTTTCCGGAGGGTAAATAACTCCTTAAAAAAACAATAATAAGTTGGTCACGTCAATCTGTGACTTGTGTGCCTGTGCGTGTGTGGGTGGGGTGACAACCGGTTGACGCATTTCGTCCACAAAATACGCAGTCGCTACACACGGGGGAGGGGGGGGGGGGGCGCCCCAGAGCGCTCCGAGGACAGGAGGCGAGGAAGCCTGACCTTCGGATGTTCATGGGCGCCACACTCTCCCAGGTGTTGGCCTTGGGGTTGTATCTCTCCACTGAGTTAAGGCAGCTGGTCCCGTCGTTCCCCCCAGCCACGTACAGCATCCCCTCCAGCACCGCCACCCCCGCACTGCTGCGGCGGCTCAGCATGTTGGCGATGGTGCTCCAGGTGTTGGTCTGAAACAGGAGACGGACAACAACAACTTGCATTTAGAGAGCAACCCCCCCCCCCACCCCCAACTCACACAGGGTAGCGCCCCAGAGCACTTGACGGTGTTGGGAGCAGGAACCTAGCTGAGACTGAAGGCTCATCCACTCAGGGTTGGGGGGTGGGGGGAGTGGATCGGGGTGGGGGGAGAGGTGGGGGGTTCGTAGAGGATTGAACTCATCTCTGACGCAGGTTTCTGCTCAAGCCACACAATGCCCGGGTTTACTGCACCAGTGAGCTCCACTGAGCCTCTACCTCCTGGTTCTGTGCCTCGTTCCCATTGAATGGAGGAATCTAGTGGGACATCTGCTGGTCGATGGTGAGAGCAAATTGTACAAACACGGCCCGGCTCCAATGATCAAAACAAGTTGCTTATCCACATCAGACTCCAGTGAGGAACTCAACTCAATTTCCCTGTGAAGCGCATTGGGACGTCCTCCTGAGGTGAACGGCACTGTGACCTATGGGGGGGAGTGCGAGGCATGAAGAGGGTGAGAGAGCAAATGATGGGAGTGAGAGGGAATGATGGGGGTGAGAGAGAGATGGAGGGTGTGAGAGAGAGAGATGGAGGAGGTGAGAGAGAGATGGAGGAGGTGAGAGAGAGAGATGGAGGGGCTGAGAGAGAGAGATGGAGGGGCTGAGAGAGAGAGATGGAGGGGCTGAGAGAGAGAGGCTGTAAGTGGAAGGTGCTCTGAGATAGAAGACAATCTTACTCAAGGAGCGAACCTGGGGTTTGGCAGGAGGTGAAACTAAAGCCCATAGATAGACCCGACACGACACAGTGGATTGAATTACCTGCGGATCATACTTTTCTACAGTCGCTAAGTGTGAGGAGCTATCGTAGCCCCCAACAGAGTAGAGATTTCCATCTGCAAAACAGGACAACGGCCAAACAATGTCAACCTTAGGATTGAAGTCTCGGGCTCCCATCTCTCGGAGAAAACTCTTCACAACCATTTGCACTTACGTAGTCTCCTTCACCCAGGATAGGGTCTGAGCGCTCCACACTGGTGAGGTCAGACACTCATAGGCGCGGATGGAGAGCTAGGTTTTTTCGGTGGGGTTTTAAAGACAGATAAAGAAGGGGGGTGGGGGGGGGGTGGGCGAGGTGGAGGGATTGAGGCAGAGAGTCCCAGAGGTGAGTCACTCCACTTCACAGGATTTAGCGAGGGAGAGAGAGAGAGAGAAAACACTACCACTGCGCCAGACAGACACACGTATGAGTAAAACGGAATCGTATCTGCAAACGGCCTAGAAAAGGGAGGGAAAGGTCCCCACCTAAAGTCGCCACGCGAACATAGCGCCTCCTGGTGCTCATTGCAGTGACTGAGGACCAGGTTCCTGTGAGTGGATCGAACCTTTCTGCACTGGAGACAAAAAGCCAGAGTGAGCCCCACACACACACACACACACTCCTGAACCCCCTCAATCACATCACATCACACAGCTCCAAACCCCTCAGCTTACAGGGGTACGCACTACTCCCCAAGTCATTAGTTGCCCCCCTCTCCCCCACCCTCCCCTCCTCCGCCCACCGCTTCCCCTCCAGCCTTTCACTGTCGACCCGGGAGAACGCGTGTACATTGATCTCGATTCCAGGCCGGTGTCGTTGCAGCGTCGGCGTCAGGTTCCTCCCAGTGGTACCTGTTGAGGCAAGAGGCCCCGTCGTAACCTCCCGCGGCGTACAGCAAGCCGTGGAGCACCGCCACACCCAGGCAGCTGCGTCTCGTGCCCATGGACACCTCCGGCTGCCAGGAGTTAGTGACCGGATCGTAAGATTCCACGGTGGATAAGTCCGAGGTGCCGTCGTACCTAAACCACAGAAACGCGGCATTGCTCAGCAACGGGAAGACCCCACCACGGCCTTGCCCCCCCCTCCTCCCTCTCCGAACTGCGTTATCAACCCGTCCGCTCCCTCTGCTCAGCGGGCTCCGGCCTGCTCCATGTCCTCCGCCCGGCCCAACCCACCATCGACCGGCAGGCCTTCAGCCTCTCCGCCACCCCCCCACCCCACCCTCCCCCCATCCTTTGGAACTCCAACCCACATTCCTCTGGCTTCGCCCCCTCCCTTGCCTCCTTCACGGCACGCCTCAAGACCCTCCTCTTTAGTGGACCCTGCCTTCGGTCACCCTTCCTGTTTCGGGTGGACGTTGAAAGAAAATGTTTGCGATTCGAAAAGAAATGGGAGATTCTCTCTCCCAGTGTCCTGGCTAAGGAGTGGGGAGGGTGGGGGGTTGGGAGAGGGTGGGGGGGACAAGATGGAGGGATGGAGGCAGGGTTATATTTACTGCAGTTTTCACACTTGTTATGTCCAGATGCATGGAATACATTGTGCATCTGACTCCGTTTCCAATCGGACTCAATAACTTGCAGTTCTCTCTCCACGAGCTGCAGTCGGGCTGGAACTTTACCACCCGCAGAGGTGCGGGAGCAACTCGAGCAACCCCGAGTGGGTCAAGGTGACACTGAACTGACGGGCGTAAGTTGTGGCCGAAACCATTCCCACATTCTTACCCTCCGACCGAGTACAGCCGGTTTCCGATGGCGGCCACTCCACCCTGGCCCGGCGAGTGGACATGGAGGCCACCATGTGCCACCGGTCTGTCCTGGTGTCGTAGGCTTCACAATCCCCGTGGATGGCAAACAGACTCCCGCCACCTGCAAAAACGCACAGGCCGTTGTCAGGATTATTGACTGATTGATTGATTATTATTATTATTATTGTTGTTGTTGCTATTAATTGTGGTGATTGTTATTGACCGACCGACAGCGAAGAGCACTGGGCTGGCTCCCTCGCAGCGCCGAGGCCTGGTTCTGCTGTTGCTCAGGACCCCCCGTTGCTCGGGCATCAGGTGGTACTTGAGGGCCTCGATGAGCAGGTCTTTGCACTCGGAGTGGTGCCGGACAAGCAGCTCGGTGTCTACGTTGTTCATCAGGAAGTCCCGGGTCAGCAAAGGCAGCCGCACGCACTTCATCAACTGCGGGGAACCAAAGGCCTCGCTCAGCGTCAACCCGCAAGAACCGACGAGCAAGCTCACCCGGGTGTCAACGGCAACCCAGCTTCCGAAGGTCGTTCGTCACGGGAAGGGTAGGACCGGGAAGAGGCCATTCAGCCCATCGAGCCTGTTCTCCATCAGTTGATTAGATCACGGCAGATTTTACAATCCCATTTATCACCTGATTTTTTTTTTCCTTCCCCCCCCCCCCCCCCCCCCCTCCACACCCCCCTTCAATTCAATTCCCTTTACTTCCCGAGTGTCTGCCCCACCTTCCCCAAACCCCCAACAAAAAAGGCGGTCCCTTCCTTCCCATGTCCCGCGAGACGTTTATGTCTTCAAAGGGGGACGATAAACGGCAATGAGAACGGCGACAACATGCGTTGTTATAGCCCCCCCCCCCCCCACTACAGGTGGGGCAGTGTCTCGCAGCGCTGGGATAAACCTGGAGGCTTTTGACAGTGACGGACTGCGTGGGGTGCGTTTTGGGGTCTGTTGTCTCACTCTGGGAACGTGCTGGCGCCTGCTGTCTACTTCGTGTTTGACCCAGCTCAGCACGGCCCTGTACACCTCCTCCTCCGAAGGAACATTCAAGTTGTCACTGGAGATGAGGTCTAGCACCTGCGAAGTCGGGGAAACACAGAGGAAGTTGGGCGAGGAACTCTTAAGCAAACTAAATCGTGTCCGACGTCCCAAACCCGTTTGAGGCTCGCGGATATGACAATAATACCAATAATAATAGATAATAATCTTTACATTTTCCCCTCAAAATACGCAGTCGATTCAATTTACAGTGCGTCCTGTGTAGCGCTTTGAGACGTCTCGGAGGCGTGATCAGGCGCCTTATCAAACGCAAGGATTATTATTATTGTTGTCATTATTTGATCATCGCTGTCAAAGCATTTTACAGGACGGACTGTAAAGTGTCTGTGCAGTTTTGTCGGCAAAAGTCCACTGGTGTCTTGTCTTAAAGAGGATTGTACTTACACCCCACCACAAAAGTGTTGGGGCCCAACTTGCCACATGCCTTGAGGTCAATGGCAATCTACCAGCGATCTGCTGACTGACGTTTTTTTAAGTAAATAGCAGGTAAACATAAAAGAAAACAAAGTAAACCGGTTCAGTGAACAAAAAAAACCACCGTAATATGTTGGTGCTGTTGTTGGCACCGCATTTGCTCCCGTTTAGCACCACTTCCTCGCCCCCGCCGCCAGTGTTTACACACCTCAGCGAGATTGATATCACCAGCTAAGACAGACGTGACTTTAAGAGCTCCGTGGCTAAAATAACCGCAGCGGGGAGTCCGAAGGTTCATTGTGTCGGTGATTAATGCCGCACACTGTCACTTCCTCAGGATGAAAAGGTGTGAACATTAAGGTGGGACGCGCTGCATCAACCTGGCTCAGTCGGTAGCCGTTCTCTCGCTTCTGAGTCAGAAGATTGTGGGCTTAAGCCCCACGTCAGGACTTTGAGCTCATAATAGTGTAGGCTGAGATTCCAGAGCAGTGTTTGGGGAGGGGGGAGGGGAGGGGGGGGGGGGCACTGCATTGCCGTCCTTTGAATGAGACGTTAAGCCGAGACCTCCGGGTGGACGTTAAAGATCCCGAGGCACGACTGGAAAAGACAAGGGAGTCCATCACATAAAACTGGTCATTCCCTTCATGGTTAACAATTCAAGCAACGTAAGCGTGGGTTGGCTTGAGCAAGCCCCCCAGCCCCCCACCCCACCCCCCCACCTCCTCTACCCCCCCAGAAAACAATGAGGTATTGCTGGAGCTAAACCAGCGACAGCCATTCTCATCGCCAACACTGTCTGGTTAGCTCACGAGGGCCTGTGTCTCTAAATATACCAGGTTATAAATAACTGATGTACATCCCTGAGCCACCATCAATGCCCGAGAGACCGAACTTCAGTTCCTCTAATATAAAGATATATTGATAGTGTCAATAAGAACATAAGCATTTATAAAGTAGTGGGCGATTCAGAGAGTTGGGAATCGAGGGTGAGCTGCGAGAAATGATCGGTCCGATCTGAGTGGAGCATCGAGAGGCAATTTCAGGAACGCGCTGCACTCTGCAGCAAATCCTTAATGATAATAATAATAATCTTTGCATTTGACTCAGCGCCTACGATGCGAGGACAAAGTGCGGGGGCTTTGATCGCAACTTCGAGACGTCTCAGCAGCGCTTCACAGCGCTTGTACAGTTTCGCGGGCAAAACACGGCAGCCAATTGCGCCCCGGCTCGGACCCCCACGAGCCGTCGTGGACTGAAGTGACCGCGTCGTGTATCTGTTGAACCAAGCGAGTACCTGTTTGAGAGGCAACAGCATAAACTCCTCGGTCTTGGAAACCTCCACAAAGTGCTGGAGGACGTACTTGTGGGCCGACTTGAGCAGATCGCTGCAGGAATGCGTGTCGGCGAATCCCCGGATCCCCAGGCAGTTCGACGGATCGAGTTGGCTGAGCAGGAACTTACAACAGGCGTCTCGGACACCGTTGAGCTGGAGTAGGCTGGCCGCGGGCAATAAGGTCTGCGGAGGGGGGGGAGGGGTGGGGAAAAAAAACACAGGAGGCCAATTGACATTATTTACAACCGCGCTGCAGATCTCACCCCCTTCCCTCGACGTTCGACTCCAGTTGGTAAGAAAAAAAAGCTTTTTCTTATTCCCCACCGTGCGTTTGGTTTCTAGGGCAGGGGAGGGAGGCAGTTATGTGCTAAACCATCCACCTCTCCTCTGGTCCGTAGAGGGTTGCGTTAGTAACGAAATGTAATTGGATCTCGTGTCAGTTCACTCCAACTTAATTAAACAAGATCTGCGGGGAGGGAGGGGGCCCAGGAGGGGGGGGGGGGGGGTGGGGGGATTGAGGGGGAAGTGGGGCAGGGGGTGGGTTTGGAGACCGAAAAGCGGGACCTTTTCACGAACAGATTCCATGTGATAATTAACCTTAGGAGACGTCGCAATTTACCCAATTGGTCCAAATGCCAAGAAAGCGACACCAAATGAAAGACAAAAGGCAATCTCTAACCGACTGGGATTTACTGTAGTGTGTAGTGACTGTGTCATCCATTAAGTAAACGAGGCGGTGGGGGGGTGGTGTGGGAGGGTGGGGTGATCACTTAATTTCGAAGTGAACTCCGCATACGGGTGGTGGGGTGGGGGGTGGGGGTGAAGGGGGCTGATTTAATTCTGATTTTCCGTTTTTTTTTATCACCCACAAAACATTTTACAATATATATCCTGCGAAGCGCTGTGAGACGTCTGAACGATGTGATAAGCTAATAATAACCATCCTGGCATTTTGACACAGCGCCTCATCACGTCGTCGAGACGTCTCAAAGCGCTTCGCAGGACACACTGTAAAGCGTAGTGACTGTGTGCTTTGGAGACTGCGGGCGAAACGCGGCAGCCAATTGCGCACAGCAGCGCCCCCCCTCCCCCACAAACAGCCGTGGATTGAGTGACCGCATATTTTTGGGGGGAGCGAATGTACAGGTTGTCCTTAAATCCTTCTCCAAATATCATCATCATCATAATAATAATAATAATAATAATAATCGTGTCATTTGGTAATGGTTCCTTTCACGTCGGGCAGGAGATTAATCGAAACCTCTTCGTCTGTCCCACTCCCCCCCCCACCCACCCACCCCCCACACACCCTCCCTCCAGCCCCACCACCACCAGTACCCCCACCAAAAAAAAAAACTGCCACTCGCGATCCGCAAGAAGGAAAAAAAATCTCAACAGCAATGTTTTTTTTTAAAAAAAAAAGGAGAGAGAGAGAACGAGATTGCAGGATTTAAGTCAATGCAGTATCTAGTGGTACAGGCCTGGTAACGTTGAATCCTAGACTGGGCACTATTGTGGCCAGGGTGTGACACAGATAGACTTCGGAGCTCAGTATTTGGCAAGTGAGCCGGAATTGCCACATTTTCCTGCAATCTCTGCAGACAAAAAGACGCAAATGTCACACTTAGGATCTCCCGGCTGATCTACCTGTAGCGCTCAATGCAAAGCAGTTTAACAGCTTGCTTCTCCTCTATTCCCCCACACCTCACACACCCACCCCTCACCTCCGCCCGCCCCCACTTTTACCTCCCTCCCTCCCTCCCTCCCGCCCTCCCTTCCCTTCCCTTCCCCGATCTCAACCTCCCTCCGTAACAACCGCAATAATAATCACAAGAATCCTAGCGCCTGATCACGTCGTTAAGACGTCTCCAAAGCGCTCCGCAGAATTAGGTTGTCAAGCGGATTCGACTGTGTGTTTGGTGGGCGGGAGACACAATTCCCCCCCTCGCTAGTTGCCCAGTTATCAAAAGGCGTTATCTTTTTCACAGAGATTTGGAAAAAATGTGCATTCCCTCAATTGTTAACTCAGAACAACGTGAACGGTGAATAAAAGGAGGCTCTGGGGGGGTGGGGGTGGGGGGGGGGGTGGGGTGTGGGTGGGTGGAGGTGGAGGAAGGGAGGGAGGTGGGGGAGGGAGGGAGGGAGGGAGGAGGGGAAGGGGGGTGGTGAGGTGGTGGGGAGGACGAAGGACGTGGTGGAGGGGAACAGAGAGACAGAAGCGCAAACTGAGGATATCCACCTGGACATTCCCCTCTCCCACCACGATCTCCGCAGTGTAGGCGTATTGTACCAGCTGCTCCAGTGCTTGGGGGTCGATATCGTGAAGGGTCACGTGGGTTTGGCGACTCTCGCTCATTTCATCTGCAGGCAACAACAACAACAACAAGTTACATTTACGCAGGTGTCCTTTCACGTGGGGAGGACCCAACCAAAGCGCTGGGCAGTCAAGGTATTGCACTCAAAGCTGGTGGGTTGGGATCAGGAGAAATGGAGGGCGGCGGCGGTGGAGAGGGGGTGGCGGTGGGGGGGGGGAGTGGGAGGGTGACCGAAGGCTCGGCCCCAAGACGAAGGTCTGGAGACGGGACTTCAAGGAGGAAAGGGAAGGAGCGAGGCGGAGGGACTGTGGGGTGGAGTTCAAAGGAGTGGGGGCTGTGAGGGTAGGGCGGGCGGGGCTGGGCCTGGTGGTGGTGGGACGGGGGGGGGGAGAGCACGGGGCGGGCCGGAGCCCGCTGAGCCTAACCGCAAGTGGGTCGCTTAGGCAAGAGGCCGCGATCGGCTGGTTGGCAGCGACGATTTGCCGACACTCACTGGTGAACATGGCGTGGAAGTAGGGGCTGCAGGAAGCCAGCACCAGCTTGTGGGCCTTGATCTCCTTGTTGCCCACGTGCAGGACGATGTCGCACAGCAGCCCCCGCTGCCGCATCCGGTTCATGGACACGAAGGCGTCGTGGTAGTGTCGCTTGGAGTTGTGTGAGATGCTGTGCCCATCGCGGTTCAGCAGCTGCATCCCGCCCTCCATCGCCGGGCTCCGATCCGTCCCGGCCTCCTTGGCTGGCTTCGCTCGTTGCGCCTACAACGGCAAACAAATCACCCTTACACGTAAGCTCCGCTCGCGTCGGGAGGACGCCCCAAGGCGGCTGGGCAGTCAGGGATCTGCGGCCGAGCAGAGTGGTTGGGATCCAGGAGGGCGGGCGGGCGGGTGGGGGGAGTGGGGTTGTGGGTGGCGGAGGGTGGGCAGAGGGTAGGGGTAGGGGTAGGAGGGCGATCGAAGAGACTACGCGCGAGGAAGGAACGGCAACTTCAATGGCTGCGTGGCGCTCGTGAGGGATCTGATTCCCGTGCTTAAGAGAATCCGGGTCAAGCTGGAATTCCCTGCAGCTCACCCTCGCGTGCAGATTCCAGGGATTGATTTATAATAATAATAATAATAATAATAATAATAATAATCGTGATAGCCCTGGCATTTGATAGAGCGCTTTTTTACGTCTTCTAGACGTCTCGAGGCAAGCGCTTCGCAGGATCCGCTGCAAAGTGAATCGACTGCACATTTGGTGATATATTTCATACGTTATTCCACAATAATCGCAGTACCTTCTTCTTTGGTGAGAGGGAGGAAGGTTGACTCTCCCTCTCCCCCCCCCTCTCTCTCTCTCTCTCTCCCTCTCTCTCTCTCTCTCTCTCTCTTTCTGGTCTGTAAATTTACTGACCTTGACAGCATGGGATTATAATGGGATTTTCCTACCCACACGCTGCCACAATCAATAAATGTATAAATCATCAACGTGATGTGGAGGCATATTGTGTCAGCAAATTCAAGAGGGAATTAGATTGCTCGTTGGTGGAGAATTCAATTGAAGGGTACGAGATAGAGTAATGCGGGGTCAGTTATTTTTTAAAAACTTTTTTTATATTATATCTATGTGCTCCAGAGCCGGTCAGAGGCTTTATTTATCCTGCGTAGTCCCGTGACATCTTAGCAGCAACGTGTTTGCCGAACAAGACTCAAGCTCTCCGCTTGGAGCTAATGGTGCCTTTCCAGGAGCAACCCCTTTAACGAGGTGCTCGTCTGGTCCCAATGTCTCAGGCGCCATGTTGTAAAGAGGCGCCATGCAACGATCGACCTCCTGGGAACCGCTGATGTCACTGCCTGTGCATCGTCCGCAAGAGAGGCCGCTGATCTCCCTCCCTCTCCCCCTCCCTCTCCGCTCCTCTCTTTCCCCCGGTCATAGCGAGGGATGCAGGAGCACGCACACACGAAAAGAGTGGTCACTCAACCCACCACCATGTGTGGGTTCGATTCCCAGACGAGGCAAAACATTAAGCAAGTTTCCTGACTCCACATGTTCACCTAGCAGTTAGTCGGAACCCCGCTGTTAGTCGATCGGCGGATTGCTTTCCGGGGGTAATAATCCCTCACAAAAAAATTTGGTCGCTCAACCCACGGCTGTTTGCCTGATACTGCTGTGTTTGGCCCACAAAATACACAGTCACCAGGCTTCACAGTATACGCTCTGAAGCGCTTTGAGATATCTCAGCGACGTGTATCCAATGCAAGAATCATTATTGTAATAATTATTCATTCCTTTACGGTCGATCCGTAGCCCAGAAGCACGGAAGTCCACTGCGCTCCTGAACTGGGATCAGGGACCCTCGACCTGCCAGTCTGTAGCTTCGTGTCTGCGCTGAATGCTGCCTTTACCCGTTAGGCCACGAGGGTGTTGTGTGTTCTCTCTGTGCTGCCGGAGGGAAAGGCAATTTAAAATCCTCACTTCCCCTCAATTGTGTCAAAGAGGAAACCGCCATCTGTTGGCGAGGTGCGATTCCGACCGGCGCTGAGCACAGCACGTCACAACTATTTATTTCTACCCTCTACGGAACCCGCTCTGCTTTAGTCAGCACTGAGCCTCTGTGACGCAGGCGAAGAGGGCTTCCTACCATCCAGTGCAGGAGAGAATTCGGAAAGCCATGAGCTCAATAACCCGAAAGGAATAGAAAGATCGTCCTTCCTTTCTTTCTTTCCCCTTTTTTTGGTTGTTGTTAACCATCGCCCCCCCCCCCCCCACCCACCCACCCCCTCACCACCGCCCTCTCTCCCTCCCGAAGGCAGAGAGTTGGGTTCACGAGATCACGAGAGAGGTTAGGATGAATTTCGTCTCCCAAAGCTCCCATACCTACAGTCCTCCCACATCTAGCTGTGTTTTTAAATGAGTCCCAGTGTCCTGGCCTCAACCACCTTTACTGTTAATCCTTTTTCCAATCCTTTAATCAATGGCAAGCTATGAGGTTTTAACTGGTTAGACTCCAACAGTTACCCCCGGCGCACACTCTGGGCTCCCCCCCCCCCGAGCCTCGGCTCTTGTCAACCTGCGCCTAATACTTTCTGGGATTTAGGTAAACAGGGGGCGTCCCGAGAGAGAGAGAGAGAGAGAGAGAGAGAGAGAGCATTCCATTCCAATAATCTATCTCAAGACTTTTCACGTGTAAGCGGGAAGCAGGGAATTCTCAGTTGGGTTTGGAGACTCTCAAGCACGGGGATGGGTTTCCACATGTGTCGGACACCCCCCAAAAAAACAGCTCCCTAATCCTTGGCTCTTGCCAACCTGCACGCAATACTTTTAAGATTTTCAATTGGTATCCTTTTGAAACATAACCAAACACTTATAATCTTTTTTTCTCGAACGGCATTAAGAGCGTTCCTTAGCTATTAGGGGCATAGTCAAGGCTGTGCGTTTCAACGACTGACTGAGGGGGATCGGGAGGGGGTACATGTGCCAATTAGAGTTAGCAAAGGTAAAGATATATTGGCTTGACCCCGGCTGAGGTCAGGTTCTGATACCTTTCCCTCGTTCGGTGTCTTGAGTAGATGTTATACTCCCATCGTGGTCAGGGCAGCAGGGTTGTGGACATCTCAAGCCGAGGAAACAGGATGGCAGAATCCTCCCAATTAGCTCTCCGCCTTATTTTCTCCTTATCGGTTATTTTTCCCCGTGAGTCAAAGGGCCTGCTCAAGAGAGCCTGCGAGGGGGTAGTGGGGGGGGGGTGCTATCTCGGTGACAAGGGGCGGTGGAGTTGTAAAAGCCTTAAGGGAAAGCTTTGGAAGCCGGTGGAATTATCGTGGGAGCAACAGCTGGGAAGTCAGTGACATTCCCAACGGAATCGGGTAGCATCAGTTTCATTGAATCGTCCTGTGTTAGTGTCGCTTTAACCGTGTACTATTGTACGCGTTAAAGCGAAATAACCTTTGTATTGCGTTCGCTAAGAAGAAGATCTGCAGTTCACACCACCTGCATTGGGTCAAGTCACTTCCTGGAGAACTTTACAGCACATCCCATTCCAAACACAGGGAAATTCTCTACGTGCAGGTGACGGGAATAGGTGGCAATTCTCAGTCTGGGTCTGATATCCTTAACCGCTGACCGAAACGTATTTTGATGTGCAAAGGCAAAGGTTATTGCCTGGATTTAGGGGTTCTCAAAACGAACTCATTTGACCATCCGCACACAATCATTTCTCACGACCGACAGCAAAAAAAAAAATGACAGGGTTATCCATATTCCAAGCACACCTACGCAGAACACGCGGACTGCGTTCAGCTCACACCGAATGAATACCCAATCGACAGGACAGAAGAGTGCAGAGAGAGAGAGAGAGAGAAGAGGGAAGAGAGAGAAAGAGAGAGAGAGAGAGAGAAAGAAAATAGCAGAGGGAAAAAATTACAGCAGCAGCCCTTAATAAACAGCAATGCCAAAAATCCTCAGGAAGCCGCTATCCCTTAAATATTGCTTAAGAAAGCCCTTATCACGATTATTTTGGGATTTTTTTTGACAAAATGAATTGCAACTACACAAAACCCCCCCTCTCCCCACTCCCCCCCCCCCCAACCCCTCCTCTTCCCCCACTCCCCTCCCCCTACCTTTTAAAAAAAGGTTTTTTTTTGCAGTGAGATCCTCTATTAGATAAAGCTGATTGGTGCAGCGATGTGCAATGGGGTTTCGGTGTTGGGTTAGAAACGTAAACTCATCACAGAGCGCCATTACTCCCTTAAAGAAAATTCACTGGTGTCAGCTCCCAGTTGCAGGCAACGATGACCTGATGGTTTTTACAGTGCAGGCGTAAATTCATCTTAATCGCACCATCCAGGCCAGTTGTTGCTTCCCTGGACTGCCAAGTGGCAGGGGACAACATGCCCGATAACAATAATAATAATAATAATCCTTGCATCTGATACAGCGCCTTATCGCGTCTTCGAGACGTCTCAAAGCGCTTCACAGAATATACTGCCAAGTGAATTGACTGTGTATTTTGTGGGGCGAAACTCGGCAGCCAATTGCGCACGGCGTGATAATTATAGTAATAATAATAATAATAATCATAGTATTTGAAAGAGAAGGGAGTTTCCCTCTTCCGCTGTCCTGGCCAACAATCCCTCAAATAAAAAATTGGTCACTAACTCCATGACTGGCTGTTTGTGGGACACAAAGCTGCGTACAAACCGACTGCCGTGTCTTGCCCACAAAATACACAGCCACTACACTTCACAGCATACGCCGTGAAGCGCTTTGAGACGCCTCGAAGACGCGATAAGGCGTTATCTCCAATGCAGGTATTGGTACTATTACTATTATTGTTATTATTATTATTATAAATTATGCATTCCATCCCAACAGAGATCTCTCTCTCTCTCTCTCTCTCCGGGATTTCCGCGTGTGGGAGGGTGGCGTGGAATTCTCAGCTTGGTTTGGAGACTCTTAAGCAACGGTGATGGGCTTCCGCGTGTGTCAGAACGCCCCGGCTGACCGAAAGAAAAAATGCCTGATAAACCGATGCAGGCGAGAATAAATAAAAGTAATAGGCTATCCTTTTGTCTTGCGATCCAATTTGATCCGAGACAACAAGGAAACACAACCGCGATCACAAACACACACACACACACACAGAAAAACCTGTCCTACAGCCCGTAAGATGATTAGTATGTTCTTACAAATCCAGGATCCGCGGGTGCATTTTAATAATAACATAATAATAATAATCCTTGTATTTGATATAGCGCCTTATCACGTCGTGATTGCAATCTGACTGTTAGTGTTAACCTGACTGTTAAAATGATTATTTCCCCCACCCCCACCCCCACCACGGCCCCCACGTATCACACAAACACATGCAAAGGCGATTGAGAAACGCACACCCTTTAAAAAGCACTAAACACCCACAAAGGTCTCCCGTTGCAGTGGTTCTCGGTCAAAGAAATCGTCGAGGAAATCGACGGCAAATGAGGCACAAAAAAAATAGCTGTAGGTTTGCATCGAGAAGCCTCGACGACGACGTGATAAGGCGTTATGTCAAATGCAAGGATTATTATTATTATTACAAGTATTATTTCACAATAAGCATTCGCTTCCTCTCTCTCTCTCTCTCTATATATATATATCTCAGTCTCCTCTCTCTGTCTCTCTCTCTCTCTCTCTCTCTCTCTTTCTCTGTCTCTCTGGTAGATTTCCATCCAAATCTTAAATGAGGCAACAAAAAAAAGATATATACACACACACACATATATATATATATACCTTTCCTTCCCTCACTTACCTCTCAGTCTATATTGCCTTTCCAAGGGGTGTGTGTTCTGTTCAAAGATGCAGTCTTGTGGTGTGTGTTGTATGTTGTGTGTGTGTGTCTCTCCTCTGTGTGTGTGTGTGTGTGTGTGTGTGTCTCCTCTGTGTATGTGTGTGTGTGTCTCTCCTCTGTGTGTGTTGTGTTGGGTGGAAAACGACAAAGAGGATAAAATACAATACAGGAGCTGCAATGATCCGCTACACACACACACACACACAGAGAGGAGACACACACACACAGAGAGGAAAGACACACACACACACACACAGAGGAACGACACACACACATAGAGGAGACACACACACACACACACAGGAGAGACACACACACACACACACACCAGAGAGGAGACACACACACACAGACACACACACAGAGAGGAGACACACACACACAGAGGAGAGACACACACACAGACACACACAGAGGAGACACACACACACACAGGAGAGACACACACACACACACACACACAGAGGAGAGACACACAGACACACACAGAGGAGACACACACACACACGAGAGACACACACACACACACACACACACAGAGGACACACACACACACACACACAGATGACACACACACAGAGGGGAGACACACACACACACAGAGGACACACACACACACACACAGAGGAGAGACACACACACACAGAGGAGACACACACAGAGACACACACACACACAGACACAGACACACACACACAGGCACACACACACACACAGACACACACACAGACACACACACAGAGGAGAGACACACACACACAGAGAGACACACACACAGACACACACACACAGAGACACACACACAGACACACACACAGAGCTATTCCTGTGCAACAGCTGCATTGTATCCACCAGCGTTACATTGTTGCCATAACAGAAGGGAATGTTAAACATAACACAAATAAATCGTCTGTCAAATGATTTTAGCGTAAAAAAAGGGGTTCAAATCATCTTATCCCCACCCCCCACTCCATTTACCCCCCTCCCCCCATTCCCCCCATTTCCCCCTCCCCCCATTTCCCCTCCCCCATTCCCCCCTCCCCCATTTCTCCCCCTCCCCCCATTTCCCCCCTCCCCCCCATTTCCCCCGTCCCCCCCCATTTCCCCCCCTCCCCCCATTTCCCCCCCTCCCCCCATTTCCCCCCCTCCCCCCCTCCCCCCCTGTGTGTGGTACTTACAGACATGGTTGGAAGCGATCAGTTCATTGTACATCGATTCCCACGTTGATTATTTCCCCTCCTGTTTCCCCCCCTCTCCCTCCCCCCCCCCCCCTTTCCTCTCCAATCTTCGTTTTTCAGGCAACACCACCACCCCCCCCTTACCCCCCCCCACCCCCTCCCTGCACACACCCCCGCCCCCCCCCCCCACCAATCTAAATCAGTAGCCAGACTTTGGGATTTTTTTTAATTGTCTCCATAAATGGTTAAAAGTCTTTGATCCACGTACAAGTTCACAGGTTGGGGGTGGGGTGGGGGGGAAGAGAGAGAGAGGGAGAGAAAGGGAGGGAGGAGAGAGGAGAGGGGGAGGAGAGAGATGGGGGGGGGGAGGGGGGAAGGATGGAGAAAGAGATTGACTGGGAATGGAGAAGAGGAGGAGAGAGAGAGAGAGAGAGAGAAAGATATGCCCAAATCTTTGCAAATGAGCCGGGAAGGAAGGAGCGATAGCCTTAGGGAAATTTCCCCCCTCCCCGGAAGAATAGCCGTCTTCTCCGAACCCAACACTTGACACAAATGCGACCCCCCACCCCCACCACACCCCCCCCCCCCCGAATATCCCCAGTACTGTTTTTATTTAAGGAAGCATCGTATCCACAGACCCGAAACCCACTCCGCGACGTGATGACGAACGTCAGTTCGTCGCGATATTCAATCGACGCGGCGCGTTTCGTACCATTTATTTGCGGGGTCCTGAGGGGTATCGGCGAGAGCGCTCACCTCGCAATCAGGACTGGGGTTTGTTGGAAGTTTCGCTGAGGAAAAACCTGAGGCAGGTTTCCTTACTCCACACACACACGCACACACACGCGTGCGCGCGCGCCTCTGTTTGCCCGGCGGTAAGTAGGAACCCGGCTTTCCCGGGGGTAATAATCCCTTCAAAAATAGGCATGATTTGTTCCACTCAAATCCACGGCTGTTTGTGGGGGACGCTGCCGCGCGCAATTGGCTGCCTCGTTTCGCCCACAAAATACACAGCCACTACGCTCTGCAGTACATTCTGTGAAGCGCTTCGAGGCGGCTCGAAGGCGTTGTATCAAATGCAAGGATTATTATTATTATTTATATTAGTATTTATTGGTATCCCGGATCTATTTGCCCGCCCCCTTATTAATGTTTGCTGCAAAAATTTCCCATCGTATCATCATAACCTCCTTCACCGCCTCCCCCCCCCCCCCACCCCCATCAATTGAAGGGGAGGGGGGCGAGGGGGTTGGGGGAGGGCGGGTGTGGTGAGGTGGGGATGTCAACATTTGCCAACAATCCTTCCTCACAGGGAAAAAGCACATGAGACGCCTTCATCCTCTTTAAATGCTATTCCGGGACCACCTTAAATCGCCTGCGACTTCCCATCTCCTGTCATCGCACCATCGGAAACTGTACGCGCAGATTTTTTTCTATTGTATAAAAAAATACTCTCCGGAAAGGCTCGGAATTCAGTCAGAGTGTGTGTGGGGGTGGGGGGGGGGGAGGTTGGGTGGGGGGGGGAGGGGGGGGGCAGTCAGGCCAGCCCTCGGGAATTGGAACGGGGGGGTTTCACAGAGGGGATGCGTGAAAATAACCCGAGCGGAACTAATCCTCGCATTCGATACGGAGGCTCGACACGTCGTCGAGACGTCTCAAAGCGCTTCGCGGGTTACAGTGTAAGGTGGGGCGAGGGTGCGTGTTGCGGGCCAAACTCGGCAGCCGATCGCGCATAGCAGCGTCCTCCCCCCCACACACACCACCCCCCCCCCCCCCCACCACCTCCGCAAACAGTCGTGGATCGAGAGAGAGAGAGAGCACCCCGACAGCGGATTATATCTGCTCCTTTCACATCGGGAGGACGTCTCAGAGCGCTGATTGGGAAAAATATTTCCTTTTGATAGGAAAAAAAGAAGAGTGGGAGGGGGTTGGGGTGGGGTGGTGGGGTGGGAGAGAGAAATAGCAGCTCCTAAATAAATTCCATGAAATAAATAAAATTTACAGTCGCTCCGCGTGGCGGTGTAGCCTGCGGGAGCGCTTTGGGATCGTCTCGGAGACCTGATGGGGCGCCGTACCAAACCCGAGGCTGATTCTATGATTATTGTAACCCGTGTTCCTCGGGGCTTAGAAGGAGCGCAGAAATATTAATCGCAATCCAGATCAATACAATAATAATCCTTGCGTCTGACACGGCGCCTCGTCGCGTCTTCGAGACGTCTCAAAAGCGCTTCACGGGCTGCACCGTGGATATTTTGCGGGCGAAGCGCGGCAGCCAATTGCGCAGCGTCCCTGTGGGTTGGTGTGACCGGTTTTATTTTATGCTGCAGCACTGTTTTGTTTTTGCGGAGGGATTGTTATCGGGCGAGCGCGGGCGCGGAGTCGGGAAACCTGCCCGAGGTTTGCGCCCTGACCTGCCCGGGAATCGGACACACCCGGGACTCTCTCTCTCTCGCGCTCTCTCTCTCGCGCTCTCTCTCCGCTCTCTCTCTCGCGCTCTCTCTCTCTCTCGCGCTCTCTCTCTCTCGCGCTCTCTTCTCGCGCTCTCTCTCGCGCTCTCTCTCTCTCTTGCGCTCTGTCTCTCTCTCTCTCTCGCGCTCTCTCTCTCTCTCTCTCGCGCTCTCTCTCTCTCTCTCTCGCGTGCGCTGTCTCGCGCTCTCTCGCGAGGACGGATGGAGTGAAGTGACCACTTTATTATTATTTATTATGTATTATTGTTGTTTTTGTTAGAGAAGAAGCAACAGAGTGAGAGGGAGACTGAGACACACAGAGAGGGACACACACACAGACACACACAGACACACACACAGACACACACACACACAGACACACACACAGACACACACACAGACACACACACACACAGACACACACACAGACACACACACACACAGACAGACACACACACACAGACAGACACACACACACAGACACACACAGACACACACAGACAGACACACACACACACAGACAGACACACACACAGTGACACAGTGACTGGGGCTGTGTCAGCACTTCCGGCTTTGCCGGGGATTGTGGGAGCGGAACGGAGGCTTTAACACGTTGCTACACTGTAACCGTCTCCGACACCGACACCGCGCGGCCCCGACACCGCGACACCGACACCGCACCGCGCGGCCCCGACACCGCGACACCGACACCGCACCGCGCGGCCCCGACACCGCGACACCGACACCGCGCGGCCCCGACACCGCGACACCGACACCGACACAGTATATGGCGACTCCCGGGAAGAGGTGAGAGATTCACTGAGACAACAGATACATTGTGTCTCTGAGACATTCACTGCGTTCGCTCTCTGTCACTCACTCTCACACTCACTCCCTCTCTCCTCCTCCTCCTCACTCTCACACTCTCCCTCTCCTCCTCACTCACTCTCACACTCACTCACTCCCTCTCTCCTCCTCCTCCTCACTCACTCTCACACTCACTCTCTCCTCCTCTCTCACACTCACTCTCTCCCTCTCTCCTCCTCACTCACTCACTCACTCCCTCTCTCCTCCTCCTCCTCACTCACTCTCACACTCCCTCTCTCCTCCTCCTCCTCACTCACTCTCACACTCACTCTCTCCTCCTCCTCCTCACACTCACTCTCTCCCTCTCCTCCTCCTCACTCACTCTCACACTCACTCTCTCCCTCTCCTCCTCCTCCTCACTCACTCTCACACTCACTCTCTCCTCCTCCTCCTCCTCACACTCACTCTCTCCCTCTCCTCCTCCTCCTCACTCACTCACTCCCTCTCTCCTCACTCACTCCCTCTCTCCTCCTCCTCACTCACCCACTCACTCCCTCTCTCCTCCTCACTCACTCTCACACCCTCTCACTCCCTCTCTCCTCCTCACTCACTCACTCCCTCTCCTCCTCACTCACTCTCACTCACTCTCACACTCACTCACTCCCTCTCCTCCTCCTCACTCACACTCACTCTCTCTCACTCACACACTCGCGTTGCACAAGCACTTTAGATCTTCATTATATAGATTAAATGTATAATTATAAAGAGAGTTATATATACTCACTCCACTCAGACAGTTAACAGCAGATCAGAACCACACTGCTCTCACTCACACACTGACTCACTCAGTCACTCACACAGTCACTCACTCACACTCACACAGTCACTCACTCACTCACTCACTCACACGCAGTGCCTTATGTTCCTCTGTAACACAGATGGGATCAGCCCCAATCTTTGAGAATGTGTCTGGAAAGAGAGAGAGAGAGAGATTACATGTGGTGATGAATTATAACTGAAGGGTTTGGAGACCTGGAGCTCAGACCACACCCCCACCCCCCCCCCCCCCCCACACCCACACCCACACACACACACACACCCCACACACACCCCACACACAGGCCGCTGTAGCATGTGCTTTAACATGGTTCCAGGTGCACATGTTAAAGCACCAAACGCTGACCCATCACCTTGAATAGACAGACCCACAGACAGACCCACAGACAGACCCACAGACAGACAGACAGACAGACAGACAGACAGACCCAGAGACATACAGACCCACAGAGACAGACGGACACAGAGACAAACGGACAGACGTCAGAGTCTGAAATAAAACCAGAAAATGCTGAAGATTCAGAAATAAAGGGAAAATTATCGACAGTGTATTTTCTCACCTTTCCGTCTCTTCGAGGCGTCTGAAAAGCGCTTCGCAGCACTTTACGGTGAAGTGTAGTAACTGTGTCTTTGTGCATGTGTGTTTGTATGAGTGTGTGTGTGTATGAGTGTGTGTTTGTGTGTGTGTGTGTACCGCGGTGGCTGAGTATGTTTGTGTGCGTGCGTGTGCGTTTGTGTATGTCTGTGCATGTCTGTTTGTTTGTGCGCGTGTGTGTGTGTGCGCGTGTGTGTTTGTGTATGTGTGCGTGTGTGTGTGTGTGTGTGTGCGTGCCGCGGTGGCTGAGCGCGGTCTGCCTGTGTGTACACAGGAAGCTTGCCGAGCTCAGCGTGGACGACTTCCTGGCCTCCAAGCTCGACTCCAGCAGCAGCGGCGGCGACGACGATGACAACGACGGAGGCCATTCCGACGGCGAGGGGCGCGAGCTCGGGGAGGAGCCGGTCGGGAAGACGAAGAGGAAGAGGGGGGCCGTGCCGGCTAAGGCGGAGGAGAAAACGTAAGCTCCTTCCTCACCTCCCCTCAGGGCGGCAACAGAAATGGGGTCTGTGCTGTGCCGTGCCCGTCAACCACCTGATCTAACCTCCCCCCACCCCCCCCTCTCTCTTGCTCCCCCACCCCGCTCAGCCGGTCGCCCTCTCGCCTCTGGGTCAGAGGGTTTTGCCTCCCGCTTGGCCCCCCGTATCCCCCGTTCCACCATCGGCCACTGCGCCCCCAAACTCTGGAACACCCTTCCCTCTCTGTCCCTCCCCACCTCGCCCCAATTCCTCTTCGACCGTGGCCTACGGTCACCTGCTCCCCCCCCCCCCCTCCTCACCACCCCACCATCTCCCCCGGCTCGGAGTCGCTCTGGGACGCTAACCTGAGTGAGGGGGCGCTGCGTAAAATACAAGCTGTTGTTGTGGTGGTGGTGGATTCAGGCCCCACATCGGGGCTTTGAACCGCAGTCATGTTGGTCGCTCCATTGCAGTGGGTGGGGCGATGGGTGGGGGTGGGGGAGATGAGTGAGTGGTTGGGTGTGGTGGTTGGATGTGGTGGATGGGTGGGTAGTGGAGGGAGGGGGGGGGGGCAATAACAGCAACAACTTGGATTTATATAGCGCCCTCCACTACCGGACGGCGTCTCAGAGCGCTTCATGGTAACGGATCCCGGGACCGAGCCAGGGGGAGGGGAGGGGGGGGGGAAGGTGACCAAAGGCGCGGTCGAAAAGAAAGATCTTCAGCAGAGACCTGAGAATAGGGAGGGAGCGAGACGAAGGGAGTGAGGAAGGCCGTTCCAGAGCCTCGGGGCACAGTGGCTGAAGGCACGGCCGCCGAGGGTGGAGCGGAGGACTCGGGGGACGAGGAGGAGGTCAGACCCGGAGGAACGAAGGCAAACGGGTGCTGTTTTGAGGAGAGAGGAGGACAGAGAGGTTGGGGGGTGCAGAGGAGTGGAGGGATTTGAAGACAAGGGGTGAGGATCTTGAAGTCGATCCTCTCTGGGACTGGAGCCAGTGCAGTCCGGCCGGGACTGGGGGGGGCTATCGGGGAGAGGGGTTTCAGCGACTTTCGGGGAGAGGTATATGGCGGAGACGGGCGATGCGTCGGAGGTGGAAGAAAGCGGTGCTGCTGAGGGACCGGATGTGGGGGAGGAAGGATAATTGGATAAGTGAGTGGGGGAGACGGGTGTGAAGCTTTTATCCCCTAATCTTCTTCTCTGACTCTTTCCGTTAAAGGAGAGTGAAGCCGGGCAGAGTGGCTCTCCTGCACAAGCAGCAGCTGTCTCGGCTGAAGGAGAAGGACCCGGAGTTTTTCGAGTTCCTGGAGAAGAACGACAGGAAGTTGCTGAACTTTGACGAGACGGACAGCAGCTCGGACGAGGAGGGGAATCGGCCCCACCAGCCGCCCGAGGAGCTCGAGGTCCTGAACTTTGCGTGAAGCAAATCCGAGCAAAGAAAAAATTGCTCGGTGGCTGGGAAAATAACAATCATAATAGGCATAATCACACTGCTGCGTTTCACCCACAAAACGCGGGGTTTTGTATCAGACTCGAGGATTATTATTACTATATTTTTGCTATAATCATAATCCTGGCGTTTGTGGAGTGACTGCGTGTTTTGTGGGCGATCGGGATAGAAAGAGAGAGGGTGGGGACTGGGGGTGGGGGGTGGCGGGCGCGGAAGTTGGTTACGACAGTGACGAGGCTTGAACCCCACAACCCTCTGCACCGACGAGACGAGAGAGAGAGTGAGAGAGAGAGAGAGAGAGAGAGCCAGAGCCGGGCCAGAGATCTGAGACGTGTGTGGTGTTGGTGATTAAACGCTCCGAAAGGAAATTTTACTGTGCCGTTTTTTTTCAACTGGATTTTGAATCCCAATTTCTTTGTGTCAAGTTGGCCAGCGAGGAGGATGAGGATGATGGTGATGATGATGAAGAGCAGACAGCAGCGACCAAGAAGAAGAAGAAGACCGATAACCTAATCCCAGTCACCATCAAGATGGTGGAGAAGTGGAAAGAAGCCAGCAAGGTAACAGCACCATGTGTGTCCGTGTGCGTGTGGGCGCGCCACGTGTTTGGGCGCGTGTGGGAGTGTGTGTTGCCATGTGGGTGTGCGTGTGTGTGCGCGCCTGTGCGCGCTCGTGCGTGTGGTGTGTGACCGTCCCTCTGTTTCGGTGGCAGAGCCAGTTCTCGCCGCGGATTTTCCACGAGATCGCAATGGCGTTCAAAGCGGCCGCCTTCACCACCAAGGGGGAGGACCAGACCGGGGACCTCGGCAAGTACAGGGTGGAGGACAGTGCAGGTCAGTGCGAGACCCAGCGGGACCCCATCGCCTCCAACCGAGCCACTCGGCGGGTCAATGGGTTCACGGATGCCAACCCGTGTGGGATGGGTGGTGGGGGGGGGGGCGGGGAGCGGGTGGTGGGGTGGGGGGTGGGGTGTGGCCGGCGAATGAAATGGACCTTAGGTCTTTTTTTTTCTTCGTCTTAGCGTTTCATACGTTCTTGTATGTTCTAGCGTTCTAATGGGGGAGTGAACAGGGTTACATTCTGTGTGTGTCTCTGTCTGTCTCTGTCTGTATCTCTCTGTCTGTCTGTCTGTCTATCTGTGTCTGGAACTCCGGGATGGGGGGAGATGGTGAGAGGAGGATAGACGAATGGGGTAAAGCTCACAGGAAGGGCTGAGGACTTGTTATCGTCTGAGCGGAATGAATCCCGGATCCATGGCGTGCTCTCTGCTCTCTTTTTTTACACACACACAGTGTTCAATGTGCTGGTGTCGTTCTGCATCCGAGACCTCTTTGCCGTCCTGCAAAAGTTCCTGCAGCTAAAGCCAGACCCACGCAAGAAAAAGTAAGGTGCTGCCATGTGAGCTGTTGTGCTCAAGTTTGCGAGTGTGCGGGAGCTCGAGTGAGTGTGCGAGAGCTCGAGCAAGTGTGCGAGAGCTCGAGTAAGTGCGCGAGAGCTCGAGTAAGTGCGCGAGAGAGTGAGTGTGTGACCCACTGTTACTGTGACGTTGAGAGGCTGTTCTCTTGTTGTGTTCCAGGCTGGTGTTGCCCTCCAGCAGTCGGCTGTGGCCGAAACTCCGACAGGACCTCAATGCTTACCTGACTGCTCTCATGCAGGTAAACGCTGCAGGTCTTACCGGCCATTGCAGAGACCAAGCCGGGGTGGGAGGGGTGGTGAGGGACGGAGAGAGAGAGAGAGAGAGAGGGGGAGGAGGAGACCGTAGGCGCGGTCGAAGAGGAAGGAGTGGGTAAGGCGGAGGGAGGGATTGAGGCAGAGAGTCCCAGAGTCTTTGCAGCGCAGAAGAAGGCCGTTCGACCGACCCATCCTAGCACGGGTTATTTTTTGCAAGTCCGTGTGTTAATGTGCCCTTCAGGTTAGAGTGCAAGCCGAGCTGTGTGTGTTTTTCTTGCAGTTGTTATCCAGCTTGACTGAAGCATCTGTCGTGACCGCTGTTTTCCGTCACGCCAATCACCTCGTCCCTTACTATCTCTGCTTCCCAAAGCACTGTCGAGTGCTCCTCAAGGTAAGTTATTATAACAATAATAATAATAATACTTGCATTTGATACAGCGCCTCGTCACGTCGTCGAGAGGTCTCAAAGCGCTTCACAGGACACACTGTCAAGTGGAGGGACTGTACGTTCTGTGGACAAATCGCGGCAGCCAATTGCGCACAGCAATGTTCCCACAAACAGTCATGGGTTGAGTGTTGTTTTTTGGAGGAGGGATTATTATCCCTGGACCTGCCACTGAGTTGGAGGTGATGATGATAAAATAATAATAAATAACAATAAATAACAGTAATAATAAAAAAAAACCTTTGCATTTGATGCTGCGCCTTTCAAGTCAATAATAATAAACCTTTCATTTGGTACAGCTCCTTATCATTGAGTCATTAAGACGTCGCAAAGTTCCTTACAGAATATTACTGGGACTGTATACAAATGACTGCATATGTTGTCAAGTGCAGTGACTGTGTTCTTTGGAAAACTCCCAAGCGCCGATTTGCGCACAGCAATGCCCTGAACACCGCTGTGAAGTGGGCGTTTTATCGGCCGGGACACCGGGAGCAACGGCTTTCCAATAGCGCCGTCGGGAGCTTTAACGTCCACCTGGACAAGGAGACGGGAGAGACAGGGGGTGGGGACGACAGGGAGACGGGGGAGACGGGTCCAGAGGTTCAGCAGAGCAGGAGATCAAAATCAACTTCTCTTATGCTCTGGTCATTGGGATGTCAACCAAGAGCTCCACGTAGTGGCGATCTGTTGTATCACTTGCAATATTCTGTGTGTCTTGTGCCGATATGCGTCTGTCTATGCGTCTGTGTCTTGTGTGTCTGTGTCTTGTGTGTCTGTGTCTTGTGTGTGTCTACTGGAGGAACGCTGCATTGTCAGGTGCCATCTTCTCCCCAGAGGCGTTAAACCAAGGTCCCGTCCGTCTGCCTGTTCAGGTGGATGGTTTGACGTGTACCAGTGCTTCGTCAAATGCACACGTTATATGTATCGCAGTGGTAATTAATGTGTGGGGCTTTTATGCGAGTTTCTGGCGAGCCATAATTTTCGGATTGCTGGTATTCACAATCTCTCTCTCTCTCTCTCTCTCCTAAGCACGAACACATTCTCACTCTCTCGCGCAAACTCACGTGATCTTTCTCCCTCTCTCTCTCCCTCTCCCTCTCTCTCTCTCTCTCTCGCACACACACACACACACACTCACGCTCACGCTCTCTCTCTCTCTCTCTCCCTCCCGCCTCCTAGCAAACGGTCAAACACTGGAGCACAGGAGAGGAGACTGTTCGAGTTCTCGCCTTCTTGATCCTCAACAAAATCTGCCGACATAAGAAAGATATGTATCTGAACCCGGTTCTCAAGGTAATGAACGAGGAGCGTGTAAAACCACCACCACCACCACAACAACAACCACCATCACCTGGGTTTATACAGCACCCCCCCTCCCTCCCGCGGGGTAGCGCCCCGGAGAGCTTGACGGTGGCGGAGTCTGACCCCCGAGCTGGGGGGGAGCGCGGCGGGGGGAGACCAGGGAGGGAGAGATGGGTGGGGAGGAGAGGTGGTGGCCGTAAGCACGATCAAAGAGGAAGGTGTTTAGGCGGGATTTGAAAGTGGGTAGGGAGGGGGTGGGGGTGGGGGCGAGGTGAAGGGATTGGGGGAGCAGGGGAGGGATGGGGTGGAGCTGGGGGAAGGGGGGGCAAGCGGGGGAGGGCGATAAGTAGGGTAGAATTCACGCTTTCTCAAGAGTCTTAACAGACAACGTCAATTGACTGACTTTCTTTGTTTCTTTCCACCCCCCTCCACCCCCCCCCTCTCCACCCCCCCCTCTCCTCTCCTCTCGCCCCCACACGCAGCAAATGTACATCGCCTACGTGAAGAACTGTAAGTTCACCTCCCCCACCGCCCTGCCCATGATCAACTTCATGCAGCGCACCCTGACTGAGATGTACGCACTCGACCATCAAGTCACCTACCAGCATGCCTTCATTTACATCCGGCAACTGGCCATCCACCTCCGCAATGCCATGACCATGAAGAAAAGGGTAATTGATCAGTAGTAATAATAATAATTCATAATAATGATAGCCCCTGAATTGGAGAAGCGCTTCGCAGGATACGCTGTAAAGCGGATTAGCTGTCTTTTTGACCTTCGTATTATTCCAGGTCAAGTGACTGTACTGCGCCGAGTCTTTTATCCCAACAACAGTAATGATAACTTGCATTTATTTACACAGCCCCCTTCACGTGGGATAGCGCCCCAGGGCGCTTGACAGTGGCGGAGCCTGACCCCGAGCCACAGGAAGGGGGCGTGGGGGTGCGGGGGGGGGTGGGGTCGGGGGGGGGGGAGGTGACCGTAAGCACGATCAAAAAGGAAGGTTTTTAGACGGGATTTGAAGGCCGGGTGGGAGATGGAATCGCGGTGCAGTAAAATGGGCAGCTTTGCGACAGACAATTGCGGATTGAGTGACCCAGTTTTTTCTCGGGATTATTCCCGCAAAATAATCCACCGATAGACTAACAGCCGGGGTTCCCGCTGACTGCTGGCTAAACAGTGTGGAGTAAGGAAACTTGCCTAAGGTTTCCAAGGCTTGCGTTCCCTACTGAATATTGTTTGCAGGCGGTTCTGTCCCTGGCCTGTTCACCAGCCGTGCTGTAACACCGAGCGCTGTGTGTTTGTCTACAGGAGACCTATCAGTCAGTGTATAACTGGCAGTACATCCACTGTCTGTATCTGTGGTGTCGTCTCCTGACAACTCTCCACCCCAACCCTGTCCTGGAGCCACTCATTTACCCATTGGCTCAAGTTGCTCTCGGCTGTATCAAGTAAGTACGCGTGGGGGTAACAGTGTGTGTGTGTGGGGTGGGGGGGGTAACTGTGTTTGTGTGTGTGTGTGTTGTGTGCGCGTGTGTCACTGTGTTAATTGTATGGTAGCAGACTTTAAAATTGTTCCTTATCAGGACCTCGTGACATCTGTATGAGTGAGAAGGAGTGAGGCTCCCCTTGTTCCAGGGTCAACTCTTGGGCCACTTGACACAGCGCCTTATCACGTCGTCGAGACGTCTCAAAGTGCTTCGCAGCATATACTGTAAGGTGCGGCGACCGTGTGTTTTGTGGGCCAAACGTGACAGCCAACTGCGCCCAGCGACGTCCCACAGACCGTCGCGGATTGAGTGACCTTATTATTACTATTGTTATTATTCTCATCTCATTGAAATGTCTGGTGGTTTCGCTCACAGAAGCAGTCACTGCACTTAATTACTGTTTTGAAAAAAAACCTTCAGTCCTTTCGAAGGGATAAATAAGGTGCATGTGGTTAGTTGAGTTCGAAGTCGTCCCCACTAGAGGGTAGTGTTTTCTTTTGATAAATCTCTTGACATCGGGCTCCGCTGTTTGTACGTAGCCAGTTCCTAATGTTCCAAGTCCAGGAATGCAATTATCTAACGTAAAACCACAGCAGGTTTTAGTGTTCGAGGCAGCTTCAAACTCTAAACGTTATTATTCTGCATCGTATGTAACTCGTGGTCTGAGCTCGTAAGACCTCAGCGCTCCTATTTCTTACGTTTTTATCGTCCCGACATTAAATAACTTGTAAAAATTCATGGCTAAGCCTTTGAAGCCACATCAGCGTTGGAACTCTCTTCCCCAAACTCTCCTGCTCGCGCTCTTTCCTGCTCGGATGTCGGCTCTCACCTCGGGAGTCAGAAGTTCGTGGGTTCAAGCCCCACGTCGGGACTTGGAACTCATCTGGGTCTAAGGTGACGCACCACAGCAATGCCTTGACTGAGGTGCCGTCCTCCGGATGAGACCTTAAACCACGGTCCCGTCTGTGCCCGGATCAGGCGGACGTAAAAGATCCCACGTCACTGCTCGAAAAGGGAAGGGAGTTTTTCTCTCTCTCTCTCTCTCTCCTCTCCCCCCACTGGTATCCTGTCCAACAATCCCCCAAATAGAATTCATCGTTTACTTCACGGCTGTTTGCGGGGACGTCGCCGTGCGCAAACTGACTGCCGTTTTTCACCCACAAAGTGCACAGGTCTTACTAGGAATGGGGGAGAGGGAGGGAGGGAGAGAGGGGGGGAAGGAGAGAGAGAGAGAGAGAGTGCGAGAGAGGCGGTGGGAGAGAATGTGTGAGAGGCGGAAAGAGAAAGAGAGAGAGAGAGAGAGAGGGTGTCAGCTCAGAACATGAGCTTGTGTCCTGTCCTGTCTGGTGCGAGGAGCTCAATCCCACAAGTGCCTTGAGGCCACACTGAGCCAGACTGGGCAGCAATCGTCTGACTTCCTCATTTAAGAGCGGTTTCGCTTGAGCGGCCAGTAAAACCCCCAGTGCCTTTCACAAGGCAGTTCATCACAATGTGTGACACGGACCTGGACACGAGCCCTGGGGATCTCTTGAGGATCCAGTCGAGGAACGTACCTTATCTGCGGACTTTCGGACTCGATACTTGTATTTTGACAATTTAAAAATGTCGGGGGTGGGGGTTGGGTGACTTTGTGCGATTGCAGTCATTTAAATCCCAGCATCTCGCACCGGGACCGCTCGCCTCAAAGCCTGCACGTTGTCACGGGGCGCACACTGCAAAGCGTAGTGACTGTGCGAAAACGCGCAGCCGTGTAGTAGTGCCCCGGCTTGAGGTGCGGACTGGTTAGGGTGAGGGGAGGGGGAATCTCAGACTCTTTTCGAAGCAGTGCCACAGGGATCTTTAACGTCCGTCCGAACAGGCAAACTGGATCTCGGTTTGACGCCTCTTTGAAGGGCGTCCGCGCCTCGCCATTCCCACCGAGACCTCCCTCCCACTGGAGTGGTAAGCGAAACCCTTTGCGAGTCTCACAACCTTCAGTCACTGAGCCCAGCTCAGTGTGGGACTGCCTAACCGTAGTGGACTGTGCTAACTCACAGCTCGTGCCGTAAATGCCCGCCATTCTCCTCCTCTTTCCACCCCCTCACCCCACCCCCTGTTATTAATTCACTCGCTGCCCTGTGACTCACACCGACTCATTTTTCTGCCTCAAAATGTTTTCGGCCGTTAGCCCGAGCTCCCTCGCCTGCTCGCCTGCCCGTCTGTTTTCGTGATGTAGCTTTTCATTTGTGCCGGGTGATGTAGGGTTTGTAATGGCTCCATAAATATTGAACTGGTGCTAAAGGACATCGAGGGTCAGAAATAATAAGTGTTCCAGCGGCTCAGACCTGCTGCCCAGTGTTGTACAGTCCAGAGAACCTCCTGTCACCACAGGCTCTCAGCTCATATATTATACCGTGGTCACACACAAGGGCTCGTAGTCTCTCTCTCTCTCTCTCTGCCTCTCTTAGTCTCTGGGTCTGTCTTAGTGTGCCTTGTAACTTTGGACCCAGTTGGCGAGGGAGGGCAGAGGTTGGGGGGGGGGGAGAGGTGAAGTCGGTGTTTTCCTACCGTGGGATTTAACGTTGAACACTCTGTGCTGTGGGGCAGACATCTGCAAACGGGATCTGAGTGTGAACAGCTTGGCCAGAAAAGTGTGGCAGATCAGAACATGCTGTTAAAATCGTAGTGGTTAGTCTTGTTGCCAATAACACATTTTCTCTCTCTCTCTCTTTCTCTCTCTCTCTGTGTGTGTGTGTGTGTCCCTCTTGTTCTGTCTCTTGCTCTCTCTCTCTCTTTATTAGCCTCACTCATCCTGTCTCTTAGGTTGGCCTTGGGACGATCTCCCGACGTGAAAGGCACTGTACAAATGTAATCCCGTTGTTGTTGTAGGCTCTCTCTCTCTCTCTCTCTCTGGGTACATGCCTAAGGGCTCGATCACCTCAACCCTCTGACCCAGAGTCGAGGCTGTTTGCCCCTAATGGAAAAGCCCCATGAACGAGCGAGTGACGTGAAGAGTCTGGGCGGATTAGAGCTCGTGCGGGGAGGCTGATAGTTGACTGCGATTTGGCCCCAGTCGACCCGAAGTGTCACAGTTCCTGCGCCACAGGAAATCCACCCACCAGGTCTCGTCTGCAGAGGGAGAGCCTGGGTATGGGAGTCTGCGATGAAGCCACCTCCCTGGCTCTCCCATCTCAGCTCTGCGTGTCTGGGGACACCCCCACCCCCCCACCCCCACCTTTATACACAGGGGTGTCTCTCTCTCTCTCTGTGTGTGGTTAGACCTTTCACTACTGAGCTGCTGTCTCAGGTTTCGGTCACATCATGGCTTTTTGCCAGGTGACCGGGGGAGTGGTGGGGATGGGTCGAGGGGCAGACAGGATTACGGGGGTGGGGGTGGGGAAGGGGAAACAAGGGGGAGCAGGGGAGAAGGTTCAAAGTCTGATATGAGTTGAAGCTCACGTTCGTACTACTAATAATAATCATAATAATAATCCTTGTGGAGTCCTGTAGCTCAGTGGTTAGAGCACTCGCCTCGCAAGCGAGAGGAACTGGGTTCGATTCCCGGGCTGCGACGTTGGGCAAGTTTCCTGACTCCACACACACACACACACACACGCCTCTGTTTACCAGCAGTCAGTAGGAACCCGGTTGTTAGTGGGGGTGGGGGGTGTGTGGGGGGGGGGAGTACTCTCTTTTTTTTTAAAAAAATGGCTAATTGGGCACAGCAGTGTCCCACAAACAGTCCGGGATATTTTTTTGGAGGGTTTATTGGCGATCTGCCAATCGACTAACAACCGGGTTAGATTAGCTGTGTAGCCCCCCCCCCCCCCCCCACACCGCCAGTCTCTCTGAGCACAAGGTGATGGAGGGAGGTTGACAACTTGACAGCTCAGATGTGACCTGAAGCTTCAGTCAGTGCTGGAAGATCTGGATCACGTTGTCTTGTCTGGGGCTTAGTTCCGTTAACCGTGTGCAGCCCCCGCCTCACACTCACACAAACCACGGCGGAAGGGGAGTGGGGGTGGGGGGGGGGGGTTTGTAAAGCCCCCGATTTAACTACGGAACCAATCTCTGCTTCAGATGAAAGTTCTCGAGAGATGGCTTGTTGATTGAGTACTGTGTGTGTGTGTGTGGTGTGTGTGTGTTTCTTGTTTAAAACCCTGTCCTAATCGCTTCGATCTGACCTATAATTTAATTCAACTGCTGAATTAAGAGTTTAGGCAGCTCTGCCTCTTCCCCCCCCCCCCCCCCCACCACCACCCATAGTGGTCCATAGTCTGTATCTTAACAAAGATCTACCTCTTACAAGCCTCCTTCCTACCCCCCCCACCCGAACCACACACACACACACGTACACCAAAAAAGCCCCTTTTGCTGCGTTGCACAGGAGGCCGTGTAATAACAACAACAACAACACGACAATAATAATCCTTGCGTTTGACGCGGCGCCTGATCGCGTCTTCGAGACGTCTCGAAGCGCTTCACGGGACACACCGTAAAGTGGAGTGACCATGTATTTTATGGGCGAAACGCGGCAGCCGATTGCGCCAGGCAGCGTCCCCCGCAGACAGCCGTGGATTGAAGCGACCAATTTATTATTATTACTACAAGCGTTGATCAGATTGACGGGGCTGACTTTCGGGGTCTATTTTTTTTTCTTTTTTTTTCTTTTTCTCTCGCAGGCTGGTGTCGACGGCCCGCTATTACCCCCTTCGCTTCCACTGCGTCCGAGCTCTCACCCTCCTGTGTGACAGCACCAAGACCTTCATCCCACTCCTGCCCTTCCTCCTGGAGGTAAGCCTGACCCGATTCTCCCCCGTTGGGGAGGGGCGGTTGAGGAGCGGGTGGGGTGGGGTGGGCTGAGTGGTGGGGGGGGTGGGGGGACGGATTTATATTGGAAAAAGCGGGCAGTTTATTCGGACCCCTCCGTTTCCAGCACACCCAAACTCCAGTCCTGCTTTTCATCCGTTCGCGTCGCCTTACGACCCACAGAGAACGTTAAAGACGGCTGTAAAAATGTGCGCGTGTGTGTGTGTGTGTGTGGGGGGGGGGGGGGGGGAAGCGGGGGAGTGACGGGGGGGTGTGGGGGAGGAAGGCAAAAAAAAAATCGCACTAATTTGAAAAAGACGGGCGTCTTAACCCCTCGGCTAGTTGCCGCAGTCCGGGAGACATTTGGTTGAACCATGTCCTGGTGTAAGAATACTCCGTACCCTGGAGTACTAAACTTTCCTGCCTCCACAGCTGGGATTAATCATCTCAACCGCGCCGCGCTGTGAGGTGATGTGAAGCGGAGGGAAATTGTGTGTGTGTGTGTGTGTGTGTGGGGGTGGGTGGGGTGGTGGGGGAGGCGTTGGGGCTGGGGGCTGGGGTGGGGGGGGGATTTGGCAGCAATTCATGCCGTTTTTATTGACGTCCTTTTTCTTTTTCTTTCTTAACGTCTGTGGTTTTTCGCTGGCTCGCCGCCAGTCCCAGGGCGTCACTGCACGCACGTCGGGCTGCCGTTATCACCCGCTCGCTCACGTGACATGCAGTGGCACTGGGACCCCCCCCCCTCACCCCAGCCCCCCCCCCCCCCCGCGCCACCACCCGCTGACCCCCGTGAAGAGTTCTGAGACGTCTCGACGACATGATGATAAGGCGCTGTATCGAACAAGAGGGTTATATTCGGTCGCTCGCTCAATCCACAACTTTGTGGGGGCGTCGCTGGCCGCAATTGGCTGCCGCGTTTCGCCCACAAAATACACAGTCACTACACTTTACAGCGTATCCTGTGAAGCGCTTTGAGACGTCTCGAAGATGTGACGAGGCGCTGTGTCAAATGCCAGGATTATTATTATTATTATCCAAATGCTGTGGCGTTATTAACACTCTCCCTTGATCTGCTAATGACTATTCCCTCGTGGGGGTGGGAGGTGGTGCGGGGAGACTGGGGAAGGCAGGGGGTGGGGGTGGTCGGGGTTGCGGACACGACAGTGGAGCCGGTATTATCCCAATACTTTTCCGCCCGCTGCTCCAGGCCAGTCAGCAAGCGGGTCCCTGACAGCCTCTCTTGTGCGTCTGTGTGTGTGTGTGTCTGTGTGTCTGTGTGCGTGTGTGTGTACTTGTGAGTGAGTGTGTGTGCGTGTGTGCGCGCGTGTGTGTGCGCTCGTGTGTGTATCAGTGAACGTGTCAGCCACAGAAGGCAGAAGTAATCTGCGAGTCTTGGGGAAGTGTAGGGGTGGGTGGGGGGCGCGGGGGGGTTAGTTGAGGTGAGGGTAAGGACTGGGTTGGGGGCGGGTGGGGGGGAGTTAGTGGGTGGTGGGGGAGACGGGGGGGGATGGAGGTTAGCATGAGCTCTGCTTGTAGACACCGGTGGTCAGGCCAGTATTCGGCAGCCAGCCTGCCCGCCCGCTCTTAATCAGCCTGAGCTGGAGAAGGCACCATGCGGTTTCACTTTGCTGCAGGCGTCTACTGGAGACCACATCCTGGTCGTAGCCTGTGAAAGGCAACGGCAAGTATTCCACCCTTGGCTCCTGCCTCTGCTTCTCTGCCCGCCCGCCTGCCTGTCTGTCTGACTGTCTGACTGTCTGCCTTGCCTGTCGCTCTCTGACTTCCTTCCTCCCTCTCAAGATGTTGCCGTTTTAATTGGTGACGCGCTGTTTCTCTCTTCCCCGCTTGTGTGTGTGTGTGTGTGTGTGGTTTTTTTTTTTTGGCGGAGGTGGGGGCGGGCGGGGGGAGGGGGAGAGGGAGAGGGGAGAGACGCAGAGAGAGAGAGAGAGAGAGAGGAGGGGAAATGCGGGGGGAGTTGGTGTTTCTACAGCGAGGTGCGGTGTCTGTCTCAAGTTTGTTTGGGAGACGCTGAGCTGAGCTTCCCCCCTCGGCCCACCCCCACCCCCCACCCGCTCCGTGGTACGAGTGGTTTTCCCCCACATCCGCACGTTCTCAAAAGTTTCCCCGCCTCGAGTTTCGAATGCGCTCAGTGCTTCACAGGAGCAAACCTTTAATCGGCTTATTTGTGTGTATATTTTTATCCCCCCTTCCCCCCCGCTGCATATTTTGTGGGGGAAACACGGCAGCATTTCACAGTGTATGTCCTGCGAAGCGCTTCAGAGACGTCTCGAAGACGTGATAAGGCGCTGCGTCAAATGCAAGGATTATTATTGTTATTGTGATGATGATGATGATTATTATTTCTTAATAAGAAATGGGAGTCCTGTCATTAACAAAATGTCCAACCCCTTGGAAACAAACGGCAGCCCCAGTGTAATCTTCAGCTGCGATCAGCGCATGCGCGAGCGCTCTGGGACGCTAGCCTGCATGTTGTTGTTGTTGAGTAACAATAATTCTTTACGAAGAAGCCTCGATGGGAGCGAGAGAGAGAGAGAGGGAGGGAGAGGGAGAGAGAGAGAGAGACGGAGAGAAACGCAACAGTTTTCCCGTAGCCACCGATGCCGTGGACGAAACTATCCGACGTTGGGATTGAACTCACAGTCGCACACTGTCACTTCCCTCTCCGAGATACCCGCTACCTCCCGAAACTCACCTCTTCCCCCTCCTTGCGGTTCCACTTCACTGTCTGATGTTAACACTTCCCTCTCGGCCGTGCCTCGGTCGGTCTCTGGGTTTGGAACATGTGGCTTGATGCTTCGGTGGGGTGGAGTGGTGGGGGGGGGAGTGCGGGGGAGGGAATGGTAGGATGGGTGTCTTGGAGAGACGAGATAACATAATAAATGAATAAATAATAATAATTAACGATCCTCGCATGTGATACAGCGCTTTATCAGGCCATTGAGACGTCTGAAAGCGCTTCACAGAGAGTACCGTCGAATGAATTGACTGCATTTGTGGGGGAAACGCAATTGGCAGACAATTGCGCGCAGCAGTGTACCCACAAACAGTCGTGGATTGAGTGAACCTTTTTTTTTTTTTTGGAGGGTTTATTACCCCCCGGAAAGTGATCCGCCAATCGACTAACAACTGCTGGTAAACAGAGGAGTGTGTGTCTGTGTGTTTGAAGTAAGGAAACTTGACTGAGGTTTCGCGCTGACCTGACCCGACCCGCCCGGGAATCGAACCCGGGTCCTCTCGCCTGCGAGGCGAGGGCTCTATCCACTGAGCTACGGAACCCCACGGACGGACCGAAAACAGTTGGGGAAGCTGATAGTTGACTGCGATTTGGCCCCAGTCGACCTGAAGTGTCACAGTTTCTGCGCAACAGGAAATCCACCCACCAGGTCTCGTCTGCAGAGGGAGAGCCTGGGTATGGGAGTCTTCGATGAAGCCACCTCCCTGGCTCTCCCATCTCAGCTCTGGGGACACCCCCCCCCCCCCCACCCCACCACACACTTTTATACACAGGGGTTGTCTCTCTCCGTGTGGTTAGACCTTTCACTACTGAGCTGCTGTCTCAGGTTTCGTTCACAACATGTTGTTTGTCTTGTGACTGGCAGCAGGTGGGTGGACAGTTTCATGGGGGTGTGGGAGAGAGTGGTGGTGGTGGTGGTGGTTCGGGGGGGGTGGGAGTTGGAATGTGAGGGGGAGAAGCTCTGAAATAAGTTGAAGCTGATGTGTGTAAGCCCGGCTTTCCTCTGATATTAATTGGCCCGTCTATTTCCTGGCTGTTTGTGGGACGTTGCCCAAATGGCAAGTTTCCTCACTCCGCACGCCTCTGTTTACTCAGCAATAAGCAGGAAGGCCGGTTGTTAGTCAATTGATGGATGGCTTTCCGGGGAGAATAATCCCTCCCACAATCGCGTGGTCACTCCATCCGCGACTGTTTGTGGGGACGCTGCTATGCGCCATTGACTGCCGCGTTTCGCCCGTGAAACCCACAGTCACGTCCACTTAATCTATATTTGAGATGCAGACGTGATAAGGCGCTATATCAAGTAAAATGAACAATCCTTGCATTCGATACAGCGCCTTATCACGTCGTCGAGACGTCTCAAAGCGCTTCGCAGGACGCACTGTGAAGTGTAGTGACCGTGTGGTTTGTGGGCACAGTGTGGATTATGATTGTTCTTATTTTTATGGCAACACCTCTCGTCATTCTCTCCCGCCAGGTTTTCCAGCAGGTGGACTTCAACAAGAAACCGGGGAGGATGAGCATGAAACCGATCAACTTTGACGTCATCCTGAAACTGTCCTATGCCAATCTGCAGGAGAAAGCCTTTCGGGTAAGGTGGGTGTGGGGGGGGGTGGTGATGGGGGGAGGTGAGAAACATGACCCTACTCCCTGTCCGTGCGCCCCTGGGAGCTGGTTTAACAGGATTTCGGGAAATATTCTCTTCTTCCTAGCAATGCCACAGCATATACTGTAAAGTGTAATGACTATAATCTGTGAGCAGTCAGTTTCGCACAGCAGCGTCTCCACAAACAGCCGTGGAACGAGTGACAGTTCATTATTTTTTTTTGATGGAATTATTATTATCCCCGGAAAAGCGATCCGCCAGTCGGCTAACAGCCGGGTTCCTGCTTACTGCTGGGTAACCGGAGGCGTGCATGTGGGGTACGGAGACTTGCCCAACCTTTCGCCTTGCCCGCCCGGGGATCGAACCCAGATCTGTCGCTTGCGAGGCGAGGGCTCTGGCCACTGAGCTACAGGACTTTTGGGAAATCCTCGGAAATTCCCGGGTCTGGACTGGAAGGCGCTCCCCCTCTCTCTCTCTTGAGTGGGTCGTGACACCCCCACCCCTTGCTTACCTAATTCCAGAGAGTATCGGGCGCAGGTTGGCGAGAGCTGAGATGTTTCCGTATCGGACTCTGGGTGAATAACGAACGTATCTTTTAAGATTGTGTGTGTGTGTGTGTGTTTTGTAGGATGGACTCGTTGAACAGTTGTACGACCTGATTCTGGAATATTGTCACAGCCAGGCACACACCATAGGCTTCCCAGAGCTCGTGTTGCCCTCTGTCATTCAAGTGAGTGGGACGCGAGAGTGTCTTGTTACTGAGCGCGAAGCTGTCAGGCCTGGCTCCCGTCACCAGCACTTGTGACCTCCCAGTCAGAAGGCTGAGGGTTCAAGCCCCACCTCGGGACTTTGAGCTCACAGTGCTGCTACGAGCACCGCTACGTCGGAGGCACCATCTCTCTCTTTCTTATTCTCTCATTCTCTTTCTCTCTCTCTTTCTCTCTCATTGGATTTGTACAATCACTGTAGTAATACTGTGCCAGTCTTACCCTCTCTCTTCTCTTCTCTCTCAGTCTCTGTCTCATTCTTTCTCTCTCACACACTGAGTCTTTTTTTCTCCCTCTTTCTCTCTTTCTCTCTTTTCTCCTTCTTTCTCTATCTCATTTTCTCTCTCTCTGTCTCTCTCTCACACACACTGTGTGTGTCTCTCTCTCTCTTTCTCATACACACAGGTTCTCTCATTTTCTCTCTCTCTCTTTGCTTCCAGCTAAAAGCTTTCCTCAAACAATGCAAAGTGGCCAATTACTGTAAGCAGATCCGGCAGCTCCTGGAGAAACTGCAAGAAAATGCCACCCACGTGACCAAGAAGAGACAGAAAGCCACCTTTGGGGTGTCCGACAAGGAGTCTGTGGTGAGTGTTTGGCCTCACTTCACCTCCCGGGAGACTCTTCATTCCTTACAATACAATATTGCATTTACACGGTGCCTTTCATGTCAGGAGGTCGTCCCGAGGCGCTGGACAGTCAGGGATTTGGACCCGAGCTGGGGGTTGGGATCAGGGAGGGGTGGAGGGCAGAGAGGGAGGGGTGGGGGCTAGGAGCAGTCAAAAAAAGAGGTTTTGAGACGGGGCCTTGAGGGAGGCGAGGGAGGGGCCGAGGCGAAGGGACTGTGGGATGGAGTTCCAAAGGATGGGGGAGGAAAGCCCGACCACCGATGGTGGGGCGGATAAGGCCGATTGGGGGAGGTGAGTGGAGGGAGAGAGCACAGGTTGATACGCAGGTCATGGGCTGCTTTGGGGAGTGGTGGTTTCTGACCAGCATCTACCCCCCTCTTCCCCCCCCCTCTTCCCCCCCCCCCCCCATCCGGTGAGCTCCAGCCAGACTGAATGGTGAAAGTTGACACTTAAATTGCAGCCCGTTATTAAGGGCTATTAAGCCCGAGCTCTCTTTTAAGTGTGGGTTTCGCCGTTCAGTAATGGGCTCCGACAAGAACAACAGTTCATGATAATCCTGGCATTTCATATGGCGCCATTTCACATCGTCGAGACGTCTCAAAGCGCTTCACAGGACATACTGAAAAGCGGAGTGACCCCCGGGGCTTTGTGGGCGAAACGCGGCGGCAGAGTTTCCCCCACAAACAGCCACGAAGGGGAGCAAATAACTTTCATGTGGGGGGAAAAAAATGCACGAGAGGTGGTGACCTAAGTGAGCACAATACAACATGGTTTAGCTGATCGGTAAGTTCGAAGCTCAACGAGTTCTCCCCCCCCACCCCTTTTGGGGAAACCATGTGAGGCAATGCCGGTGGGGGGGTTGGGGGGCGTGGGGTTGGGGGTGGGGGAATCAGGGGGGGGGGGTCATATCAGCCCCACCCATTTTACTCGTCTCCAGAAACTTAACCAGTTCTTCCCGAGTCACGAGCTCAAGCCTCTCGAGGGAGAGGGAGCGATGATTTTTTTTTCTCTCTGAGCTTAAATGGAAAGCAGCTGTTGGAATAATGCCATTATCTCGCTGTAGTGCTTATTAAAACCAGGACAGAATCCAACATAACCAGCTGCACCCCCCACTCCCTCCACCCTCCCAGACAGACAGGCAAAATGTTCCTGGACAAGTTAGCTTCCGATTTGAACTTGCCTTAGGGTGACCTGTGGGGGCGGATAGTATTTGTGTGCGAGAGTGTCTGTGTACTTATCTCTGTCTGTCCATCTGTGTGTGGCTGTGTGTGTGTATGTCTGTATCTGTCTGTACCTTTAAGAATACCTGTGTGTGTGTGTCTCTCTTTATCTCAGTAGCCGTGTGTGTCTGTGTCTATGTGTGTGTCTGTGTGTGTCTTCCTCTTTATCTCAGTAGCTGTGTGTGGTGTGTGTGTGTGTGTGTGAGTAGAGAGAGAGAGAGAGAGAGGGCTTGGGTCTTGTTTGCTAGCCTGAAGCTCCTCAACGAGATCCGTTTTTATTTTACCTTTGCTTCTGATACAGTGTCTGTCTGTAGGGGAGCCAGGCTGTCAGTGAACTTCAAAGCCACTCACCTCTGGAATCGCTTTGAGACTCTTCGACTCAAACAAAAGTAAAGTGAGGTAGAACCTTGGTTAGTGTCAAACAGAGAGAGAGCACGGCTCCTGTTTACTTGGCAGCTCACGGTTTCCATGGGGAAACGGGCTCATTAAAACCTTAATTGGCAGAAGATCAACTAGCGGTGAGAGCACTCGCCTCGCGAGCGAGAGAACCTGGGTTCGATTCCCGGCAGGGCGAAATGTTGGGCAAGTTTCCTTACTCCACACGCCTGTTAACCTAATGGTAACTAGGCACCTGGTTGTTAGTCGATTGGCGGATCGCTTTTCCGGGGGTAAATAAATCCCTTCGGAAAAACATGAATCAATCCACGGCTGTTTGTGGGGGAAGCTGCTGTGCGCTATTGGCTTCCGCGTTTCAGCCACAAAATGTACAGTCAGTTCACTTTACAGTGTATTCCGTGAAGCGCTTTGAGACGTCTTGAGGGAGGGAGGGAGGGAGGGGTGGGGGGGGCAGGAGGGGTGGTGGGGCGGGGGGGGGAGAGACGAAAGGAATGATTTGTTGCCGGTAAATTGCAGCGAGTCAATCGGGCTGATTGATATAGGTGGCTGCCGTGTCTTGGGCCTCTGCTTGCCCAAAGCCCCCCCCCCCCCAAACGCTTCCAAGTGGGAATGATTTATGAATGCGTCGCAATACGTCGCAGCAGTTTATTGCACCGGGAATGCACTTGTGGTACGGAGATGGCTCGTAGGTTAGCGTGCGGGGGGAAAGGGGGAGTGAGTGGGGTGTGGGGAGGGGGTGAGAAACACTCTCTAAGAGATTGCGATAATAATAATAATCCGTGCATTTGATGTAGGGCCTTATCGTGTCTTCGAGACTCCGTCCGGCGTAGTGACTGTGTATTCTGTGGGCGAACACGCAGCAACCTATTGCGCACGGCAGCGCACTGCAAACACTCGCGGTGGGGGGAATAGAGAGAGAGAGAGAGAGTGAGCGCACGGGAGAAAGAGCGAGAGAGATCATTTTTCATTGTCTACCTTCCAATACCCAGCAAAAGTCCAGATGTACATGAGGAGATGTCACAAACACGGCTCCTCACCTTGAATGGATTTCCTCCCGGTGTTAATTTTATTCGACCCAATCAATGTAACACAGGAACTGGGTCAGAGCGCTTTTCCCAGATTTCCAACATAATCACCGGCGAGAAGCCAAGCATCTATTTTTGTGCGCGTGTCTCTGTCTGTCTCTCTGCCTGTCTCATCTGCGTGTATGAGTCTGTCTGCCTGTCTTATCTGCGGTGTGCGAGAGTCTGTCTTGCCTACGCTTGTGTATGTGTGTGCGCGCGTGTGTGTGTCTCTGCTTGTGTTTCTGTGCGCCCCTGCGTGCGCGCGTCTCTCTGTTTACCCGTGTTATCCCCGTGTGCGCGCCTGTGTGCGTCTCTCTGCCTGTCTTCCTGTTTCATCTGTATGTCACGTGCGATCAAACTGCATTCTCGAGTCCTTCCACCTCTCTCTTCACTTCCATCCTCGCCCTTAAAGCCTGTCTTTTTGATCAAAAGGGCTTTGAGCTGTCCTCCTGACGTGAAAGGCAGGTGTGGGGGGGGGGCCTTGTGCTTGATGCAGACCGACGCTGCGAGATAAATGTAAATGGCTGAGAAGGTGGGAGTCATGGGGTTAACCTGGCAATTGCTCTAAGTTGCGAGTGGTTTAGCTGCCAGGAGGCAGAGAGATACCTGAGGCTGTGAGAGTGTCTGATACTCACTGTCCCGAGAGACTCCAGAACCACACAAGGGGTCACTGTGATCTGAGATATCGATCGAATGAAATCTCTTGTCTATTGATGGCCACTTGTAATCGCAGCCCAAATGCACAAAGCCGACGGCTTGTGTTGTTCCCCTCACGTTCGCCGTGCGAATTGTCCAAAAGAATTATTGAAAGACATTCACGGCTTAAATTTGACTTCAATTCAAACGTCACGTTTCGCCCACAAAGTACACGCGGTCCACTCACTTTACAGGGTGTCCTCCGAAGCGCTTTGAGACGTCTCGAGTACGTGATAAGGCACCGTATCCGATGCAAGGGTTCTTGCTATTCCATGTTGTACTAGATGATTCTTAAAACGTCCAGGAAAATAGTTTGATTGGGGTCAGCCGAGTGGCTGACTTGCACGGAAGCCCATTACCGTCGCTAAAGAGTATCCAAACCCCAAGCCGAGATTTCTGTGCACCGAAATCCCAGAGATAGCTTGTCGGAATGGAATACGCACTCTCTCTCTCTCTCTCTCTCCCTCTCGCGCTCTCTCCCTGGAGAGATGCACCCTGCTTACCTAATTCTGGAACGTGTTAGGCGCAGGTCGGCGAGAGCCAAGGGTCGGGGGGAGCCCAGAGTGTGCGTTGGGGGTACCTGTTGGAGTCTAACCAGCTCAAACCACAGAGGTTACCGTTGCGAGGGCAGTCTGGCAAGCTTTCCTGCTGCTTGTAGCCAATCGACCTCTCGCTAATTTCCGCGGCATCGCTTTTCGTCTGATTTGACCAGTGATTGTGTGTGCGCGCGTGTGTGTTGAACAGGAAGCGTGGGAGAGACAGACACAGGAAGAAGGCACCCCACTGAGCAAGTACTACGTTAACTGGAAGAAGCTGAGACTGAAGGAGATCGCTCTGGAGATCAGTGGGAAGGAACGTGTACGTAACTATTGTTTGCTTTAGTGCTGACTGTGCATCAAAGCGACAGAGTTCTGTAGGGAGTACGTATGGGTGTGAGGATCTATTTCCTATCGTTTCCATCTCACTCGTTCAGAGGTTTTCACCGAGAGGTTATTTGGGACCGAGATGCTGGTCAGGTTGATAGCCCCCCTCCCCTGCGAGGTAACCCGCGGGTAACCAGCGCTGGGGAGGGTTAAAGGAGACTTCTTTTCTGATGGTCGTGAGATCTCCCGATGCTCACCCCAAAATTGCTTTGTGTCTCAGGATGCTCCCCCATTTTTAACCTTCACTGTAGGTGATCTCTTCCCCCCTCTCGCTCTCTCACTCTCTCTACCCCACCCTCCCACTCACTCCTCCCCCCACTCTGCTCCCCATCTCTTTCTCTCTCCCCCCTCCCCTCTCTCTCTCTCTCTCTCTCAATGGAAAGCCCTGCTCCAGACGATCACAGACGTTACAATCAATTGAGAGACTTGAGGGAGAGGAATGCGGTGAACGGACGCGGAAAAGGGACGAAGAGGTCACTACTCGGCCTGATCCAATAGTGAATGTTACAGAAGGTCACAGAGCATCGAACCGTTCCCAGGAACAGTTTACGAGCAAGACACGGGAGAAATAGTGGGAAAGCCAGGAAGAACGACAATGGGTCTTAAAGGGCTCACATAACCTCTCGCAAAAGCCTTTTGGTTTAGACCCCAGCATCCAGCGATGGGGTGAAAATGTTTGATGGTTTCCGTGCTGCGTTTTAAGTCCCAGGCAGCACACAAAGCCGGCTTTGTAGTAAGCGTTATTTTATATTTCATTGACTTTTTTTTTCTTCCCGCTGACGCTATTCCTCGCCAGATGGAAGACCTGGATTTGCCGGAGATCAAACGCAAGAGGTTGCAAGAGAGCAAAGAGAAGGACAAGAAAGAGTTCCGAGAGCTCTTTGAGTCTGACAGCGACTCAGATGATGAAAGCTGTGGGTTTAAAGCTAAAGGTAGGTTTTTTTTTCCTCTTAAATTTTTACAGATGACCCTCTTTCTGTCTCCGTCTCTTTCTGTGTCTCTGTCTCTCTCTCTGTCTCTCTCTGTGTCTCTGTCTCTCTCTCTCTCTCTCTCTCTGTCTGTCTCTCTCTCTGTCTCTCTCTCGAGCGAGGGAGGGCAGAGTAATTGAGTGGGGAGGAGAGAAAGTGTGAAACGCCAAAGAATAATTGCATGTTCATCTCAAGGACTGCGACCACCATTGGGCAAAATTGTGAAGTTAAATTGCTCAAAAAAAAACCAGGAGTATATATTTATTGCCTTTTTTCTAAAAATGCGTGGCTTTTCGGGGTGGGGGGAGGGAGGAGGGGGAGGGAGTGGGGGGGAATCTGCCAAACAGAAACCCGTGGATCCCAGGACATTGTTTAGACGAAAGAGTCGACGAGAACAACAAGAAATTACATTTATATAGCGCCTTTCGCGTTGGAAGTATCTCCATCCCACAGTCCCTTTGCCTCGCTCCCTCCCTCCCTCGTCTCCTTCAAAGTACATCTCGAGATCCTCCTGTTTGACCACGCACTGGGTCACCCTCCTACCCCCACCGTCCCTGCCCTCCAACCCCCCCGCCCCCACCACTGCCCCGATCCCAAACCCCAGCTTGGGTTCAAATCCCTGACTGTCCAGAACCTTGGGACGTCCTCTGGCTCTGTGTAAATGTTGTTGCTTGTGTCTCAGACACAAGGTGTGTGTGTGTGTGGGGGGGGGGGGGGTGGCCGGGGGTGTCCTTGCAATGGAGGACATCGCTGGTGCAGACTGGATATCAGTTAATCCTGCCCAGCTCAACCCACGCAACTTTCTCAGATGTTTCAGCGTGACGAGAGGTTAGATGAGATAGAAATATTACACTCGGCTTCATCCGCCACGGCCGGGTCCAGCCTCCACCAGTCCAGTTAATGGCTTTGGAATCAAAAGCAGCCGTTGGCGGGTTACTGGGCTCACGAGATGAATCCCTGAGCTCAGCTCCATTTACAGGCACACAAGCTATCCGGAAGTTCCGGCTGGTCTAGAACTCCGGCGCCCGCACTCTCACCCGCATTAAACTGCGTCCCCCCCCCATCACCCGAGCCCTCGCCAGGCTCCACTGCCTCCCTATCACACGCACTAAACTGGCTCCCTCCCTAACGGCGAACGGATCGATTTCAAGATCCTCACGCTCGTTTTGAAATGCCTTCACGTCCTAGCACCTTCCTACCTCCACCCGCAGCCCCCACCACACACACACCACACCCACACACACACACACCCACACACAAGCACCGCATTGGCAGTGTCAGCCTGAACTACGCGACTCGAACCCACAACCTTCTGACTCAGAGATTGAGTCACCGGCAACCGAGCCAGGCTGACACCTTCAGGAGTGAGTCAGGCAGCGGCCAGTGGGGGGGGGGGGGACGAGACAATGCTTGTCAACACGGCTTCAGACCCCAGTGGGTCAGTGTTCCCTCACTGCCGAGAAAGCTAGCGGCTCGGTGATTCAATCTGACTCGAGCCCAATTAACGCTGCTCTTGTTTCCTCGCTGGCAGCAAAACTACTGAAGGGGCCGGCAGTGCAAACAGCAACATGTAGTGAAGAGTGCCGTGTAAACACAGCATCAAAGGCTAGGAGGGCCCCCACCCCCACCTCGTCCTCCCCCTAACTGTGTAGCCAACAGCTTATTGACTCATTAAATCTGGCCGCTGTCATGGGAGTGCGTCTAGGCGGGTTTTACTGGAAGGAGTAGATCAAATGAGCCGGAAAGGCCTTCTTCAGCCGGACATCTCTTGTGATCTCTCGTGCTTTTGTATTTAAAAGGCGCGATATATAAGAAAATCATAATAATAATCTGGTCACTGTTTGTGGGAGGGACAGAAGATACGTACACAGTCCATTCACTTTACGGTGTGTCCCGTGAAGCGCTTTGAGATGTCTCGAAGATGTGATAAGGCGCTGTGTCAAATGCGAGGATTATTATTATTATATTACTGCTGAACTGGGGGAGGAGAGGGGTGCGGGAGGGAATTGTCAGCCAGGACACCGGGAGAAACTCCCATCTCTTTTCGGTAAGGAAAGGGATCCTTCACGTCCACCTGAAGCGGCGGAGATGGGACCTTGGCTTTAACGTCTCAGGATCGTGACCCCCCCCCCAGTTACACAGGGCCGAGCGCTTTACAGCTCCGAAGAAATACTGGGACCGCATTTTAAAGAGGGGATTAAAGGATCCGTTTAATTTCTCGGTGGTTTGCAGGCTAATCTGTTCATTAGGCTAATCTCAAGGGCGACTTGTGGAACAGTTTAGCCGTGCTTGCGTGCTGAACTCAGGCTAAATCCTTCCTCTCCGAGGTTTTAAGAAGTTGCGTCGAAGGGAAAAGGAAAGGGGAAAGAAAGAGAGGGCTGAAGCGTTTCCACTTGAGACACTCTTAGGTGAGAGGTTAAACCGGGGGTCTGTCTGGCAGTTCAGGTGGACGTTAAAGATCCCACTTCACTACTCGGAAAGCGTAGCGAGTTTCTCTTCTCTCTCTCTCTCGCGCGCTGTCCTGGCTGACGATTCCTCCGGATAAAATTGGGCACTCAAGTGACTCGTGGCTGTGTTTTGGGTCATCGCCGCCCGGAAATTGGCTGCTGCTTTTGCCGACAAAATACACGGGGCTGGGGCTGACTTGGCTACAGGACTCCACTGTAGATTGACGGGTGGGGAGAGGGCAAAGAGGTGAGAGAGAGAGAGACCACAAGGGGATTTTGAAGGTCAAACCCTGGGTGGTCTCCAAGCCAGAAGTTTTTTGCTGTTGTACTGGGAAGCGGTGGAGACGGGCGAAAATCGGGTGGGGGAATGAGGTGCGGTGGTGGTGGTGGGGTGGGGGGGGGGTTGGATAGTAATAATAATAATCCTTGCATTTGCCACAGCGCCTTATCGCGTCCGTCGTCGAGACGCCTCAAAAGCGCTTCGCGGGTTACACCGTAAAGTGGAGCGACTGTGTGTCTTGTGGGCGAGAGAGCATTGAAAATGGAAGCGGGGTGGGGGGGGGGGGATGCGTGCACGGGGAGGAAGGTGTGTGTTTGAGAGGATTAAGGCTAAGCTGACGCTGGTGTTATTGAAGGCCATCGCAGTGCGTTCATTAGAAAAAAAAGATTTTAACCCTTCGAAGAGGGGGTTGTGGTGGGGGGAGAGAGGAGGCGTTGGGTTGGGGGGGGTTGGGGGAGCGGCGGGGCTTGGCTGGGGCAGGTCAAGCTCAGGCCTCGAATCAATACGAATACCTTTCCCATCTGCTATTGATTTTTTAAATAAAAAAATGCCTCTCTCAGAGAAGGCTGAGACTTCGAGGCACTTTGCGTACATATTCCACGCGAGACGGCTTCTGCCTTCGTTTAACGTCGAATCCTTTGCAGACTGGGAACCCCTTCCCCACCCCACCACCCCCACACCCCAGTGGGGGAGCTTCTAATTCAATGCAGTTTTATGCCTCGGTTCCGATCTCCCCTGCCCCAGATCCCGCCCCCACCCACCCCACCGTTCCGGCCGCACTCCCGTTTAATGGGTTCCCGTGTCTCCGCCAAAGCCCCTGATGCTTCCAGCTTTGAGTTAGTTGCTGCAGGTGGTTAGGTGATCAAATAGTTGTCATAGTTACCGTGAAGAAAACCTTTCCTTCTCTCTCTCCCCCTCCCTCTCTGTGTACCAATTACCCATCCCTCCTGTGTGCGTGTGTGTGTGTTGCGCGCGTGTGTGTATGTGTGTGTTGCGCGCGTGTGTGTATGTGTGTGTTGCGCGCGTGTGTTGTGTGTGTTGCGCGCGTGTGTGTGTGTTGTGTGTGTTGCGTGTGTGTGTGTGTTGCGCGCGTGTGTGTATGTGTGTGTTGCGCGCGCGTGTGTATGTGTGTGTTGCGTGTGCGCGTGTGTGTGTGTTGTGCGCGTGTGTGTATGTGTGCGATGTTGGATACAGCGCTGTTTGATGCTAATGACCTGTGTCCCGATGTCACTCTAATTGGGACTAGTTTTGTTTGCGCCTCGCAGCGAGGTTTACCGAGGTTCTGAAAACAATTAGCTTCTCCGAATCTCCCTGCCGTTGATTTTGCTAAATTCCTGTGAGAACGGCCAAAGAATAATAGTAATAACAACGCTAAGATTCCTCGCATTTGTCAGATCTTCGAGGCGTCTCGAAGCACTTCAAACGAATGCACTGTAAAGTGAATTGACTGTGTGTTTTGTGGGCGAAACGCAGCGGCCAATTGTCCCACAAACACTCGTGGATTGAGCGAGCAAATTATTATTAGACATTGAGGGTTAATCTCGAAGCAGACGGCTTTGGGAGTGAGCAGCGAGCTGCAGTGAAGCCTGTGTTGGTTTTGGCCCCGTTTTAAGCCCGTTAAAGGTCAATAAACTATTGGAGGGGACGGGGGGGGGGGTTGTGGGGTGAACCCTCCGCACATCTGTTCAGCTCTGTCAGTAACTCTCTGCAGAATATACACAGGAAAAGCTCCTTCCTGACCACGTTGGTGGGTAATGAAACGTTCAACATGTTGGGAATTGTATGACCCAATGTCCCAGAAATTAAGATGACATTGAAATGACTCACAATTGCGCACATCATTCTCGGTCATTAACAAAGGGATTAATTACTGGATGGGTTCTGATTATAATAATAATAATAATAATCCTTGCATTTGATATAGCAAATACAACTACAAATTATAGTAAATACTTTCTGATTCCAGCAGTGGCGTACAACCTGATCTGATTCACCGCATCAGAACGATCATAAATCGCACTGCTCCAGCCTCACATCGGCCTCTTCACGGGCTTTTGCCGTAAAGAGTAGTGACTGTGTATTTCGGTGGCGTGGGCAAGCAGCCCATTGGCGCACAGCAATGTCCCCCCCTTCAGACGTGAAGTGAATGACTTGATTTTATCTGATGCGGAAGCAGGGGAGGGGAGAAGGGGCATTGTCGGCTAGAACACACACACACACACACACACAGAGAGAGAGAGTTTTTAAATGATATACCTACGTAACAACAACAACAGCAGCAGCAGCTTGCGTTCACACAGCGCCCCTCGTGCAGGACAGCGCGACATAAAAAAAACATTTTAAAAAAAATTTAAAGCAAATTATCTTCTGTACCTCTCATCCGTTCCTCCACGCACACCACACACGCGCACACACACGCGCACCACACACACACACACGCGCACCACACACTGATATTACCTCAATCCCCAGTTCATAGAGGTTTTACCTGCAAGATCCAAATTGGATTCCGTCCATCGGCTCGCGCGCAATCAGATTTCCGAGGCCCCGGTTTATTTTTCATAATGAAATTGGGGAACAATAAGGCTCAAGTAAATCCTGCCGACAGGGAACCATCGGAGACGAGAGCATGTATTTTTTATTAGTGCTGCGAGGTGCCACGTGCAGTTAGAAGGCTTTTTATTCTTCTGGTTTTATATTTGTCCTGGTCTGTGTGCCCGCGTGAGCCACATTTCGCCCACAAAATACTTACAGTACATCCAGCGACGCGCTTTGAGACGTCTCTCGACAAAGTGAGAAGGCCCTCTTATCAAAATTCAAGGATTATTATCATTATTGTTATCCTCCGCAGCTTTTTTCGCCAGTTTCCTTTCGCTTCGCTCTTTGGCGGCCGCTAAGGGTTAAATTGCAATCTAATCGGATTTTCACCTTGTAACTCGAATTGAGTGCTTCGTATTCCGAGACCTGTTGGGCCTGGGGGATTGCAATTAGGAGAGGTTTTAATGGCTTTAAGTATAATTAAATTGCTCGCCACAAAACCCGAGGAAATTTGGCTTTCGGTAACAAGCGGGAGGGAAATATGATTAGCTCGCCCTTTGATTTGTCAGCCTGTGTCTATCGCTGAGCTAATCAAGTAAATTATATTTGGAAGTTAAAAGATCTAGCGTCTCTGTTTCGCCCTCTCTATTCCTCGTCTTAAATCGTCGCCGGTTCAATTGGCAGCTTATTCCGAATCCCTTGCAATGAAGTAACTTAATTAAGAGTCCTGTCGAGTTTTTTTTTATATGTGTGTGAGTGTGTATGTACATATATATATATATATAAATTTAGTTCATTTGATTACTTTTCTCACGACTATAATGATAAATAATCCTTGCATTTGATACAGTGCTTTATCAGGTCTTCAAGGCGTCTCACAGCATGCACTGTAAAGTGGAGTGACTGTATTTTGTGGGCGAAACGCGGCAGCCAGTTGGCACAGCGACGTCCCCACAAACAGCTGTAGATTGAGTGACCAAATTATCCTTATTTATTTTTCTAATGGTCCCTGGTCTGTAGGGTACGACTCTGTGCTCCTGGTCTGACCTCCTCTTATGGTGGTTGGGTTACAACTGTGCTGTGTATACGATACAATATAAAATTGCCTTTGCATCAAACCTTTCAGGTCGGGAGGACTTCTCAAGGAGCTGGACAGTCAGGGATTTGGACCCGAGCTGGGAGGGAGGGTGGAGGACAGGGAGGGTAGGAGTTTGTCCGAAGATATGGTCAAAGAGGCAGGTCTTGATATGTAAGGTCCCACACTGCTAGAGATTGTGTGTCTCACTAACCAGCACTTACGAAAGTCCGAGCCCCAGATCTAACCTCTCGATCTCTTCCGATTTCTCCGGTTTCTCTCCCGTTGCCGTGGCAGGCCAAGCGGGAAAGGGCGGCAAAAAGCCAAGCGGCGGGGCTGGCTTCCTGCAGGACCTGTCTGACATGAGCGACGAAGAGGAAGATGGCGGCCAAGAGGAAGATGGCACCGACGCCTCTATCCAAGTGGAATCTGACGGTACGTCTCTTTGTAAACGCCCGTTAAAGCTTTCGATGTGTTCATTTAACACCGTGGCTAACTGAAGACATCAGCAGCCAGGTCCCATTGCAGGCCCCATCACACCAGTCCCCGCCAGGCTCCGCCGGCTCCCCTAACACTGAACGGATCAATTTCAAGACCGTCACACTCCACTTCGAACCCGTTCATGTCCTGGCATCTCCCTACCTCTCCCACCTGCTTACCCCACAAGTCACTACCCACTGCCTCTGCTCGACTGGCTCCATCCGACCTTTTTCGTGTCCCTCGTTACCCTCCGTTACAATATGGCTTTCAGCCACTGCGCCCGAAACTCTGGAACACTCTTCCTCTATTCCTCCGTCTTGACCCCTTTCTTCCCAATCTTCGGGTCGCGCCTGAAGACCTTCCTCTACAGGTAGGTGGGTGGGGGGCGGGTGTGGTGATGGTGGGGGGAGGGGGGAGAGGAATTGTTGGCTGGGACACTGGGAGAAACTCCCTTCTCTTTTCAAGTAGTGCCATGGGACCTCGGTTTAATGTCTCAATTGCTGCGTTGTCGGAGATGCCATCAGTTTAAGCCTTTCGGTGTAGGGACAGCACCTGTGATAGTGCAGCACTTTCATTGAACCATACAATTTACATTAATCTTGCGCCTTTCACACCTCCGAGGGCTTCAGCTGAGCGTTAGTCTAGACTGTGCGAACTCAAAAGTCTTGACGTGCGGAATTGAACCCACGACTTTCTGACTCAAAGGCGAGAGAGAGAGAGAGTGTGTGCTACCGACTGAGCCAGGCTGACGTCAAAGCTACCTGTTTTCTCAGTGTTAACCACCCGATGAATTTCCGTTCGAGACCTGATTGTTGTGTGTGTGAGAGAGAGAGAGAGAGAGAGAGGGCGAGTGGTGCTGACATTTGCTGGGTTTAACTTAACTCTCTTCCTGGTTTGGATCCGGAGCCAAGGCTATCTTTAGCACCAGAGGATGGAGGAACAGTCGGTGTCATCAGGCGGGTTTGTAGCAGGTAGTGAGCTTTGCTTCAAAGATAAAAAGCTCTCTCTCTCGAGCCAGATATAGCTTGTCTGGAACAGTCTCGTGTCAGATAATTTACGAAGGTGACGATACAGAAATCCGACTGACGTCTAAAGCTGTATATCATAGAGACAGAGTCACACGTCCACCATGGGGATGGGATGGTGCAAATTGCAGCAAAACATTCAATAGCAACTTCGGAGCGGGAATTGGAGAGCTGCAGTACTTGAAAAGGGAAAATTTACGGGGGAGTGGGACTAGTTGGGCAGCTAAAGAGCCGGCAGAGCCGCAATGGGCCGAATGGCCTCCTCCTCTGCTGTAACATTCTATGAGTCTTAAGTGGCTGTTCATCCCACCAAGACTGCAACACATCTCTCCACCCCTCCCCGCCACCATCAGCAGCCAGCCCCGAACTCCTGCTTCAGTCCCTCTGCCTCGTACCCCTCTTTGTCTTGTCTTTAAATCCCAGTCAAAGACCTCCCTCTTTGACCACATCTATGATCGCCTGTGTGTGTGGTGTGTGTGTGTGCGTGTGTGTGTGTGTTGTGCGTGTTTGTGTGATTTGTGCGCCAACCGCATTCAGAATCCGTTTTGCTTTCGAATAACAGATCAGCGCACAAATTGGCCACCACATTGGTTTACAAAAGTGAACAGTCACTTCGCCTGGCAGTTATTCCCTGCGAAGCTCTTTGAGACGTTTCGATGTATTTATTTATCTATTTATTTATTTACTTACTTATTTATTACTTATGTATTATTAATCGTGCAGAGGGCAACTTAAAAAAAATCTCTCCGCACGCCCTCACCCCCTCCGCCCCGCGCTATACATTACAATAGTAATGCTGAGTAAATGCATTGTGATGATTTTTTTTTATGTATAAAGTTTAATCTTTTCTAACGCACATCAGCACTTAGAGTCGCGGCTGGCGAGTAATTAACCCGCTTGATTCATTAATGCGCGAGCTTCCGATCCATTAATGTTGCTGACAAATGGCAAATTAGATGTTATTCCAGTCTATGTGCTCCGTCAAGTGATGGTTCAGTAATGGGAGCAACAAATCACCAGCTCAGGGCTACAGTAACGCGCAATACTGTGCTTCGTGGGGTGAGAAAGGCAAAGATATTGAGCTCACACGGTCTAGGCTGATGCTCACGACTGTGTTGTGGGGGGGAGGGTTGGTAAGAGGATGATTGGGGGTGGGGGGGAGAGCTTTCTGCCAGTGACATTGTGGATAAATGGGTCAGGATAAGAGGGTGAGAGTCAGGGGGGAGCGTGGGGGGCGGTTGCAACCCCCTGTTCGATGATGAAAAGGGGAGTCGGAGCTCGTGAAAATCTCTCCTTCCTCTTTGACGCTTTTGCTCTCAACCTTTCGTTTCAAACAAAACAGGCGAGGAAGAGGGAGGTTCCCAGAAGAAAGGGCCGAGCCGGTTGTCTCAGTCTGACCTGCGGGAGCTGGCGGAAGGCGGCGAAGACCTGGTTGAGGAGTTGGAGCTGTCGGACGAAGATTAGAGAGTCCTGCGAAATCCCTCCAACCAGCGCAGTCCTCCCGAAGGCCTCCAGAAATAGCCCGGGTTCTTGGGCTTGGGGGCTTAAAGGGGCAAAAGCCCGAAGTACCACCCGGTCTCTCACGAAAACGCCCGGGAAAATCCGGTCTTTAAACTGGGAATTCTCGTATGAAGAGCTTCGGAAAAAATGGCTTCAAATTGAGCCTGATTTGAGGAATTCTCTACCAAGTCCTGGGACAGTTATTGGAACGATTTCCCCCCCCCCCCCCCCCCCCCACACCCCCAAATCCACAATTTCTGACTTTCCCCGCAGTGAATACATTGGCTCTATATTTCAACCGCGCGCGATGTTCAGTATTTTCCCACTCGGTTACTTGTTGGCTGTTTCGTGGTTTATTTTGTATGAATAAAACCCAGTTTTTCACGTCTTGGCACCGGTTTCATTCCCACTTTCGGCAATGGGTGTCAGCCTGGTAGCGCTCTCGCCTCAGGGTTCAAGCCCCCTCCACCCCCACGCACCTACCCAATCGGGGCTGTGGGGTTGGGGGGGAGGGGGTGTGAGGGTGGGTTCCATTGTCGGAGGTGTCGTCCTTCGGATGAGATGTTAAACCCGCTTGTGCCTGACCGATTGGATGTTAACGATCCCCACGGCACGAATTGAAAAGAGAAGGGAGTTTCTCCCGGATTCCAGACCCAACAAATCCCTCAAATAGCATCGGTCAATGGCAGTTTGTGGGACGTTACTTACTGTACCCAAACTGGCTGCTGCGTTTCACCCACACAATGAACAGTCACTACTACACTACAGTACATCCAGCAAAGCGCTTTGAGAATGTGCGAGGATTATTATTTATATATATATTATATATAGATATATATAATGCTGCTTTTTTTCCTTGTTGCTTGGTCTTTCTGTACGTGGGGTAATTATTTCCTGTGTTGTGGTGACTCCAGAGTTGCTGTTTAATCTGTCCTTGGCTTCCTCGACAATCAATATTAATGCAGCTCTTAGTACAGTAATTAGTTCTCATCGCACCATACTCCATAAACTGCATCTGAATTTAGTCTAGACGGTTTGGGAGTAATAGGAACGGCCTGAGTTATCGTTAATTTGGTGAGGAGTTTCCGGCGATGAATAACATTTAAAAAGTGCCGTGTTTTCAAAGTTTGAGGTTCGCAGCTGGGGTAGGAGGGGGTGGGGGGGTGGGGGGGGGTTTGCTGTGTGTGAGAGGTATCATTGGTGTAGATTAGAAGGTAACTGTTTAATTCTCTGCTGGGTGTGGATCCTCTTTCCAGGGCATTTTATCGAGCGGGGATTTTCAATGTGTAGCGAAGCTTCTCTCTCCTCAACACCTTATTCCCAGAAGCTTTTAAGTTAATTCGAATTCCTTGCTTCTGCATTTAAATTTCTCACCCCCAACCTCCCTCCCCCACCCCACCTGACCTCTGTAACCACTTGTAACCCTTAATAATCCCTCCAAAACCAAAAGCAATAATAAATTGGTCATTTTCAATCCACGACTGTTTGTGGGACATTGCTGTGCGCAATTGGCTGCTGCGTTCGCCCACAAATATACGGTCCATTCACTTTACAGTGTGTTCTGTGAAGCGCTTTGGGACGTCCTCCCGACGTGAAAAGCGCACTTATCAAATGCAAGGATTATTATTATTATTAATGGCCTCTGCTTCATGTCATTGTTTCCACCACCACCACCACCACCCCAGCTCTCTGGAACCCCACCCCCCCAGAATCTCTTTCCCCTCCCCCCCCCTTCTCCTTCATCCCCACCTTTAAGTGGAGATTGCTGTGGGCAAATCGGCCGCCGTAATTGCTTTCCAAACACACAGTCACCATACTTTACAGCGTATCCTGCGAAGCGCTTTGCAACGTCTCGAAGACCCGATAAGGCGCTGTGCACATAACACAAGAACATCAGAACATCAGCAAGGCCAAAAAAAGATCTAGTTTGCCTTCCACCTTCCTGCCGGTCGGCTGCACATATGTCCTGAACGCCCTATGTGCTGTATCCCATAAATGTTATTTCCCAAAAGAAAACTGTCTAATCGTGTTTGAAAGAATTTCCTGCTTGAACCGTCTTCCCAGGGAGCCCGTTCCACAGGTTCACTGTCCACTCACTGAAATGCAAGGATTGCACATGGCAAAGGCAAGAACTTTAATTGTCTTCACTCGATTTCACTTCAGAACGAAGACTATTACGGACAGTGTTGGGACTGTGGTCCGACTGTCTGAACTGCGGTAGCTCCACAGACGGCATTAATACAACCCAGTAAGTAACTTCCTCCTCAGTGTTACAGTAAAGTCTCATTGATTCCCAGTCTTTGCTCTGAAATGTAATAGTGTGTTCTTCTCCCGTTTCCTCTTTTCCTTTCTATGGCACCGCTTCCAGAATTTCTTTGGCATAAATTTCCCTTAAAGGTTTTTTTTATATCCATTAGCGCTTTAGTTCGGTTACGTATATATATATGTATATATATATGACATATACACATAGGTAGAGTATGACCAAAAAGTCCTGATAACAATTAAAATGTCTAACAAGTATTTCAGAAATTATGATTTTTTTGTTTTGTTTCAGATAACAATACATTAATATCACGACTTTTTGGTCACTAATTATATATATATATACACACACTATATATGTATATATATATATGCATAGTGTATGTAAATGTGTGTGTGAGACTTGCTTTATTATTGCTTGTTTTTTATTTTAATTGATGCTTTAATTAACATTTCTCCTCACTGTGGACGCTATATTGGCGTGTCAGCCTGGCTCGACGAGCCGCCAGCTCGCACTCTTGCCTCCCGAGTCAGAAGGGGTTCAAGCCCTAAGAAAAGCGGCGCTATTCGAAACCAGAAGAGAGTTTCTCTCCCGTGTGCTGGCCTTGTATTTGGGATTTTAAATGCCTTTCAGGCGGGAGGGTGTCTCAAAAGCGCTTCACCCGATATTCTGTGCAGTGGAGTGACTGTGTGCATCTTGCAGGCGAACGAGGCAGTTCTGAGATGCTACCCTGCTTGTATCAGCGCAAATTGTTGTCGTTGGTGAGTGCTTGTACAATCTCCAATGAATAGTCCACCAGTCACCCCCCAACGCACACTCTCGGGTCCCTAAGCCTTGGCTCTCGCCAACGCGCACCAAATACTTTTCGGGATTAAGTAAACAGGGTGCGTCGCAAGGGGAGGGAGAGAGAGAGAGAGAGAGAGAGTGTGCAGTCCAGTCCAACCATCTACCTCTGGGATTTCCATGTAGAGGTGGGAAGCATGGAATTCTCAGCTTGGTTTGGAGACCCTTTGAAGCGTGTGTCGGACACCCGGCTGAGCCACATAGGTTCTAAGTGAGCGCGAGTGTCGCCCAAGAGGTTTGTGGAGCGTCGAACTTCGGGCCAACGTTGAACAGGGAATTGAGGAGCAGGGCATCGTTCGACTCCACTCCACCACAGCCCATTCCATGGTCCATGTATTCCAACCCCTCCTAATCCCACCTTCCCAACAAATCCCATCATAATTGTTCTCCCCACACAGATCCCCATCTCTCTCCCTCTCTCTCTCTCTCTCTTAAATCCTTCATCTGACGTCTCGTCTCTGGCTTTCACACTCCAGTGCATTCCAGATCCTCGTTACTGTGAGTGACCTGCGAGCCGGGTGAGCATAAATCAGTCAGCGTTAACATCTGGAGGGCTTTCTCCCACCGCTCACCTTGCAGCTCCGCTCGGTCGACCTTTCGTAAGCTCCAGCTCCTCTCACTCAGACACACACACACGCACACACACACCCACAGCTCGTCTCCTCTCCCTCCAGGCTCCGCTCAATCCCATTTCTGCAGCGGATCCAAGATCTTCAAAGCCTTTCAAATCTCTTCATGCTGTTTATCCTCCACGCAAGCCGCCACTGCTCCTATTCCCCATCGCCTGTAATATATATAATCCTTGCATTTGATACAGCGCCTTATCACGTCGTTGAGACGTCTCAAAGCGCGTCATATACTGGGTATACTGTAAAGTGGGTTGACCGCCACAGTCAATTGCACACAGCAGTCGTCCCACAAACAGTCGGGGAGCCAGTGGCCAAATTTATTTTTTGGAAGGATTATTACCACCAGAAATTAATCCGGCAATCGACTAACCACCAGGTTCCTACTTACTGCTCGGCAAACAGAGGCTTGTGTGTGAAAAGTAAGAAAATTTGCCTAAGGTTTTGCTCTGCCCGGGAATCGAACCCGGGTCCTCTCGCTAGCGAGGCGAGTGCTTTAACCCCTACTTTGGGACGGATATCCTCAGTGACTCTGCCGCCTTCTCCCTTCCATTACATTAGCTGGAAAGGCATAACACTTGAAGGGGAAATATCAATTAAAAGCTCACGGTTGCGAGAGAAAGAAAGCACACACGACAGTAATGGGTCGGTTCAGATTTTCGAGTTTTATTTCACTAAAAGTGAAAGACAAGAAGGAAAGCAAATCAACAAAAAAAAAGTTATCTTTTACAAATCACCATTTTCTCAATGTTTACAGCTGCATAACTTTTAAAATGATAGTTTGACGCATAATCGGGCTGTGTTGTGGCCGTAGCCAGCGAAAGGAACAGCAAAAGTCTTTGAGAACAACATTTCTCTGCCCCAATTTACGTACGGCACCTTTTTTGGGGGGAGTTTTTTTTTTAGGGCGGAGAGGGGGAGGAGGGGGGGGGGGGAGGATGGCTGAATATTACCATATAGTGCTAAACAGTATTTCAATCTACAAACAAAAATCTCCATAAATAACGTAGATATCCATTGAAACGATTGCTCTCAAGCAGCAATTTAAGGTGATAGTAATATTATTAATAATAATAATCCTTGCGTTCGACATGGCCCCCGTCTCATTTCTTTGAGGCGTCTCAAAGCGCTTCACGGGACTTACCGTAACCCGGACCTGTGTGCATTTTGTGGGCGAAACACGGCAGCCGGTTGCGCTCAGCACTGTCCCTCCCACAAACAGTCGTGGAGTGAGTGACCAAATTATTATTATTATGTTGTCTGTAATAGCGTGAGTAAAAAAGGTAAGAAACTCACTAACTCTAGCAGTTCACCATTTCTTCCACACCCCCCCCCCCACCCCACCCCACTCCCCTCCCCTCCCTCCCCCACCCTTCAGACAAAACAATCTCAAAAAACCTGCAACTACACTTTACAACAAAAGGGAATAATAAATACCGAAGAAAAAAAAGAAATCGGTGGTAACTAATTTATTTCTTTGTCTTTGTACATTTACTTTTTCTTGTTTTTTTTTAAGAGAGAGAGAGAGAGAGAGGGCGGGGTGGGGGGGAGGGTGGGGGGGGGGGATTGGTGAGAATATAGGGAATAACCCTATCTCTAAAAGTCTCCTCTGTGCAGAATTTATGGTCTCACTTCAGACCTGCAAATGGGCGAGCAGTAATAATGACCTGTAATAATAATAATAATAATCCTTGCATTTGACACAGCGCCTCGTCGCAACCTTCAAGACGTCTCAAAGCGCTTCGCGGAACGCGCCGCAAAAAGTGTGTGAAGTGACCGTGTGTTTTCTGCGGGCGAAACACGTCCCCTCCCGCAAACAGTCGTGGACGGAGCGACCCGATTTCGTATCGTTTTTTTTTATATATCTATATACCGTGAGACATGGCACATCCAAACTGCAGGCAAATAAGAGAGCTGTACCATTCCGAGATGCACTGTAAACACAGACCCTTAGCCATCCATCTTTGGTTTAGCACTGGATGAATGCATAGATGCTAATAACAAGCTTCGAGTCCTCCGCTAAACACTGCGAGGACTGCAGTGATCACTCAAGGTTATTGTTTAGTCCCAAGCTTGTGGTTAAAACCTTTTTATTTGGTACAAGTGCGTGCGTGTGTGTGTGTGTGTGTGTGAATTTTTCCAACCCTCCCCACCAAACCCTCCCCATCCCTCCCTCTTCCTTCACTTCACTCTTCGGTTTCCCGGTCTCTTTTTTTTTCGTTTTTTTTTCTCCCCGTTTTCGTTTTTGACTCGATTCCTGCCGGTTCTGAGGCCGAAAAAAAAAAAAACACGCATCCGTTCGATGGCAGACCGTCGCTGCCCCCGGTGTGGTCTGCTGGCTTCCAAACCCGCTGCCTGTCCGCGTACTTTCCTCCGTTAAACGTTTTGAAAAACGTCCTCCCTCTTCCTGGTGGCTTGCTTTTGCGAAGGATAAAACTGTAACCTCAGCCTTGATTTTAGGGCGGTCGGTGGTGATGGTGGCGGTGGTGGGGAGGGGGGGAAAGGGGGTGGTGGTGGGGCGGGAGAAAGAGAAGAGGGTTGGGGGGGGAGTGGTAGGGGGAGAATTTCTTTTTGCCCCTCACACACACACACACACACACACATACACACACACAAAATAACCTTTTTGTTTCCAAGGAATGCGGTAAAACAACAAATCGGTGCCTCGGGTATAAAGTCCTTTGGTTTTGAACGACGGCAAATTGATTTCTCTCGACTTTTTTATGCTTCCGAGCGAGCGAGCGGGCGGGCGGGCCGGCGGGAACGTCGGGAATCAGGACTGCGGCTTCATGGCCTCGTTGATGATGCCCGACGAGGAGTTCCCGTTCTCCTGCTTCGGCGAGACGCGGCTGACCAGCACGCCGCCGTACGGAGAGGCCACGCTGCCGGTGGACGAGGGCCGGTTGTCGCTCACCGGGAGGTCCCGCTCGGCCGGCCTGAGGGCCGAGGGCTGCAGGGGCAAGGCCAGAGGGAAGCTGGCCATGTACAGCACTCTGCCGATCCGCTTGGCAACCTGCGAAAGCAAGGTGACGATCGTAAATAAATAAGCGCCTCAAAGCGCTTCACGGGATATACGGTGAAGTGGAGTGACTGTACGTTTGGTGGGCGAAACGCGGCAGCCAACGGCGCACAGCAGCGTCCCCACGAACAGTCGTGGATTCAGTGACCGAATTATTCTTTTTTTTAAGGGATTATTACCCCCGGAAACCAATCCGCCAATCGGCTGACAACCGGGTTCCTCCTCACTGCTGGGTAAACAGGGGCGTGTGTGTGGAGTAAGGAAACTTGACCAACGTTTCGTCCTGCTGCCCGGGAATCGAACCCAGGTCTCTCGCTTGCGAGGCGAGTGCTCTAACCACTGAGCTACAGGACAACGTTAAGGGGTTTAACCAGTGGTGACCAACCTGTGGCCCTTGGGCTGGAAGTGGCCCACGGAGGCCATTAAGAAGTGGTGCACAACCCCTATCCCCCCGAATATTCGCATGAGTCACGGGTTTACGTAAGTCCGTGGCTCGAGCCCGAGCTAGGGTGTTTTCAGTTTATTTCTTGACTGCGAGACCTCGAGGGAATGTTTGTCTGGAGGGAGTTGGGAGGAAAGACCAAGGGATTTCCAAGACACTAAAATAGAGAGAACGTAAAGGTGGGAATGGTGGGGGTGGGGGTAAAAAAAAAAAAAGGGGAATTGGAATTGGAATTGGAGGCTATTTTCTGGAACTCCAGTCTGTGTGCAAATATGTTGTTGATCAAGCCTGGATGGGGCCATTTTATATGTTTATTAACACATCGTAAAGAGCAATTTCCTAGATTCCTGGATACGTTTCGTTTTGCACCAACGAGAAGCTGTAATTGTGCGATCGGACGAAACCCACGTCTTATGGCACAGATACAGTCACCGCTCAAAGCGACTGGAGGCGGCCAGAAATATTCCGTTTGAAAGCTTCACCGAGAGGGAAGGAAGAAAAAAGATAACGATGGCTGATTATCTATCTATCTATCTATCTATCTATCTATCTATCTATCTATCTATCTATCTATCTATCTATCTATCTATCTATCTATCTATCTATCTATCTATCTATCTATCTATCTATCTATCTATCTATCTATCTATCTATCTATCTATCTATCTATCTATCTATCTATCTATCTATCTATCTATCTATCTATCTATCTATCTATCTATCTATCTATCTATCTATCTATCTATCTATCTATCTATCTATCTATCTATCTATCTATCTATCTATCTATCTATCTATCTATCTAATGCAGCGCTGGGTCAGAAAAGTTGCCAAGAACGTATGAAACAACAGTCGGGCCAGTCATCCCTTTAAAGTGGGCAGAGAGATTTGCCGTCAATATTAATGTTAATCAAAAACATATGTCCAGAAACCAGGACCATATGCGGACTCCTATATCAGTTCGTGAGCAGCTTTCCCCAATCCCCCCCCCACCCCCAGAAACTTTTCGTCCAACTTTTATGCGCGTGCGAAGAGTGAGAGAGAGGGAAAGAGAGAGAAAGAGAGGAGAGAGAGAGAGAGAGAGAGAGAAAAAGGAAGGCTGAAAGACCTTCTTCACCCAAACCGATGTTGTGAGACAGTTTACCCTCATAGGCTTTGAGATTTCTGAGCAGCTCAGATCAATGGCTCGCGATCAGGGCCCCGGGTGCTAATGTGGTGATGTGGAAGGCACGACAGCCAAACAGACTCATCGATTACCTGCGCTCGGATTTTCAGTGCCGGTCCCAGCTTGAGGCCCATGTTGTTCAGTAAGTGCTCTTCTGTAAGGAGGGGTAATGTCTCCCCATCGATAGCCTGGTCTCGAAATACCTGCGTGTTACATACACCCGGCGTTACGCACACTCAGTGTCTGTGCCAGCAGGTAGGGAGGCTCGAAACTCACGATGAACTCACAAACTAAGGCAACTGCGGCTCTCACATTGAGAGGATGTCTCAACGCGCCCCCGCAGGGTCTACTGTATAAAGTGGAGTGCCTGCGTGTTTCGCACAACAGCAAATTATATTTGCACAGCGCCTCTCCTCCTCGTGTTTCTCCCACGATACGCAAATAATACAATATAGTATACACAGTCAATCCACTGTACAATATATGCTGTCAAGCTGTATCAGACGCAAGGATTATTATTATTATTATTACGATTCTCAGACAGATCAAGAGAGCTGGGCAAGAGGGCAACAGGGTCAGGGTTGTGACGGATGAGTTAGGGACAGATGGGAGCAAGTATTTCTGTAGCCGGAGGGTGATCCAAAGGGCAGAACAGGGTTGCAAGGAAAGGTGGTTGAGGCCAGGATGCTGGAACTCATTTAAAAAAACAGCTGGGAAGGATGAGATCAAATGGGCCAAAGGGCTTTCTTCATAGCGAGTGACCGATTTTATTTGGTTTATCTTAAATAGATGTATGCGTTCATTATATTCTTAATGGAGTGCCTTTCAAGCTCGAAGCGCCTCACAGGATCCCCACAGGGTGACCAAAATGTTGTGATGCCATCACATCATCGTTATTATTATTATTATTATTATTAAAGTTCTAATACGTCTTAAGGAAATGCTTTTTAGCTAATAGGGCGGCTGAAAAATAAAGGCTGTACAACGCGAAGCGTGATGTATATTTTGCGGGCGAAACTCTTGTGAATTTGTTTCCCCCCCCCACCCCGCCCCTGCAAATAGCCCCTATTCCCCCCCCACACTCTCACACACACACACGCGCGCACATACCCCTGCACGCACACTTTATTTCCAACAGGAGCACTGAATACAAAGTGCTCCCTCCCGCACACCTCGTCAAAGCTGAGCACTGCGAGCCTGTCACTGACCTGGGTGTATTCAGCACAGCCAGAGAGACCGCTGATGAAGTTACAGACGTCATCCACGGACCATTTGCTGATGTCCTCCACCACAGCGCTGTCCTCTCCATCCAGAAAAAGGCTTCCGATGCTACCTGCGTGTGGAGAGAGGGGGCACAAAGACTTAGATTGAGGAACTACAGTTACGAAGGACTCTTTTAATAATCATAATAATCCTGGCATTTGACACAGCGCCTCATCACGTCTCCGAGACGTCTCAAAGCGCTTCGCAGGACACACTGAGAAGCGAATTGACTGGGCATTTTGTGGGTGAAAGGCGGCAGCGTCCCCACAAACAGTCGTGGATTGAAGTGACCAAATTATTATTATTATTTCTTTGAGGGGTGGGTGGGAGAGGGATCATTACCGCTTGAAAAGTGATCCACCAATCGACTAACAACCGGTTCCTACCGTACAACAGAGGTGTGCGGATGGGATAAGGAAATTTGCCCAAAGTTTTGGAATTGAACCCGGGTCCTCTCGCTTACTCTAACCGCTGAGCTACAGGACTCCCACGTGTCGCCCAATGGCTTGGTTCTAATTGGAACTATTTCAGGCTCCTCATGGACTGGAGCTCAGACAATCCACCCCGTTGCCTATTTCCCCCACAAAACACACAGTGACTACACTTTACAGTGTGTCCTGTGAAGCGCTTTGAGACGTCTCGAAGACGCGATGAGGCGCTGTGTCAAAAGCCAGGATTATTTATTTTTTATTATTATTGTTGTCCAACGGTCGCTCTTTGCGAACCTTAACTTAAATTCCACCTCGTCTTACCCCCAAGGCCGTTCTGCCTCACAATTTTCGTTCTCTGATACTCTGTCCTGGGATCCCTCCAACTCCCTCCCACCCTCCCCGTTTCCTTACTTCTTTTCGGTCTTCTTTACCTCCCCTCCCTATTCAGCCCCCTCCCACTCCCCTGTCTCCTGCCCCCCCACCCCCATTCCCTCCCCCTCCCCCACTGGCTCGGGCAAAAGGACTTCTTTCTGATGTGAGAAAGGGTGCAGTATAAACTGTAACCGGTGCAAAATTCTTCATCTCTCGGTCTCAGTTTGGAAGCTTGAAAAGAAATCAGTGCCTGAATCAAGACCCCCAAAGCGAAGATTTTATTCCCACGACTCTTCACCAACCTTAGAATGTAAGACAAAACTTAGGAGAGAGACTTTTTTATCCTGCTGTATTGGCGGTGACGTAATTCAACGAAGGCCTTTGGCAAGTCGTTTCTCCCCAACCCCCCTTCCTTTCCCCCCCCATCTCTCCCCCCCCCTCCCAACACACACACACACACAGGATCTGTCTCAACTTCAGTGGGTCCACAAGTTGACAGAAACACAAGCCTGAGTTCCAAAGCCCTACACGGACCTGCCAAGAGAGGAAGTGCAGCTGAAATGGGTTCCCCCCCCGGGCTACAGCAGCACACATACGAAGCTACTTAAGCATTTGTTCCCAGCGTGTGGGATCCACAGGGATTCCAGCCTTGGCCTCCCGTCAAGGCACTTCCTCCTCCTGATTCCCATCCAGGAAAAACGTTTAATAATTCCAGCGCAGCCCACGGAGCGAAGGATTTACAATCCGATGGAACACGCTTTGTGTTACTTGTGGCCAGCTCATCCTCCACCTCCGCCTCCGCCACTCCTTCCCCCACGCCCCCTAACTCTCCGCAACTCATCCACACACCCACCCACCCCCACCCCTTCCCAAATGCTTCTACAGCACAGAAGGAGGCCACTCGACCCATCAGTCCAATACTGGCTCTCTGAAAACGCTACCTCTCTCTATTTCATCCCATTCTCCTGCTCCCCCCCAACCCCCACTTCCCCGCGCACACTCTCATATTCCTCATTGCAAGACACTGATCCAATTCCCTCTCCGAGCCATACCATTTGACCCAAGTCGGATACGGTTTCCTAGGTCAAGTGAAGTCTTTTTTGGAGACGCATTTTTTTTCCCATCTCTTTGTTGCTAAGACGGCCAGTTCCGGTTTGACAGGAACAACCTGTGCTTAGTTTAGTTGATAGGGCAGGTCACGTCTTGCTAGATAAGTAGCTATCAAAAGGGAATGGTTCAGGTACTTGGAAAGGAAAAATGTGCAGGGCTATGGGGCAAGAGTGAGGGCAGTGGGGCTAGTTGGATAGATCTTTCAGACAGCTAGAACAGGCACTTCTTCTTCGGACATCCTCCCACCCCGTTGACCTCCACCCACCTTGACTCCAACCCCCAGCTCATGTGTAAACCCTTCACTGTCTTTGACATGTCCACCTGACCTGAAAGGCACATCACAAAATGCCGGCATTATTATTATTATTATTATTATTAAATAATCTCAGTTCAAAGAGTGACAGCTCCCTAAAAAGCTTCCCTGCATGTTAACTTTCCATTGATGTGTTCATTTCCCTTCCCCTCTCATTGATTAACATCCCCAGGCACCCTGGCTAACACCAATTGAGTGCTGTTAAGTTTATGGATTCAGTATTGGCTGCTAACAGCACTGGTCTTAATCTCCATCTGTCGCAACGGTGCTCGTAACCGCAACGCGAAGCCCGGGTCAATATTGGGCTGTTACTTAACGCGTCTCTTGGAAATCCGGTACACCGCCAATATGTAGTTGGGTCAGTGGTTAGAGCACTCGCCTCGCAAGCGAGAGGACCTGGGTTCGATTCCCGGGCTGGTTAGGACAGGACAGGGCAAAACAGTGGGCAAGGTTCCTTACTCCACACACGCACACACACGCACACACACACGCCTCTGTTCACCAAGCAGTAAGTAGGAACCCGGCTGAGACCATACAACAACAGCAACTTGCATTTATATCGCTCCCTTCACGTGGGATAGTGTCCCGGAGAGCTTCAAATAGAGGGACTTGGGGCTTCGGGAAAGCGTGGTTTACGTGTTAAGCAGACTCCCCCCTCCCCACCCACCCACCCACCACCAGCTCGGGGTAGGGATTAAGCACCGCAATTGCATCACCCACCCCACCCCTGAAGGAAATGACAGAGCAGGTGCTCACTTGTGACCTTTCGTCCTTATCTGCTGTATTATATTAAACAGCGCAGATCTGGACTTATAACTGCTGCGTTATATCCGCTAATCTAAATTAGGAGGCTCAGAGTAATACTCTGGTAACAATGAAAGACACTGGCCATTAGGAGACAGCGAGCCGACTGACTGTGCTCCAGAACTAACTACGACAGTCACTCTTAACACGCGGCACAAGCAAAAGTGTTTGCAAGAGGTCCAGTTGAGGAGGGCTCTTTGACCCATTTTACACAGACTGCCCCCCTCCCACCCCCTCTGTTTAATCATTTTTTTAAAAAAAAACCCAATTGAATCCTTGCGCTTGATACGGCGCCTTACCAGGTCTTCGAGACGTCTCAAAGCGCTTCACAGGGTATCTACCGTCAAGTGGAGTGACTGTATGTTTTGTGGGCGAAACGCGACAGCCGATTGCGCGCAGCAGCGTCCCCCACACACAAACAGCCGTGGATTTAAGTGACCGATTGATTATTGTTATTTTTTGAAGGAAACAGAAGAGAGTTTTTCTCTCTCTCTCTCTTTCTCTCCCTTTCCCGGTGTCCGGGCCAACAATAAACCCCAAATAAAATTGGTCACTCGCTTCATGGCTGCGTGTCAGGTATCGCTATCGAACACCGTGGCTCCCACATTAGCCTATAAAAATATACCGTCCCAGTAAGAATAAGAATGACCCTTGCACTTGATTCTTATTGCCTCGTCGAGACGTCTCAAAGCCCTTCACAGAACATATTGAAATGAATTGTTTTGTGAGCCCTCTCTAAGCTCTGAGCTGCATAAAACTCCACCCCCCCCAAAAAAAAATCACGCCGAGCACTTTAGACGCCTCGACGCCGTGATAAAGGCAATGAGTTATTAAAGTTAGGGTTATTAAAGTATGCGACATTTCATAACTGATCCGATGTGCTAATTATCACACCCGACCCGCGACTAAAAGAGCCCCCCGACTCTCGCAGACAGCCTGGCCTCACACGTGACTTAACGACCGCAGGGAGCACTTGGTTTAACCTCGGTGTCAGGCAGAGAGAAACTCGATCCTTAAATGTATTCCTCGCCCAGAGATCAGGTCACATTTGCAGCTTTACTCTCCCCGCAACAGCTATTTCGCATTTTTCTGCTGGCTGTTCCAAAACTGCCAAATGACATTCGCAGACTCTCACCCCCTTCCTCTGGGAGGCCAGACGTTTCTGCCGCTGTTTATTGCTCTCAGGGAAAGGCACTGACCGTGATCATTATCGCATCGCTGATAAATGGGCGTGAGACAGTCAACAGCCGAAGACAGCTTAATGGATGTGTCCGCCCTCTACCACCTTCTCTCATATCTCCCCCTCCCTCTCTCTCTCTCTCCTCCTCTCTCTCTCTCTCTCTCTCTGTCTCCCCCTCCCTCCTCTCTCTCTCCTCCTCTCTCTCTCTCTCCCTCCCTCCCTCCCTCTCTCCCTCCTTCCCCCCCGCTTGCCTCGCTCGCCCTTTACATTTTTTCCGGCTCCGTTTTTTCATTAAGGAACCCCGTTAAAAGACATCACAAATTAAGAACCCCTTCCCTCGATCCAGCCATAATCCACAGCCTCTTGGGGGGGAGAGAGAGGAGAGAGAGAGAGAGAGAGCTCCAGATTCCCACTACCCCTTTGGGTGAAAAACTGCCTCCTGATTTCTCTCCTAAATGGCTCTGATTTTAAGACGATGTTCTCCCCCACTCACCAGACGAAATAGTTTCTCTGTCGCTACTCTATCGAATCCCTTTATTATTTCAAACACCTCAATCAGATCCAAAAACCTCAACCTTCCAGACTCGAGGGAACACAGACCACGTTAAGAGCATAAGAACTTGTGAGACGAAAGAAGGCAAAGGTCCATCTAGTTCCCCTTCCACCCGCAGTCGCTTGACAAGCCGTGCCCCAAACCGTAAGCTTATAATAATAATCCTTCCGTTTGATAACAGCGCCTTATCACGTCTTCGAGACGTCTCAAAGCGCTTCACAGGACACACCGTCAAGTGCAGTGACTGTGTATTTTGTGGGCGAAACTCGGGCTGCCAATTGCGACCAGCGGCGTCCCCACAAGCAGCCGCGGGTTGAGTGGCCAATTTCAGTGCTGTTATTTTTTTTTGAAGGTAATTATTTCCCGCCCACCACCCCGGAAAAAAAGCCACCACCCCCCACCCCCCCACTCGACATAACGACCGGGTTCCTACTGGGATGGTGGGGCTCGACGCAGCCTGCCTCACCTGTGTGAAAGTAAGGGTTGGCAGGGTAGGGGAATCCAAACGGCAGAGGCTGTGGAGGGGGGGCGGGCAGGTATTTTTTACTCTCGTTGATGCCGGGGCCCAGCAAGTGGCCGGGGGCGTCCGTCTCCACGGACACGCAGGGTGGGTTCCGGAGGCCGGCCGCCTCTCTCGCCTCCTTCAGGCCGGGCTCGCCCAGTTTGGCGGCGGAGCTCTCCCTGCACTCTCTGAGTTCGCTGGCAGAGCCTCCGCCCACCTCGGCCTTCAGGCCCTCTCCGCCCTCGGCCTCGCTCTCCGAATCCTTCATCTCCTCGTCGTTCAGTTCGGATGGGCAGTCCCTGGGCCGGACCTCGTGTGGCTCCCGGGTCTCTCCCGGGGCTTGGGGCTCCGTCCTCTGGTGCTGGTGCTGGTGCTGGTGCTGGTGAGGGGCCTTCCTGTTCCCCTTGCGGCTCGGCTCCTTGCTCGCTGCGATGCCCGGGACGGCATGGGCCAGGGACAGGAGTGGGGCAGTGTTGTGCCGGAGCACCAGCATGGCGCTGCGTCGCGACAGCTCCTCCCTCAGCGGGTGCCCCTCGGGGATCTCGTGCAGGCTGCGTAGGGCTGGGTGGTCCGGGGGCAAGCCGGGGTGCAGCCCCAGGGGCTCGCTCCCCAGCATCCGCTGCCGGTGAAGGTTCTCCAGCTCTTTCTGCCGCAGGAGCTCAGCGGACATTTCCAGTCTACAGAGTGGGGGGAGGAGGCGGGGGTTGGGATTGGGGTGGGGGGTCCGAGGGAGAGGGGGCAGGGGGAGAAGGTGGGAGAGAGGAGGTGGAGGAGGTTCAGGGGGGAGAAAAAGGAGGGAGGGAGGGAGAGAGAGAGACAGAGAGAGAAAGAGAGGGGGCATGAGGGAGGCAGGGAGGGAGGGAGATGGAGGGAGGGGGAACGAGGGAATGAGGAGGGAGGGAGTGAGAGAGAGGGGGAACGAGGGAGCCAGGGAGCAAAGGAGTGAGGGAGAGAAGGAAGGAGAGAAAGGCGGGAGGGAAAAGCAGAAGAAAAAAAATCAAAATCACAATCCTCGCATTTCCCTTCGGCTGAAAAAGCTTATTTTTTGCGGCTTATTTTTTGCGGAACAATTCGGGTTTCAAAAATGTGACGTCGCTCAGAACTGCGGACAGTAAAATAGGAACCACATTCCTCTCGTTTGGTTCCAGCGACAAATCGCGTCGTGGGAACATCTCAAAGCGCTTCGCAGGGTTTTTACTGTGAAGTGTAGTGACTGTGTTTTATTTGCAAAAGGCAAAATACTGCAGAACGTTACTGGAACGATGATAATAGCCATATTAATAAAAGTTATTAATAGCATTAATCCTTATTAATCCTGGCATTTGACGCAGGGCCCGATCACGTCGTCGAGACGTCTCTAAGCGCTTCACAGGATGTACTGTGACGTGTAGTGACTGTGTGTTCTCGTGAAGGTCGGCAATGAATCCTGAGGAGAGCTCGTACCTCGCTAGATTCTGCTTCCGAAGCATTTCTTGTTGCCGTGCGAACATTTCCGCTTGTGCGGGCTGCAGAAACCCGTAGCCTGCTGGAGGGGGCGGACAGGAAAGGTTTAAGAGGAACTTTCACACGTTGAGATGAAGTCAATGCATCTTATAAGCACAGTAAACTGCCAGGTCTCCATCACTCCCCGCTCCCCTCTCTCCCACCCTCTCCACACACACACACACACACACCACACACGCACCCCCACACACGCACACACACACACCACCCCCCACACACGCACACACCCCCCCCCCACACACACACACACACCCACACACGCCCCGCAGTTCCCGATTTCACTGGAGCTCCTCACAGAGAGAAACAACCTCCGTTCACCAGACTAGAGACGAAACACACAGGGACAGGGACAGGGACAGGGACAGAGAGAAAGAGAATGAGAAAGACACAGACACAGACACAGACACAGACAGACAGACAGACAGACAGACAGACAGACAGACAGACAGACAGACAGACAGACAGACAGACAGACAGACAGACAGACAGACAGACAGACAGACAGACAGACAGACAGAGAGTGAGAGATGGAGACACCACTCACACACACACACACACATAATGTTTGGCTGAGCGCCTGAGCCGGGGGTGAGGGCAGATAATAATAATAATAATAATAAATAATAATTGCATTTGATACAGCGACTTATCATGTCGTTGAGACGTCTCAAAGCGCTTCACAGGATACACTGTGAAGTGGATTTTGTGGGCGAAACGCGACACTCAATTGAGCACAGATAAGCTGAAAGCCGGGCCAAGCGAAGGTGGGGTGGGTAAGGAGGGCACGTGAAGCAAAGGGGGGGGGGGAAAAAAAACACAAAGGGAAAAAATAATTCAAGTATGATTGAATCCTGGTAATGAACCCAGAGGAGCACAGCAGCTTGTAATTGAGGGCAGCGCTGTGATTAAAAGACTCGTCGACGGCTTTAATGCTTCAAACTGTCCTCCGTTCCAACCTATGACACTTCTACACAGTCATTATTGCTTAATTGTTAACTGGGTCAGAACGTGGCAGGTGGGAACACTAAGTGAGCCCCGAATGGGTCACGGGATCTTACAGTAATAATAATAATAGTAAGAATAATAATCCTTGAATTTGATACCGCACCTGATCACGTCGTCGAGACGTCTCAGAGCGCTTCACGGGAGTGATTCCCCCACAGCTGTGTGTGGGACGCTGACCGTTTCGCCCACGGAATACACCGTCACAACACTATTATTATTATTATTATTATTATATTATCATTCTGCCGCAGGACGATTTCAATAGGCGCCCGAAATCCGGGAGAAATCCCGAGAATTCCCTGAATTACCTGGAGTCTGGCACAGGGCTGACGGCATTCCCAGGAACGGGGGTCTGAGGTGTGGGCCCAGGGCGATGTGTGGGGCGTTCTGGGGCGAGAGCAGAGGATTGGGGTGAGACATTTCCCTGGAAAAGAAGAGAACACAAAACAGTCACCTTCTGGGAGGATGTAAGGGGTGGGGGGAGAGTTGAGGGGTGGGGTGGGGGGGGGTGGGGGGGTGTGGCGGACGAGGGGTTGGAGTGAGGGCATTGATTGGAGAACATCAATTAGTGAGTGACCACAAACACCTTCCCTTTGTTGGTGCCATCGTTGGGAATATTGTGGCCCAAGCCTCCCCCACCCTCCCCACTCCGCCCGCCCGCCAGACACACGATTCCACCCGGTCCCAGCCTGCCTCGAAACACTCCCCCGTCAAGTCGGATTGCGGCAAATCACGGTCAACGGCGAAACTGCGCATTGCTTGGACGGGAGTTTTTAAACCGGGAAGTTTGGGAACGTTGACAATCGACCGGATTCGGGCGCAGGGTTTGGGGGTTCAATCCCGGCCTCTGGTAGGACCCGCAGACCTGCGATCGGACAGTCTGTGGCTCTTTGGGAGGAGGGGAGGGGAATTGAGGGGGTGAAATTCTCTGCCTTAACATCACAATTTCCTCAAACACTCAGGTGCAAATTCACCCCATATGTAATATAAAAATCCTGTAATATATATTATATATATATATACTCCTCGTCTCTCCCTCTCTCTCAGCCTCGCTCTGTGTGTTCAATTATTAACAGGGCCCCTTGTTGGAGCAGCAGGTGGACTCGGAGCAGATTTCCACAGGGATGTGAAGCCCGGAGTTTATTAATATTTTAAAAAAAAACACACGCGCACACAAACACAGACCTCCCCTCATTGCGGAGAAGAAGAGAGAGCGAGAGAGAGAGAGAGAGAGAGAGAGAGAGAATGAAACACCTTTCGCAACCGCCGCAGTTATCATTGGAGACGATGTGCACATTTTTATATTAAGAACATTGATAAGAAAAGACGAGAGAGAGAGAGAGAGAGAGGCAGAGGGAGAGAGGGAGGTTTCGCCCCCAAATACTCCACTTTACAGTATAATCCCGTGAAGGGCTTCGAAGACGTCTCGAAGACGTGATAAGGCGCAATATCAAATGCAAGGATTATTATTGTTATTATTAATATTATCAGGTATCAGTCAATAGTTTGATGCCTCCCCCCCGCCCCCCGAGAGAGAGAGAGAGAGAGGGCAGATGGATGGGGTTACCAAAGATTATGTTATGTTCACTGCCTGCTGATTGGGGAGGTGGGGGGGAGGAGGTGGGGGGGGGGGGGGGGAGAGAAGGAAGGGGTCGCTGGAGGCTGTAACGCAGGCCAGCAGTCAGACATAAAAGCTTAGCCTCCTCTCTCCACTGAGCGAGGAACGGCAGCCAGTTTCTATGGTGATGCCCACAGCCCCCACTGATGAGGAGGATGATGAGGCTCAGAGGTTTAGTGTGTGTGTGTACGTGTGGGGGTGTGGGGGGGGGGGGGGGAATGCAGAGGGGGAGAAGGGGGTGAAGAAATAACAACAACAATCCTTGCAATAATTATTAATAGTAATAATAATAATAAAGTGGTAATATTCCCCCCCCCCCTCCCGCCCCCGGAGATAAAGAACAGCCACAAAGAAATTTGGTCACTCAATCCACCAATGTTTGTAGGACACTGCTGTGTGCAACGCCCCGCAGAACACACAGTCACTCCACTTTACAGTGCGTCCTGTGACGCGCTTTGAGACATCTCGACGACGTGATGAGGCGCTGTATCAAATGCCGGGATTATTATTATTATTGCAATTGATACGGTGGGGGTGGTGGGGGGGGGTGGGAGGGACAGGTTTTGGGGAGGAAACAGGGGGCGGAAACGTTACGAAGCGCTTCACGGGATTCACCGTTGAGTGTGACGACTGTGTGCTTTGCTAACTAACTGCCTTTGTTGCGTTGAACTCAAAAATATACAACCACCATGAGAGCTCGAGACCTCGGCTACGACAGCTTCCGAGCGGAATAGGAAGGTGTCGGGCTGGTTATCATGAGCGAGCGGTTGGAGGTGAGGTGTCAAAATGTTCGCTCCGAGCCCTTGTTTGGTAGCCGACACATCTCCCGGCTCTCGTGACTCGCAAACCAGGGACACCGTCCAAGGATCCAGAAGCAAAGCCCAGGAACCCGTTACAACAAGGTCTCTGGTTTTCCCAGGAGTAAGTAGGAACCCGGTTGTTAGTCGATTGGCGGATAGCTTTTCCGGGTGTGTATTAATGATCCCTCTGCCTCCCCCCACCCCCACTACCCCCACCCTCACTCTAAAAAAAAATAATTTGGTCACTCAATCCACCACTGTTCGTGGGGACGCTGCTGTGCGCTGTTGGCTGCCGAGTTTCGCCCACGAAACACACGGTCAATTATCTTTACAGCGTGTCCTGTGAAGCGCTTTGAGACGTCTCGAAGACGTGATGAGGCGCTGTATCATAACACAAGGATGATTATTATTATTATTACTATTATTATTATTGTCATTATAGTCTTGGAACCAAACAGCCGGGAGCATTGCCACCCAGCATTGGACGGGGATATATAACGAGAAACCTGGGCTGGTTCCCAGAACGCTCATTGAACCTTCAGCTCATAATACATCAAGGCTTGTTTAAAGACGGCTATTCTACGTTACTGCAGCTATCAAATGGAAAATGGGTTTGCCTACGTCAAGCTCAGCAGCCCAGAAGGATTGGGAAGATGAACAGCACAGCAAGGGTGGACCATGTGAATGCCAGGCGACTGCGTGCTGTTGAAATAAGAAGGTTTGACAAGAGCGGTTAAAGGGCACACACGATCGATGGAAGCCGTGAAGCCCTCGCGCACCAGACCAGACCTTCGTCCTGGCTCAGCACCCACGGGCTGTGCTGCGTGAGCTCAGGGACAGTCAGGGGGGAGTTGGGGGGGGGGCATCAATACTAGCCTCAGCACCAAGTGGGTTGAGGGAGAGGGTTTGGGTGCTGGTGGGTGGGTGTGGGGGGGGAGGGGGGGAGAAGTCATCACTGTTGATCAATCTCCTTTGACACACGTGTGTTGACATCAGCTGAGGACTCGATTGGGCTCTACTGTGAAAACCCTCTCCCCGCCCCCACCCCTGCACCCCCACACTACCCCCTCCTCTCCCCTTTAAGGTCGACCACATGCCGACAGCCCACCAAGAAACTGGTCCTTCGTGAATCATGCAAATCTGTCTCTGCCTCTAACCCTCCACCTTTGCTCCCCCGCCCCACCACCCCCTTCAGATCGCGTCTCAATCCCCTTTAAATACAGAAATAATAATTTGGTCACTTCGACCCACGGCTGTTTGTGGGGACGCCGCGGTGCGCAGTCGGCTGCCGCGTTTCGCCCGCAAAAGACACCAATCGATCCACTTCACAGTGTGTTCCGTGAAGCGCTTTGAGACGTCTCGGAGATGGTGGTAAAGGACGAGACAGGAAAGCCTCGGGAGAGGCCAAGGAAGCAGTTCCCTACCGCTGGATGTTGACGTTAATGGTATAAATGCTCGCTCGCACTCCCTGCCAGCTGAGATTAATCTCAGGTAAGGCAGCTTGTAACCTTAGCCTGAAAGCTGAGGCTGAAACCGAGTGAGCGTTTCTGATGTAATTACACTCTGAACTGTGTAATCACCTGCCCTAATCCCACAGGCCTCACAATTAGCCAGACCCACAGCCACTGGGCCAAAAGAAATTGCAGCCTGCCAATTCCTCCTGCCACCTCGATCAGCCTGCAGATGAATAACACTCAATTAAACCCGCATGATAACAGCGAAGAGGAGGGTGTGCATTCGATTGTAATTAGCTGTAATCATAGGGAAGGATCCTGCAGACCAGACATGTTGTGAGTGCCGCCTTAACCCTCTCCCACCCGGCTCCTCTTCCGACACACACGTATCAGCCTCGTGTTTATCGGGCTAGCCGGCCAACAATTCCTTAACCGCCCCACACCGCCTTCCTCCCCACCCCACCCCAACAAAAAAAAAAAAATACCCGTTTGCACGGCTGTTTGGGGGACATAGGTGGCGTGTGCAGATTTGTGCCGCCCACAAAATACACAGTCGCTGCAATTCACAGTAAATTTCCCCGACGTGAGAGACGCTAGGTCGACCTCGAGGGCTATCATTATTTTTATTATAAGACTCCCACACCCACACACCCCCCACCCACCCACCCCAACCCCCGCCACCTCACCGCCACCCCATTTCAATGATCGTGCGACTGTTTGTTAATTGTCGCGCGTCGCTGTCTGTTGGTTAGCTGCCTGGTTTAATCCAAGTTAACACTCCCCTTCATCTCAAATTACTTTAAGTTCTTTAAGTGCTCCCTCACCACCAATCCCCCCACCCGCCCCCACACCCCCCCTAACTGTCCAGCCAGCGCCTTGGGACGTGAAAGACGCTGTGTAAATCTAATTTTGGATTGGATTGGATTGTAGAAGCTGCGATTGTGTACAGGGTTAAGGCTGGTTATCTTGGCTCAGGGTTCATCGAGGATCTGTTGTCATGCAGCGCTGAACCATCTTTTTTTGTATGTTCCCAGAACTAAGCCCTTCAATTCCTATGCGAGCAATTACTTTTTTATATATATATACACACACACGCACACGCACACACACACACAGAACGAGCGCGATGCAGTTCACGGTCTAAACAGGCTCTCCGAAAAAAAACATGCAAATGAAATTTTAACACAGTGACCAGCCGGCTTCGGATATTTCCAGTGAAGAAGGTGGAAAAATGGGAACAGGAGGATGCCATTCAGCCCCTCGAGCCTGTTGCGCCATTCTATCAGATCATGGCTGATCTGCACCTCAACTCCAATTACCCGCCTTTGCCCCCTATCCCCTGATCCCCCGACTTAACAAAGGAAAAGCACACGAGGCAAACGGAGAGAGAAAAAAAATACACAGCAGGTTTTGAGGTTTTTAAACCGAGATTTGAGCAAAATCTTAAAAAAAAACGGAACTCTTTATGATTTCGTCCTCCTCGGTCTCCCAAGTTCGACGTTCTGTCACTTTATTCTCATTCGGTAACTTTTGTGAGTTTAAGGGATAATAAAAATAATAATAATAATCATCCTCGCATTTGATGCAGCGCTGAAATGCCTCAAAGCGCTTCAGGGTTTTCCGTTATCAAGTGTAGTGACTGTGCAGTTTGTAGGCGAACGCTGAGCAAACTCCCACAAGCAATTAGGTGAACGAGATTTTGTTTGGGGGGGAACTGTCGGCCAGGACAGCGGGAAAAACTCTCTTCTCTTTTCAGATAGCAACACGGGATCTTTAACGTCCACCCGAACGGGGACCTCGGTTTAACGCCTCATCCAAAGAGCGGCACCTCCAACACAAAACACGGTTCCCCCCCATTCCCCCCCCCCCACTTCAGCAGCCAGTCTAGACTGTAGGCCCAAAGTCCCCGACGTGAGGTTTGAACCCACAACCTTCTGACCCGGAGGCTACGAACAGCGTCAAGCCGACTCCTTCGGAAAAGGTCAAGTCAACTGCAGCGTTTGCAAACTGCATACAAACATGGATCACTGAGGGTTTCCTTATGGCTTCTGTCGGCAGGTGGAGCCGTGCTAATGACCATGTTCTGGTTTGCCGGAGGGGGCAACGAGAAAGAGAGGGAGGGATGGAGGGAGGGAGGGAGGGAGGGGGTCAAGTGCAGGAATAGAAACTAGAGAAAGGGAGGATCGGCTGATAAACCTGACCAGCCTTGTCCTCACCCTGGATGGGATTGACTGAGATTAATCGGGACGTTTTGTCTGTAAACCCGGCCCGTAAATAACACTTACTGGATGCAAGTACCATTTAGTGGTTAGCTTTTCAGTCACGCGGCCACGTTCACCCACAAGACATTTCGCCCACAAAATACACAGTCCATTCACTTTACAGTGTGTCCTGTGAAGAGCGCTTTGAGACGTCTCAACGACGTGATAAGGCGCTGTATCAAATGCGAGGATTAGTATTATAATTATTATTATTATTTTACTGTACCTCCAGTGAAGCGCTTTGAGACATCCAAACATAACTTTTATTACTATTAACACAAGAGACATATGGATGAAGAAAGCCCTTCGGACCATTTGATCCCACCCAGAACATCCATCCTACCATCCTCCTACCGCAGTATAAAGTTGATTCTTAAATGAGTCCAGCGTCCTGGCCTCAAGAAACACTTCCTGGTGTCTGTCCTGATAATCGCCCATCTCAACCCTGGCTTGTGTTTGCTAGTTACCAGCGCGGTTCCTCGCCACAACGGTCCCATATTCCCACTTTTTTTTATATGGCATTTCCCATCTTTTGACAAAATCTCCCGATTTGGTTTGAAATGGCGAATAAAAACACGCACGCCAATGAATATTTAAATTGACCAACCAAAAATAAGAGAAAAAAGCTGTACGGACACATCTAATAATAATAATAATAATAATAATAATAATAATAATAATCCTTGCATTTTGATATAAAGCTTTTCACATCTTTTCACATTGTAGGGGAAGGCTAAAAAAAAAAAAACCCTGACTATTTGCGATGAGCGTGAAACAAAATCGATGCCCAAAAGAGCCGCCCGAGCAGCCAAGGTATTTGATTTGTTAAATCCGTTCGATAGCCGTAAATCTTTGATCTGGTTTTGCGCTCTGATCCGATGGGAAGGTATTACGTTTAGTAGTTAATTTGATATTCTCTGCTTTCAGATTTGTTCAGAAGGAGCCATCAGTCTGTTTTATTACAGACCCTATTCCCCGGCAAGTGTTAAGCGACATAATGTAAAAAGAAAAAGAAAAAAAAAAACAGCAGACAATTCATCAGACTTCATTCATTCATAATGTTGTCTGTAATGGCCCGAAGCCAGTCGGTAGAGTAAGTGCGTTGGCAAACTGGTCTGTTATCATGCGCCGTGTGCAAACTGTGTGCAATTTTATGGGTTAACTCGTGTGTATAGAGGCGCCCGTGAGTGCTCTGAATGATGGCCACCAAACACGCAGTCAATTCGGTTTACAGTGTATCCCGCGAAGCGCTTTGAGACGTCTCGAAGACGTGATAAGGCGCTTATCAAATGCAGGAATTAGTATTATTATTATTATTATTATGGTTCCGACTGATGTGAGGTTCACAGTATTAATTTGGGAGTAACTTAAGCACCAGGTTGGGTTCCTAATGTCTAGTCTGCAGACACTTCCCCTATTCTTTCCCCTGAATTGAATCAGATCGCCTCTAGCCATCCGCAGTGTCAGCCAGATGTTCTCGGATTCCCAGCTACGTATGTGGGTGATAATATTAATAATCCTTGCATTTGATATTGCGCCTTATCACGTCTTCAAGGGGTCTCGGAGATGATGAGGGTCAGGCTCTTGTGGAAAACTCGGGCGGGTACATTAAAGGACAAGATGCACTGAGAGCAGCAGGAACACCCCAGGGTGATTGCTGATTGTACGTTGCCTCAGGCAATACATCTTTGTGCGCGAGCACGGACGCTTTGCATGTGAGAAACGAACAACTTTGGGCATACCTTCCTTCAACCAAGCCGGGAAAAGAGTTTCTGGGGATTGACAGAAGAATGAGAGAGAATTCCTCCAGTAAAGATTAGTCTGAGTGTCTTTCTTGTCCGCACAGAGTTTAGGGTCAGAACAGAGAAGAGCCTAAGCTCGGTTCGGGTATCTCTCTCTCTCTCTCTCTCCCTCCCTCTCTCTCTCTCTACCTATCTATCGAATGCAAGGATCGTAATGTATGGATCTGGGTTGACTCTTTCGATCCCATTTTAAAAGGTTCTACATCTCCACGAGGCCCCCTTCTGTGTCGTGTTCACTCACCGACCAACTCACATGGAACCCATCACCGAAAGAAAGCCCACCACATTCCCTCCTGAAATGGATCCACCTCCTCTCTGACCGGGGCCTATAACCTTTATCGCAAGGAAATCAAAACCCATTCACTCCCTTTTGGTTCCTCCACTGATGCATCGTTTAGCTTCGTTTCTCTATCAGTGACGTTGAATTGGTCAACACTAACGGATTCCTAATAATGATTTGTATCTGGACTCACTCCAAGATACAGGAGCAGTGTGTGTGTGTGCGTGTGCGTGCGCGTGTGTGAGGAGCTGCGTGTGGGCGAGTGCGTGCGTGTGGGTGTTTTTCTTTCCGAATAAATCCGGAACGTGGAACATGTTTTCTTAATGAGCCCCTAAGCCCCTTTGCAGTCCGTTCAACACTCATCAAGCAGCGCAGGCCAACAGCTCCCTCCACAAGCAGTAGCCAGGGCAATCTCCCAACCAAACCAAACCGAACCGACCCGACAGAAGAGATCCCACTAAAAAACTCACATCGGTCGCGCTCGCAGAGTGTTGGGGCCATTGGACTTTTCACGCCTGTGCTGGTGTTTTTTCTCACCAAAACGTTCAACAGGCAGCGTTCACAAGGCACAATTGAAGCCGTAGAGTTTTACAGCGCAGAAGGAGGCCATTTGCCCCACCGTGCCTGTGACTGGCTCGCTGTATAAAAACTCTCTGTTTAATCCCATTCTCCTCCCCTCCCCCCACACCCTCCCCACCCCTCCCGCACACTTTCACGTTTCTCCTTTCCAGATATTGATCCAATTCCCTCTTTTAAAGGCTTGACAATTTGACGGAACAGTTACCGAGGTCGATCGAAGCCTTCTAGGGACTTTGTTACAGTCTCATCTTTGGTACGAAGGGTTAGGGTTAGGGTTCGGTGGGTTTCAACCGTTAAATTATCCGCTAACCATGTGAATATGTGACAGCGAAGTCCCAGATAGTTTGGTTCACGACATTGGCTACAGAGAGAGAGAGAGAGAGAGAGAGAGAGAAAGAGAGCGAGAGGACCAACCTTTCGCTGAAGTGTGTGTCTCGGTGCTGGGGAAGACCTTGCTTCCTTCTCTGACTCGACGAGCTGCTAGAAGACGGGAGGTGGGATTCCATCCCACTCGAACTCCTCACCACTGCCTCCTGCCGAACTCGTAGCAGATCTGCCCGGAAAGTGAAAGGGAACACGTTTAACACCACACAATACAACCCGTCGAACCCGTCTAGTCTGGGCTGACGCTCTCGACCGCGCGGCGTCTCTGGGAGAGCGCTGGGGTGTCGGAGGTGCCGTCCTCCAGGTGAGGCACCTGCTCAGGTGGACGTCAAAGATCTCAGCGGCGCTGTGGGTTAAAGCGGAGGGAAGTTGGCCGACCATCCCACTGGACATTCACTTGATGGGAGGTTCTCACTGGGCGCAAAGTGGCTGCCGGTTTCGCCTACAAAATGCGCAGTCACTACACTTCAGCCCGAAATCCAGGTGAAGGGCTGGGAAGCGCCTCGACCAACGTGAGGAGGCGCTAACATCAGGGATTTTGCGAAAGTCGGCAGCGAATGAGGGCCATTCGGGTCGTGGCAGCAATAATAATAATGGTCGCATTTGATGCAGCGCTGTATCCCGTCGTTGGGAGAGGTTTTGACAGCGCTTCGCGGGATATACCGCGAAGTGCGGCGACTGCGTATTTTTTTCCTGAAAGCAAACGCGGCAGCCAAGTGGAGTGACTGTGTGTTTTGTGCACAAAAGCACCTGTTGATAAGATCGAATAAACAGAAAGGGTTTTAGAACAGGATGTGCGAGGCAAGATAATGATAATAATCCTTGCATTTGATGTAGTGGGTTAACACGTCTCGAAGATGTGTTTCGGGGGGGGGGGGGGGGTGGCGCGGGGCGGGGGGGGGGGAGGTGTTGCGGAGAGGAAGAGGGAGGGGAGTGCGGGCGGTGTGGTGGGAGATGGGCTGCGTTTCCGAGCGAGTGTTAATCACGAGCGGTGTTAATGATCACAAGGCAGGTTGCAATTTCCATTCCCTATCCAATCACTATACCCCCCCCCAACCCCCCCCCACACGCAACCCGCCCCCACCCCCCCCACCGCCGCTGCTCTGAAGGATGTGGACAGCAAGCCACACACGTCTGTAAATCAGCGCTCGGAGCCGAGAGACAGGAAATACCTGTCCCCTGCGATCGCGGCAGCTGGCAGCGAGGGCAGACACGGGCGGTCGCTCCTCTCTGCCCGTCAGAGGCCGGCGGTTCCCGTAACCTCGCTGCCGAGGGCTTAAAATAGGCGGCAAAGATAACAAAAAACCCTTTGGGCTGAAACCTCAAAGAGTAAGGTTTCCGCGCCCCGCACGCCTCTGTGTTTATCTCGCAGGAAAGTTAAGCCGAGTGGCGGATCGCTTTCCGGGAGTAATAATCCCTCCAAATATATGTATATATATATAGATATATATAAATATACGGGCAAAAAAAAATAAAAATTGAGGCCACTCGAGTTTGTGTGACACCGGTTCACCCGCAAAATGCACAGTCACTCCGCTCCGCGGCGCGTTCCGCGGAGAGCTTTGAGACGTCTCGACGACGTGATGGGGCGACGTGTCGAACGGCAGGATAATTATCATTAGTATTATTATTATTATTATTATTATTACTACGAGGAGGCAAAGAAAAAAACACAACAACGGGGGTGGAAAACGGTGATGCTTTGCGGAGCCGTGTGGGACGGTAGACTGCGCCGGGAAGGGTAGTGTACACATATATATACATATATATATTTTGTTTTTACCCGCCCTCAGTCGCTCTTTCCCGTCGTTTCTCGTCCCGCCTGGCACAGACGCAGACACAGACACAGACACAGACACAGACACGGCAAGAGAGATGCTTTCGCTTTAGTGTTGCGCTTTTTTTTTGCACAGCTCAGGAGCAGCGGTGATCACACACACACACACACACACACACAGCGTCAAAAACAACAGCTGATGGTGCTGTGGTCCGATCAACCTTTCTCACCCCCACCCCCGCCCCCCCCCCCCACCCCCCACCCACCCCGAGCCCCGTTAAAGACAACCAAACCAAACCGACTCACGGACAATTTTAAACCCCCTTCCCCCTCCAAAACCCCCCGCCCCCCCCCCCGCAAACCCCACCCCCACTCCAAACCACCCGCCCCCCCCCCCCAAACCCCACCCCCACTCCCAAACCACCCGCGCCCCCCCCCACCCCTCACCGCCGCCCAAAAGAAAAACAGAAACGCCAAAAAAAAAAAAAGTTGCTTTGGCCGATTAAAAAAAAAGCTGCTATACTTTACTGTTTTTTTTCCTCCCCCCCACACCTCTCTCTCTCTCTCGCCTCTCTCTCTCTCTCTCGCTCTCTTTCTCGCTCTCGCTCCTCTCTTCAAACTCCGTCGAACGCCATGGCAACCCGCCAGCAGCCTGACAGTTAAATATATTTCCCCCATTAATTGGCGAGCGTCACCTGAATGAGTCTCTCCGGCCGCCCGGAGCTACTGCTCCGCTTGAACTTTGCGCTCATGCAGCAAAAAGGCCAACCGCAGAGATCCCCCCCCCTTCCCTCCCCCCGCACAACCCCCCCCCCCACACCCCCACCGTCCCCCCACCCCCCGCACACGCACACACGCAACCTACCGCTTCCCTCTTAACCCTCGCCGCTTCATCTTAAAAGGGCAATACCTCCTCGACACAGCAACCACGGAGAACTTCCCCATCCATCCATCCATCCATCCATCCATCCATCGGCCACCATCCCTCCCCCTTCCCCCTTCCCCCCCACCCACCCAACCCCGCACCCCTCCGTCCTCGCTCTGGCGGCAAACATCCACGTGTATGCTCAGGCTCGGCGCGCCCGCAGCGCGCGCGCAGGCGCAGGCGCGCGCGCGCGATCACAGGCTTCGCGCCGCCTCCCGCGCTCAGGGGCGAACTTGAACCTGGACGCTCACGCTCACGTGCACGCAAGGGGACCCACAAACACACGTGCCCGCACGCTCTGTGTATGTAAAAATGCGTGTGGGGGTTAGAGTTTGGGAGAGTCCTGAGATTTTATGCCAAAGTCTCCTCTAACCCCATTCCCCTGCTCTCTCTCTCTCTCTCGCTCCCCATCGTGCCTGTGCCGGAGCTCGCTCCCCCACTGGAGCTCTCTACTCTAACCCCATTCCCCTGCTCTCTCTCTCTCGCTCCCCATCGTGCCTGTGCCGGAGCTCGCTCCCCCACTGGAGCTCTCTACTCTAACCCCATTCCCCTGATCTCTCTCTCTCTCTCTCTCTCTCTCTCCCTGTCTCGCCATCGTGCCGGTGCCGGTGCTCGCTCCCCTACCGGAGCTCCACGCACAGCCACGAGAGACGAAGGATTATCTGGGAGAACAGTTGGCCAGGACATCAGGAGAGAAGAGAAACTGCCGTCTCTTTTCAAACGGTCCCAGTGGATCTTTAACCTTCACCTGGACAGGCCGAGAGGACCTCTCATCTGAAGGACAGCACCTCTGACAACGCAGAGCTCCCCAGTTTCTCGCTGTCAGCCAAGACCTTGAACTCGAGTCCCTATTCTGGGCTTCAAGTCACAATCGCCTGACGCGCAGGGTCAACTGAGCCGAGCTGACACGGTTCCCCCGGTGATAGCGTTTCACGTTCCGGTTGAGCTCATCCACAAACTCAACGGCTCCCGAGCTGACGATGCCGAGAATGTGCGACTCAGGAAGAAACATCAATTCAGCTCATTTCACCTCCGGCATCGCGTACATTACCCAACGCAGTCGCTCCACTTTACCGTGTATATCCTGTGAAGCGCTTTGAGACGTCTCGAAGACGTGATAAGGCGCTCGATCGAGTGCTCGCCTCGCAAAGCAAAGCAAAGCGAGAGGACCGGGATTCGATTCCCGGCCGGCCGAAACTTCTAACTCAAGAGGTACGAGTGCTACAGACTCACACGCGTAGCAAATGACTTGTATTAAATAATAATAATAATAATCCTTGCATTTCGTACAGCGCCTCATCACGTCTTCGAGACATCTCAAAGCGCTTCACAGGATAGACTAAAGTGAACTGACTGTGTATTTGCGGGCGAAACGCGGCAGCCAATTGCGCGCAGCAGCGTCCCACAAACAGCCGTGGACTGAAGTGACACAATTTATTATTGGGGGGGTTTTCTTGAGGGGTTATTATCAAGCGTGAGCGTGGAGTAAGGAAACATGCCGGAGGTTTTGCTCTGATCTGCTGGGAATCAAACCCAGGTCTCTCGCTTGCAAGGCGAGGGCTCTAACCAGGACTTCTGTAGCTCAGTGTACTTACTTACTTACTTGCACGGTATCTCTCTCACGTAGGATAATATCTGGTGGGGGGGGGGAGGGAGGGGGGAGAAAAAGAAATGCTGATGGAAATCTATCAGAGGTGCAAACAAGGAAGTCTCTCAAAAGATTTATAAGCAGTTCAGTGCTGGGAGGGTAAAGCCACATTGTGAATGACAATGCGCCAGCATCTGACAGCTCTGGGGTAACGCAGCGCTGGCCGCCTCCCAGAGAGACCCACCATCATCTCCTGCTGGCCACCGCCCTGAGGCAAGCGCTCCGAGGGCGACAGTGGATGGACCAGAACCTCCCCGCCGAGAGCGGGGAATAAGGCCGGGGGGGGCCGTCGCAACTCGCTGCCGTGCCTGGAAACCTGGAGGGTCCGAGAATGGAACATCCGAGTCGAAATCCCCGACCGTCCAGCAAAGCCTCGAGACGCCTCCCCCCACACCCCCCCACCCACCCCCCGACGTGAAGGCGGTTTGATTTTACACACACAGACTCACACACACACACACACACAGACACACACGTGCGCGCGCACACACACACACACAAACACACACACAGGCCCTACACAATTATAATTTGTTGTCGTGCGAATGCGGAACTCACTGCTGGAAGCAACTGCCAACTGCACACAGCAGTGTCCCACAAACAGTCGTGGATTGAGGGACCATTTTTTATTTTTTTCCGGCGGGTTTATCACCCCCGGGAAGGGAGAGCAGAGGGGAGGTGTGACACTCATCTGAGCCCATCTGATGCACAACGTCAAGTACATCAATAAAGGGCATCTCTTCATTTTTCTTATATTCTGTCCCTCCCCCCAACTCTCTCTCTCTCTCTCTCTCTCACGCACATCATTTACATACTTTAAAAATGTACCAAAACCACAATTATACACCCAGTGAATTCTGTGAAGCATTTTGAGATGTCGTTCCCACGTGAACAGGGCTGTATCAGGCACAGAGATTATTTTTTTATATGTATATATAATATATATCTCAATGTAAGTAATTGCTCGGAGAGTGTGTGTGTCTGTGTGACTGTGTGAGTGTGTCTGTGTGTGTATCTGTGAATGGGTGGCTGTGCGCGTGTCTGTGTGTGTGTCTGTGTCTGCGTGTGTGTGTGTGTGTCTGTCTGTGCGTGTGTGTCTGTGTGTGCCTCGCACTGGCCGATGCGAAGCGAGGCAAAAATCCAACCGCCTCATTGTTTACCTCCGCCAGTTAATTGACTGGGAAACGAGGTCTTTCCTCCCAGTTTCCATGGCATTTATAATTCAGGAGCACGGCTGGCTGCCAATCACGGGGAGATTACATCAATCTCTCTCCCGTGTCAGAGGCGCGGAGCTGAAATCCTGCCGTTCTGTGACATGTGGGAATCAGGATGATTGACACATTGACATTCCCGTTGACAGCCCAAGGCAACGAAACAGTTTTAAAAACACACACACACACCGGAAAAAAGAAAAGTTGGCAACACATAAATTATGACAGATTGTTATTTGTGATTTTTTAAAAAAATTATTTGCTCGATAAGTCATTCGGTGGTTGGGACCTTTTCCCCTTCACCTCAACTCAACCTAACCGTCCGCCCCACCCTCCCATCCCCACCTATACCGCCCCCGCCACCCCCACCCACACGCACAACATTTTATCATCATAATCCTTGCATTTGATACAGCGCCTTATCAGGTCGCTCAGATGTCTCAAAACGCTTGATGGGATTTCACTGTGAAGGGTCGTGACATTCGGAGATGCCGTCCTTCAAAATGAGGCGCTAGAGACCGACCGCCTGTTCGCGCGGCCTTTAAAAGATCCCGCGGCGCTGTTCGTAAAAGAGAAGAGAGTTTCTCTCTCCCGCAGTCTCCATTTTTCTCCCCCCAAATGGTTCATTCTCTTCACGGCTGTTTTGGGGGGGGGGGGGGGGGGGGGGGGGCAGGTTGGCTGCCGCCTTCGCCTTACAGTCACTTTACACTAAGCGCTTTCAGGCTTCCTCCTGACGGGAAAGGCGCTGTGTCAAAGGAAAAGGACTATTTCAAAAGTAAACAGCAATAAGAATCCTCGCATCTAATATATAGCGCCTAATCATGTCTCGAGACCCCTCAAAGCGGGAGCTGTACTCGGTAACGCTGGACTCTTTTCGCCCACAAAATACACAGCCATTCGCTCGACGGTATATGCCGTGACGCGCTTTGAGACGTCTCGAAGACGTGACGAGGCGCGACATCAAACGCGAGGAATTAGACCAGAAAGATCAGGGAATCTCTGCGTCCAGGCTTGAAGCAGAAAAAGCTAAGCCCTTGGGGGGCAAGCCGGCGATCACGGTGCCTCTAACAAGGATTCGTTATGGGTGAGCTTCCCTGGAGAACAGGGGTGGAAAACTAAGCGAGAGAGGGAGAGGGAAAACCCGACACAAATTAGGCTTCATCTTTAGGAGGAAAGGGGTTGAAATCGAAAGCAAAAGGTCAAATGCTTTTGCACTGGAGACAACGCACCCAATCCTTGGAACGCACAAATGTCCCTCCTTTTGAATGTATTGATGTTAGGGGAAAAACAAAGGGTGCGTGTGGGGGTTTTGGGGGGGGTGGGGGGAGGTGTTGGTGAATAACCTGGCTGTGTGGAAAACGGAAGAGCAGAGAGCGCGACAGAGAGAGAGGAGGGGGGGAAAGGGGTTAAGAGTGAGTGAGAAAGAGAGAAGAGTGAGAAAGAGAGAAAGAATCGAGAGAGAGAGAGAGAGAGAGAGACAGAAAGAGAGCGAGCCAGTGAGTGAGGAAGAGAGAGAGAGAGGGAGTGAGAGAGAGGGAAGGCGAGAAGGAAAGAGAGGACCAGTTTTTTTTAGGATATTACGAAACAAAAATTAAAACCGTCTTCCCCATCCCCCCCCCCCCCCCACCCTCCGAAAAAAGCCATACATTTCTCGGTTTGATTTATTTAAAGGGTTTGTTTGTGTTTCCTTGCCCTCGACTAGACCCCCTGCCTAGTCGACAGCCCCAACCCCGACACCCCCACCCCCGACCCCCACCCCCCCCCCCCACACACCACCTCACCACACCACCGCCGTGCAAAAATACCCCAAAGGAGAGCTGGTGAATGAACGATTTTTAATGCTAAGTGCAGATTTACCTTGTCAGAAAGCATAAATGTCACGAGTAGAGATGAATTTGCACATGAGTGAAGGTGACAAGTTCTGCAAATGAATTTATCACACCTGTCAGCTTTGACCGATAGAACTTTCACAGATTTTGAATGACATTTGCCAAGCATGTAATAAACATGGACACCAGGAGGAGACGGGCTGCGATTAGATAGACCGCACGCCATTAATCCTGGCTCGCTGGCTCTCACCACACGCGCGCCGCACGCACGCACGCACGCAGGCGCCCGCTTTATTTTCCTTTTTAACGTTCGGTCAACACTCCGGTCTGCCTGGCCTGGTGGACGCAGAGAGACGGAGAGTGAGAGCGGGAGAGAGAGACGGAGGGAGTGAGGGAGTGAGGGAGGGAGGGAGGGAAAGAGAGAGGGGGAGCAGAGAGAGAGAGAAAGAGGGTGAGAAAGAGAGAAGGAAAAAGAGGGTGAGAGTGAGAGAGAGAGAGAGAGAGAGAGAGAGAGAGAGGTGGGGGCGGGTAGGGGGAGAGGGAAAGAGGAGGTGAGGTTAGCTCAGTCAGTCACGTTTCTGGTTTAGGAGACTGTGAGTTCAAGACACACGATTAGGCTTGAACTCGCGGCCTGGCCGACACTCCAGTGGAGTCCTGCGTGTGCGCACGCGTGTGAGAGCATGTGTGAGAGCGTGTGTGTGTGTGTGTGTGTGTGTGGGGGGGGATTCTGAATAGTCAGGAGGCGCTCTCCTTAGGACGAGCCATTTGGAGCAATTGTGCCTCGCCAGTGCGGCAGCAAACATCCGACCCACCAAAAAAAAAAGCAATATAGACCTTCAGTGAAGAGGATGGAGCCTTCACCCAATAACAGGATTAAATTTACAATGTCTCTTCGCTGCGTGCCTGCCCGCACCACATTTCACTGGTCTTAAAAATATATATATATATAAAAAAAACAATAAGACCACTTTCCTTCCATACACGGTAACAGTCTCAGGTATATTTCATTAATGTAATCCGCGCTATGATGGGGAAGCATTTGACAAACGATGTCTTGTCAACCCAGCCTGAGATATATTACTGGGCAATCTTCACCAATGTTAAGAGAGAGAGAGAGAGAGAAAAAAAAATAGCCCAGAGACCGACCGGGAAGGGAAGGGGAGACAGATATAGGGCCTCAGCTGGAGGAGAATCAGCGCACAGTCACTACGTCCTATCGTACAAACTCTCGGAAGCGCTTTCAATTCAAAATATACAGTCAATTCGCCCACAAAATGTGCAATCAATTCACTTGACAGTGTATCCTGCGAAGCGCTTTGAGACGTCTCGAAGACGTGATGAGACGCTGTGTCAAATGCGAGGATTATTATTATTATTATCATCATCATCAAGTGCAAGGATTGTTGTTATTAACGCGCGTACGTGTTAAAAGAGACGGGTGCGGGAGAGCGGGTCAGGAGGAGAGGAGGCCGGCGACGACTGGAGTGAAGGTACCGGTGAGCGAGAAATACAGGAAGGGGCCATCGACGAGAGCTCTTCCCTTAAGACTGGAGAAAGGTCCCGGGGTCTTCGACTGCGAGTTCGGCCACCCTCCCAACAGCCCCCCACTCCCACCCATTCCTCCCCCACCCCCCACCGCCGCCTCCACACCTCCTGAAACCCCCCAACACCCCCTGACCATCCAGCGCTCTGGGACGCCTTTCGGACATGAAGGGCGCTATCTGTACGAGTGAGATTTGTGGTTGTTGTTGTTGTCGTCGGTGGCTTACCTCCGTGGCTGGGGACCCCCATGCTGTTGGCCAGTTGATACAAACGCTGCTGCTGTTCGTCGTAGGTCCCGTGTTCGTTCAACGCCGACATCATCCGCCTGTAGTGTTCCTCAGGCGTCATCTGAATGATCTGGTCCTCCAGGGCTGGCGTGTAGGACTTTTCTTCACCGAGCCAAAGCAGAAAAGAGGAGACGGTCAGCCCTTTCACCTCAAGGGACCCGTTCCCCACTTGCCTCCCCGTGCACCTTCACAAGTAAAGGAGGGAGGGGAAGGGAGGGGATGGAAGGAAGGAGGGAGGGATTGAGGGAGGGAGAGAGGGTGGGGAAGCGAGAGGAGGGAGGAGGGAGTGCGGGAAAGCACATCTACCCACCGCGTGGCCCGGTTGGTAGTACCCTCGTCTCTCAAAAGAGTCAGATCCTACTCCAGGGGCATTGAGGCCCCAACCGTTCCAACCAACATAACGTCTGCCCAGTGACTGAACCCTGGCTTTACTGAGTGTGCGGCTCAGTTTCACAATGAGCAAGGGCCCCTTCCAACGTTAGGCTCACGTTCACCACCAGTCACCACCTAACAGCTTAACACAAGTGACTGTTTATTTACAGCAGCCCAACTTGCACCCATCAACGTCCCACAAAGAGCCATGACTCATTTGTACCTGTGGAGATCGTGGGCCAGGACACCGGGAGAGACAAACTCCCTTCTCTTCCGGAGCAGTGCCGTGGCATCTTTAACGACTGTCCACCTGAACAGGCAGACGGGACCCGGGTGGTTGAAGAGTCGAAGGTCTCCCAAAGACGCATGGGAGCGTCAGCTTAGACTGTGCGAGTTCAAAGTCCTGGCGTGGGGGCTTGAACCCACAGCCTTCTGACTCAGAGGAGAGAAGGGTTTCCGACTGAGCCAGGCTGACGCCGTAAGCAAATAAACTTGACTCACACCTCCTCTATTCCACCCAATTCACAAAATGTCAGCCGGGCTCTCTTCTGTAGCGCTCTGATCTTTGGGTCAGGAGGTGGTGGGTTCAAAGGATTTGTGAGCTCACTGTCTGGGCTGAGACTCCAGTCGATTGTTGAGAGGTTCCCTTGGCATCGAGAACGGTGCTACAGGAGTCCAGCAGCGTGGTTAGAGCACAGCACTCGCCTCGCAAGCGAGAGGACTCGGGTTCGATTCCCGGGCGGGTCAGGAGGGCGTACTGTTAGCCAAGTTTCCTTATTACACACACGCGCGCGCCTCGGTTTACCCCGCAGTAAGTAGGAACCCTGTTGTCAGTCGGTTGGCCGATCGCTTTCTGGGGTTAATAATCCCTTCCAAAACATTTTTTTTTTAAATAATAATAATTTGGCCATTCAATCCATGACTGTTTGTGGGGGTCGCTGCTGGGTGCAACTTACTCTGCGCAGTAAGGGAAAGGGGGAAAACCAATCAATATTCCCCCCCTACGGGCGGCCAAAATTCCAAATGCCCTTAAGCCCGTGTTGCCTTAACAGTTAAGGTGGAGCAGGATTTTGGGGATGGGAAAAGTTCTGTAAAATGTTCTTTAAATAAAAAAAAACAGCTTCCAAACTGAGGCTCGGAATAACGAAGTGGAAAGCATCCTTCTGCACCATCACTTCACCTCCCACTGAATTGACAGAGACAACTGGCCCCATCAATCGTCCTCAGACAACACAGAACTCAGTGTAGCACAGAGAGATGCCGAGGTGACATTAGATGTGCACGCGTTTGTGCATGAATGTGCAGGACTCCGCTGACTCCACACACACACACACACGCACCCCCCCCACCCCCCTGCCCTCCGCCTCCCCCTCCCTCCCCTTCCCCCGCACTCTCCCCTCCTGCCCCACCTCCCTACGCACCCCCCCCACCACCTTCCGCCCCCCGATCAACAATTCTGCCGCGGCTGAATGAACGCAACACCTGCAGCTCGTGGTCCTTAAGCCTGCACTTGGCAGTAATGCATGAGCAACCGCTGTGTAATAACAGCATTAGTGGAGATCTAGAAACGTGTCACCTCCTGCACGGAATCAATGATAGATTAACCCCCAGGGCCCAATTAAAAGTCAGACTAATCCCAGAGTTACTGATGGAGCCTCGTGGGCTAATAGCTGCCGACAAACAGCCCTCAGCTAATGATCTCAGGCACTGTGGTGGTGGGTCGAGAGTGGGGACGGGTGGGGGAGGTGAGAGATGAAGGGAGGGAGGAGACGGGAGCAAAGAGGACGTTCGAAAAGGAGGCAGGGGGACATATGGTGAGGGTGGGAGGTAAGAGGGTCAGAGGAAAGGATCTTTCTTGGGAGGCGGAGAAAAGAGGGTAGGAGAAGAGGGCAGGGAAGAAGGGGGAAAAGAGGAGGGGGTGGGAAATAAGGGAAAAGAGGAGGGTGGGGGGGGGGAGCGGAAGGAAAAAGAGAACACACGCTCCTGGCTGAAAATCACCCGGCTCCAAGCTGTCAAGGCGAAAATTGCAACGTGTGAAGTGGTAACGGACACATCATTGATAAAAACGACCAGTGTTTTGGTGGTGTTTGTTACCGAGTTTGTTATCAGCGGGTGAAAGCCACCTCCCTTCTCTTTCCGAGTAGCTTCGCGGGATCTTTAACGTCCACCTGAACAGGCAGGCGGGACCTCGGTCTAACGTCTCATTCGAAGGACAGCGTCTCCGACAATACTGCACTCCCCCCAGCACTACATTGGAGCATCAGCTTAGACTATAATTTGGGGGTGGGGGGAGCAGGGGAAAGCACTAACGTTGGGCAAATCCCCCTTACCCTTATTTTTAATATACTTATTCGTTGTGTTGCTATTCTCCCCGAGATCTGACATTCCCTGGTGCGTTATTTTGCTATAAGCGTGAAATGCGTACTTTCCGCTAACCTAAATCCTCTGCCCTCATCCCCTTCCCCCCCCCCCCCCCCCCCCCACACACACACACATAGAGAAGGGCAACACGGCAGTAACAACAACAAGATTACATTTGTATAGCGCCTTTCACGTAGGAAGAACCTAAGCTAAAAGCAGGAAAAGAAACATCTCTTTGAAACGTCATCGAAGGTCTGTAGCTCGGAGATGACCTCTTTTGAGTCACTCGTTCGCGCCATCACCTCAAACCCACATGAGAGAGAGTGAACGAACATCCGTTTGACACGCGGAAACCTCCCCCACCAGCCTCCTCCAAAGCCCACCCTGTCCCACTGAAGGGTGCGGGAAGCCAGGGTAGAACTGGCCCGAAGGTGACGACGGTTCCTGACAGTGGATTGTCGGAGTCGAGCCCACTTTCTCTGTTGTTGCTGAGCCAAACAGTGTTCCGCAGTATTCCAGGAACACCGCTGTCGACGGACAAGCCAGCCTGGTTCATGGGAAAGCACTTGGAGGAACACACTGTTCTCTGGGGGTAGCGACTGTTCCCACTCAGCCCTCGTTAACCCGGCAAGCCAAAGCCCTAATGGGGAGGGTGGTCCTCGCTGGAAAAGCAGCAGGAAGCTTGGCAGGCAATGCTCTCAATGTGGTTAGACTGCAGCAGTTATCACCCCATGCACACTTTCTGGCCCCCAAAGCCTTGGGCCGTATAAACTTGCGCCTAATACTCTTCGGAATTAGGTAAGCATGATACGTCCCTCCAGGGAGCGAGAAAGAGAGAGAGAGAGAGAGAGCACATTCAAATCCACGCACGGGGAACTTTCCATCTGTGTGCAGAACACTCAGCTTGGTTTAGACACTGTTGAACACAGCGATGGGTTTCAGGCACCCAGTTGACCAGAAATCTTTTTAATGAGGGAAAGTCTGATATCTGTACTAACTGGGGCAGATAATGAGTCATTACGCAAAATACAAAGTGCAGTATTAATCAAAAACCTCAGGAGTTGTCCTATCACCATAATAGCACGCTTTGCCATCTCGCCTCGCCACCAAACCCGCACGCACACACACACACACACACATACTGTGCGAGCTTCTCTACTTATCTGACTCTCTTTATGACTCTCTCGCCCTCTCTCTCTCTCTCTCCCTCTCCCTCCCTCTCCAGTTCTGTATTGTACCAGCATCTGAATGAAGAAACTCTTGCCAACGTGCACAATGATATCGTGTCTGTGAGATTTCACCGGCTTCGCAGCTACTGTAGAAGGAGTGTATGTGTGTCTGTGCCCACATTTGCACTCGTCTCAGTGAGTCTGTGTTAAATCAATATTTCCAGTAGCCAATGAGCAGCAATATTTATGGCGAGGCCATAAATCAAGAGATATATTCAGTCCAGAATATTTATTTGGTGGTTGGGCCAACGGAATAGTTTGGCCACCACCGTTCAAAAAAAAAAAAAATGGGTCTATTTCCAAACCATTTGTGCCGTATTGGAACCCATTCCAGCACGGGGTTTACTGGAGTCCTGTAGCTCGGGTGGTTAGAGCACTCGCCTCGCAAGCGAGAGACCTGGATTCGATTCCTGGGCGAGACGGGCGAAACGTCGGGCAAGTTTCCCTGCTCCACACACACACACACACACACACACACGCGCCTCTGTTTGCCTCGCAGTAAGCCGCAACCCCTATTGTTAATCGATTGGTGGATCGCTTTTTCCAGGGGTAAGAATTCCTCAGATAAAATAATAATAATTTGGCCACTTCAATCCGCGGCTGTTTGTGGGACGCTGCTGTGCGCAATTGGCCGCCGCCTTTCACCCACAAGACGTCCAGTCAATTCGCTTTACCCTATATTCCGTGAAGCGCTTTGAGACTTCTCGAAGACGTGATGAGGCGCTGTATCAACTGCAAAAACAACACATGCAAGAGGGCGCCAGCGAGAGAGCCGGAGGACCCTCTCCCCAAGGGCAACGGATTCCGAGGCCAATTGCGGCTCTTCTGTTCTCAAGCTACTGAGCTCAGGTAAACAGAGAGGACCGGAGGCCATTCAGCCCCTTGAGCCTGTTCCGTCATTCTATCCGCTCGAGGCTGATCCGTGCCTCAACTCCAACCATCAGCCTTGGGAAACCCTTACCCAACGAAAATCTCTCCACAAGTGGCAAAATACTGGGAACACGCAGCAGGTTAGGCAGCATCTATGGAGAGAGGAAAATAAGTCAACGTTTCAGGTCGATGACCTTTCCTCGTTGGACCTGAAACTTGAACTCATTTTCCTCTCTCCGTAGATGCTGCCTGACCCGCTGGGCTGCCTGTGTGCTCTCAAGTATCTCTCCAGCTCAGCCTCGACAATGCGAACGTATGGCCCAGTGTTGTCCAGACTTTTCAGGCAGAAAAAAACGTCAGTACCAAGTGAACAGAAAATCCCGCCACCGTCCGCCGAGAGCGTTCCCGCTGAACAGAGCTTCTACCCGACGCCGATGGAATTTTCGGGACCCGCAACAGAACTGCGTCGTTTCGATTTTTTTTATCATCTGTTGATTTTTTTTCAAAAAACTTTTGTTTGTCTTTTGAAAAAAAAAGCCCCCCCACTCTCCCCCCCCCCCACCACCCCCACCCCCCCACACCCCCCCACTCAAAATTTGTTAGAAACCTACCCTTCGGAGATTGACTTCTTTGTTTTTTGACTTCCGGACACTCGCTATTACTGTTTGGTGAACATACTCGTCTCTTCCCTAAAATATCATCTGGAAAAGAAAAGAGGGATAAAAAAAAGAAACGTCCAACAGGTCAAGGTCACGCTTTTACCCCAAAAGTGACTGAACCCAAACGTTACTGCGTTTCGCCCGCAAAATATGCAGTCACTCCACTTTGTGAAGCGCTTTTGAGACGTCTCGGAGACGTGTCAAGGCCCTGAATCAAATGCAAGGATTATTATGAGCAGTATTATTGCGAGTCATTCACCCTCACGCCTCCAACCGTTAACCCATTCCCAGCGGCCTCGCAAGTCCGCACTTCAAACAATTTTCCTTTTAGTCCATCAAATACAGTCCATGTGCTTTACAGTATATCCCGTGAAGCACATTGAGACGTCTCGAAATCATGATAAGGCCCTATGTCAAACTCAAAGATTATTATTATTATTATTATCCGCTAATTCCTCCCTCCTTTCCCCCCCAACCCACACGGATCCCCTTCCCCGCCCCCCTCCGCCTCTCCTCTCGCTCCCCAGATAGCTAATTATCTTGCTCTCGAGGCTGGCGGTCACAGAGCACCGAATCACTGAGCTCACGCATTAAAAGCCCCTGACCTCATTCTCTCTCTATCCCCTTTGCCTGTGACAAAGAGAAATTACACGCAGCATTTGCCCTGGTGGGCTTCGCAGCAGCAGCAGCAACAGAATTCCTAGCGGGCGGTTGGGGTGAGAGTGTGGTGCGCGAGGTTTAACGGCATTGGGCTGATGTTTTACCTGTACCTCGCGCTGATTGATTTGCCAAGCTTCCCCTCCACTCATTCCCTCCTCTTTTAATCTGCCGCTTCGAGCTGAGTCCTACTCAGTGCCCGTCTCCCGCTGTGTCAAAGCTCTTGTGAATGCTTTTTATTTCAGTTCCCCTCCCGCCCGCCCGCCGCCCGCCTGCCTCCCTGCTTCCCCCACCTTCCCCACCCCCCCACAACAAAACCCCAAGGTCCTCATGTTTCTTCATCGGATTAGACGCTGACGGCGTGTGGCAGGGTGAAGGGGTCCTCGCCAAGACGCCCATCTAATACACAATTACAGCACGCGCTGGATAGATTTAAAATCAATAGAGCCTTAATATCACTGGCGAGGCTGAGCGCGTGATGCTGCATAAGGGCAGGAAGCAGGAAAGATGGGTGCGTTGTGTGCGCGTGTGTGCGCGCGCGTGCGTGCGTGTGTGTGTTTCTTTTTTACTTTTCGAGAGAGAAAAAAAGAAAACTGCAAATATTCAGCTCGTCAGACGCTTAGTAACCATCAAACGACACCAACCACAATATACCGCACTGCTCGTTCCTGCTCCCTGATTGAAAGGATGCTAGATATTGCCTCTCAAAGGCTAAGGCTGATCTCTCTCTCTCTCGCTCTCGCTCTCTCTCTCTCTCTTTCTCGCCCACCCCCCAACCGCCCCCCTCACCCGCCCTTGTTAGACGTTCCAACTACTGAGAGAGCGGCACACAAGGAAGGCAGCTTATTAACAATCTCCCGCTGAAGGTGGGCAGCGCGCACTTTCCTGCACGGATTCAGGGAATTGTCGTGAACGGAATTGTAGGGGGAAAAAAGCACACACGCGCGGACTAACCCCCCTCCCCCCCCCACCACCACCACCACCACCACCTCCCCACACACACACACACACACCCACCCCCACAAAAAAACACTGACACACAGCGACACACGCAAACACGACCAAACACGGACACAATTACGCGACACAACTGGTTTCGAGTTAAACACCTGCGCACGTTAATACGATTTAGAAATATAGGATTAGAAAACGTGTCGGGCTGACGGCTCTGACGTCTTTAAAAGCCCCACTCACCGGGACAATTTATTTAAATGTTTCCCTTACTGCCACGTCTTCAATTTGGAAAATGAAACGTGAACCTTCGGGATTATAAGCAGCGTCCTAAAAGTACTGTAAATTTGAGCAGTATTTCATTCCCCTCCCCCGCCACTCCCCTCGCCTCCTCGCAACCCCCCCCCCACCCCCACACCCCCCACCCACTAAAACCTACACTGCAGAATTGCTCTCCATTTTGTAAAAACAACAACAACTTGTATTTATGCAGCACCCCCTCACGCAGGGTAGAGCCCCAGAGCGCTCGACGGTGGCGGAGCCTGGGGGGGGGGGAGGGGGGGGAGCGGGGCAATGTGACCGTAGGCACAGTCGAAGAGGAAGGTCCTTCAAGCAAAACATTTTGGGAGAACGCGACCAGAGATGAATGGACGTTGTTGAGATTTGCCTCCGTTAGACTCAGCAAATCGATCCCAGGGATTGTCTTAGGCGTCACTGATTTCACCATTGACCCCCGCGCTCTCCCCCCCACCCGCCAGCGACCCCCTCCCCCGGTCACACCTTACTCCCCCCGCCCCCCCGAAGAAGGTTGTCAAACTCCCCGCTGACTTCCGACTTCCGCTGAGAACCAAAGTCCCCGAGCTTTCATAGAGCCCATACGTTTCGAGAAGCGTCAAGAAGTTCACGGTGATTGCTCTCGAGCTCAGTGTCTCTTTTCTCAGCCATTTTGTTCGCAACAACATCCCGCAAAATAGTCACGAGGCGAGCGTCATCTGATTAACGTGGAGCATCGCTACCCAAGAGTACTGGGAGCAACTCCCTTCTCCCTCCGAATAGCCGCACGGAAAGGCGAACACCAGACGGACGTCACTGCAATGTCCCGGCAAGTTGCTGTTCCAGCTCGAATAATAATCCTGGCGTTTGACCCGGCGCCTTATCACGTCATTGAGACGTCTCAAAGCGCTTCGCGGGATATACAGCTAAAGTGGAGTGACTGTGTGTTTTGTGAGTGAGCGAGCGACCGATTTTATTTGGGGGATTGTTGCTGGACAGGATACCCGAGAGAGAGGGAGCTGGAGATCAGCGGCAAATCTGCCCTCCACGCCCCACGTTACAGTAATTAACGGCTGCAACAATCTCAGAGCGACAACAAGCTCCCTGTTCGAGGGCGTGTTTGGGTTAACAATTACCCAAGGGTGCTAATTAAGTAATAATGAGTGAGAACGCCTGCGTTAATTAGCGATTGATGAGCCCTGGGAGTCGCTGGGCTCTAACACTGCAGCAATTGTCGCACGCCTCCGACTTCCTTTCTGTTCGTGGAAACGTATTTAATCTTGCGTCTTGTTCAGAAACAAATTCTTTTGCATATTTAAAAGCAGGACGTTTCTTGGGCTTTAGAGCAATTACAGGGTGGGCTGCAGGGTCCCCCCCCCACCCCGTGGCTACTTGCATTGGGGAGAGGGTCTAAGACAGTGAGATAGACTTAGGTTGTGTGGGAGAGGGACACTGTGGCTCCTATGGTTAGTTAATTAAAGCAGAGGTTCTCTCTGTGTGACGGTAGGGTTTGGGTTGGGTGTGCGCAGGTTGAGGTAGGGCCGCTATATTTTGAGCGATGCCGAGTCACTGAGTTTAAGCGCTCCATGAAGGGCGCGATATACATGCAAGTTGTTGTTATTGTTGTTGTTGTTGTAACTGGGGCCTAACAGATTGGCTTCCGTATTCACCGACAAACACAGGGTCCTCTCCACTCCGCAGTGAAGAGTTGCGAAGACCTTTTGAGACGTCTCGATGACCCCATCAGGCGCTGTACCAAACGTAGGTTATCATGACTATTACTAACCAGTGATTGGTCTGTGCCCCCTCCAGGTCCTTGGCTGTGGGCAACACAGGCCTGTGGTCTGTGGTCAACACGTCGCTTAGAGATTGCGTCGTCCCAAACGGCAGGACTTCTGTGGGTAACCGTGTCTCACACTTCACGTCGACCGAGCGGTCGAGTAAAAGAAGTGTTGACACACGATGAATGTTTGAGCGTTATAGCGGAAATATCGGGTCAAAATTCCGCTGTTGCTTTCCGTAATTCTCACCCGCATTTAGAAATACCAGAATTTTGAGTCAAACCACACACACACACACACACACACAACCTCCACCAACCCCCCCCACCACGCCATTTTGAACGCATTTCTTAAGAAACATAACGCTTCCCTGTCTGTGAGCAGAACACCAAACCCAATTCTTAGGTCATCGATAACACGTGAGAACGTTACGATGATGAACTGAAATTTTCGAGACGCCTCGAAGCGAGTAACGCATGTGGTCATCTGGTAAGCACAGGATGAAGCTCAGTCGTGAAGCCTTCTCTGACTAACAGCGCCCGGTCGGTTCCTCTCCTCGCAGAGGTGCGAAAGCAGCGACAAATTTTTAATACGTGTGTGAATTGTCGCAACATCAAACGCACCATATATTAAAAAAAATCGCAACTTCCCCATGTGCGTGCGTCAGCCTGGTACGGCGAGAGCCCAGCAAACCTTGCTGTGAAGAGGCAGGTGTTAGCTGGATCCGAGGCAAATTAGTACGGGGTGGGGTGGGGGGGGTTAGAGCACTCGCCTCGCAAGCGAGAGGACCCGGGTTCGATTCCCGAGCGGGATGAAACCTCGGGCAAGTTTCTTAATTCACGCAACGCACACGCCTCTGCTTACCCAGCAGTAAGCAGGAGCCCGGTTGTCGGGTCGATCGGTGGATCGCTTTGGGGGTGGGGTGGGGGGGGTGGTAATAATCCCTTAAAAACATTTTTTTTACATAAAGAATAAGAATTTGGTCACTCGATCCACGACTGTTTATGCGCTTCTCACTGCTGTGCGCGATTAGCTGCCGCGTTTCGCCCACGAAACACACAGGCGATTCATTTCTCACTGTACAGTGTGTCCCGCGAAGCCCTTTGAGACGTCTCGACGACGTGATAAGGCGCTGTATCAAATGCAAGGATTATTATTATTATTATTATTATTATTATCATTAAAACAGGATTGCTCGTTTAAAGCGGGGACCGGGTGCGGGGTGAGGTGGGGTGAGTGGTGGCGTGGGGGGGGGGGGGGAAAGAGAGTGAGAGCGAGAGGAGAGAGCGAGGGAGAGGTGAGAGAAAGGAGATAGAGAGAAAGAGAGAGAGAGAGAGAGAGATATGCCATCAAAATGAGAAAGGTAGGCGCGGTCATTAA